ATCAGAAGCAAACTAGAAAATATAGGAACCTAATTTATCCCCTCCTCTTGATACTTCACTTGGCCACATCAAACCTAACACTACATTCTAAGATTTTTATGGATGCCCATTTTACATGTCATTTTAATTGTAGATTGTGTGCTTCAAAAACTTTTCATTTAATTAAAATTGAATGTACGATTTTTATGAATTTTATGATTTGTTCACAATTGTAACCCTTTTGATTTTGTTTTTGGATTTAATATCTTTTCATTCATTTATGAGATAATCAAGTAAATTAAGAAACATTTTCATACAAGATGTCAATTCTAAAGTGTAAAACGTTCCCTAGTAAATAGACATTTCATTAAAGGGCAAATCATACAACATCTTAATAGGTAGAGGCTGCCATTGTGTTAATTTTTGGAGCCTTTGTAATTTGAATAATGAAAAAATATCTAGAAGGAAAAATAAAATTTTACTCTTCAGAAATTATTCTAAAAGATAAGAAAGGTATCAAGAGAACATTTTCCTAACCATTAGAAAAGTTTCATGTGACTTTGGGATTGAATGAATGACTCAAAGTGTCTCTTTATGTTTGTTGGAAGTGAGTTGACTAATTAATTAGAGGGTATTTGACACTTAATGAGAAAGAAACAACAAAAGGATAATGCGGTAATAATTTCAATGATCAATGATAGCTTATCCATTGGGTTTATAAAGTTCAACTCCTTTGAAAGACTAGAGTTGACTCACTTGGTGTGAGAAATGAAAAAGTATTAGTGAGTTAACTCATGAAGAAATATTTTTTCTTCTTATTTAAGGAAGATAGTCAACTCATCTAATTGGAAGAGATTTGATCTAAATTATCGCAAAAGTAAACCTGTCAATTAATCTAGAAAGAACAAGCATGAGTTGAAGAAAACATATTCAATGGTAAAATGATAATTTTTCATTCAAAAATACTCAAACATCTTTGTGACCCTTGAAAATGTTTGATTATATTGCAAATCCTCATATAATTTTTCGATTTTTTATACTTTTTATAGGTTTTTTTTAAAAAATGAAATTCCCTCACCCTAGTAAGTGAGACACTATTGGTGACTCATATGCAAATATGCAAGTTAGAAGAGCAACACTACAAGACTAAATAAGAAAAATAAAAAAAGCAACACTACTCCTAAACTAGCCTTTTGAGTGCACTTTAACCACTTGGTTAATGGATTTAAGACTCCAAATGCTTTGATGATTATGATGATAGATAAAAGAGTTGTTGGATAGGATTTTTGATTGTGGAATTAAGTACTGATTGCTAAGGAGGAAAGTCCGATGAAATCTAAAGTCAACACAAAGGGTAAAACTAGTAATTTTATATTCTTATGACCCTTGAAATTTCTTGAGATGATTGCTTATGCTCTAAAATGATTTATGCAATTGACTAAGTATTTTTATAGATTTTTACCTACATATTTTATAATGTCCTAATTTAGGTGTTAACCCAAGGCAACATAAGATGATTGTTGGGGCATGACAAAAAATGACCAAAATGAATTATTTGTTGGACATGTTGTTTTCACAAAATGATATGATTTAGATTATCAAAACTAGCATTTAAAAAGAAAGAAAAATCAAAGAAAAATCATGAACATAAAACAGAACACTATGTTAAAAGGATCTATGGAAAATTAAGATCAAGGGTTGATGCAAATGCAAAGCAATTAAGGGTGAAACTAGATCATCACCATGAAGCTTTTGTAGTGAGAAATCAGAAGACTGAAGTCTTCACGAAGCCTTTAATTGAACTCTGAATGATAAAACATTCTATTTTGTATTTCAAGAATGCTTGAACGCAAGCTTCATATATCTTTAACTTAGATGAGATTAGTTGATGCTATATTGTTTAGCCTTCCATCATTATGAATTTCAAAAAGAAGGTTACATCTTCTTTACTTGGCCCCTTGTATATGTGAATATGGAAGAGAGAAGTGGGTCTCCTTAAACCCTAAAGTCATGAATTAATTTCCTCTTATAAAGTTGTGAATTTAGAAGATTATTTCTTAGTGATGTCTTGAATTCACTAGAACTATTAAATCCAATGGAAGTGACTGAAGCCTTAATAATTTAGTGTATATTTTACTATGGATGTAATAGAATTCAAGAAATCGAAAACATACATAATACTCGGAGAGTGTAATATGTCAAGTGAGCGAACCACCATAAAAATAGTGCATGAAATGCTCATTATGATGTGTAGATTAAAATAACCAAAATAAAAATAAAATTAGAGTAACACAAATTCACATCCCCTTCTTAGCAATGCATTGTCATTAAAATCCAACATTAGTGACCAATTTTGCTATTTATTTTTTAAAAAAACAAAGAAGTTTACTAATAGGTTAGAACCAACAAAAATCCTTTGGTTAGAAAGGACAAGATCAACATCTACAAGAGCAATAGATTTCCACCCTACATAACCTATAAGCAATCAACAATGAGAAAAATCATGGATCATCAACTTTTACTGAGATTATGAGTAATTATTTCATAATTTAAAATATAATATTATTGAATTAGGATTGCTTTCAAATATATATGAATCTTATAATTGAGATTTTTAATTTAAAAATAAATATTGTATGCCTAAATCATTTATTAGTTATAGAACTCAAATCTTGTTAGTTATAAGAATTATTCATTATGACATCTAGCTGCAAAAGATGTAGGGTAGGTATTGGAACGTTACTTTGAATTTGTGTGATTCTGATTTTTATGAAATATTTCCACCTCGACTTTAAAAATATTTAAAATTTAGAGTATCATACCTTAAATGATGTAAATTTGTATCTTTAACATGATATATCAAAGATTATTTAGTTGGTATTTATTATACTTTAATGATGCTTCAAATGCACATATGCATTGTGAACATAAATCCATTAAAGATCTCATTAGAAAATTATGTCCAATCATATAGTAGGGAGATCTCCTCATGGGCAATCGATCATTGATGAGGATGTGAGTCGTTGATTGGCATGACTCTTTTCATCGACCTAGTGAAATAAATTTTCAGTAATTAGAATCTTAGGTCAAAGTTTAGTCAAAGTATATGGTCCATGCACATGCTTACTCTAGGTCTTCATTGGGATCTCTACTTACACTAGCATGATGATCAACACAACCTGCGTTGGAGCTACGAAGTTAGACGGATCATGTTAAGTGATGGAGAGAGAGAGAGAGACCCAATTTGATGCTCGTAAATAAGATTGGTCAAATATAGGTAGACTGTAGAGACTACGAAGGCTTATATACGATTTAAATGTAACGGCAGCTTGTTCGTCCTTCCTCGATGGGCCTTGTTTTAGGTCAATGCATACAGGTCCTTGCTATAAAGGGCCACCCTAAATGGCAGAATGCCGTTCACATGGGTCAACGCTGTGAGGGTTCAGAGAGGTTCGAAGGGGTCAATGCAGTGGGTATTGGACCATGACTACGTTTTGGGCCTTGGTGACTTTTAATAGGGAGGGGCCACGTCACGTGAGGCTACCTATACTGGCCTTGGGACTTACTGTTTGGCAAGTGACTCGTGGGAACGCGCCAGACCGTCTCCACGTCCACTGCTAGAAGCGCTGAATTTTGCCTGGTCCCCCAACCGCGACTGGTCGACGATGTGGTTGGCGTGCTCCGAAGTGAAACTTCATTACCGTTGTCCCATACCTTGGATTGTTGACAGTGGTGCCCATTGACCCAGAGCCAGAGTTGCGGAATGACTGTTTCCCTAGGTTTGACAATAATGTTCACTGATTCGACCGTAATGCTGGTGGGTACGAATGGTCTGGTCTGTGAAAGTCTGTCTCAGATTCGAGAACCTTCTACATGGTATTGACCCCCTTGGAATGGGACTAGGAAAAAAGGCGAGATTGAGTGAAACTTAAAGAGAGACTTCATGGTACTTCGTGGGCTTGGTAGAGAGATAAATGAGAGGTCAACTGAAGCGACTAAGGGCGTCAGTGTGACGATGAAGACGGAGTTATAAGCTTCTACGTCTCCCCTCCCAACGTCTCGTTAGATTTCTCTGACCAAAATAGGTCCCTGGGGTAAGATTTTTCATTCTGAAAGTCAAAGTCTGAAAAATGAGGCCGTCCGTCCGGTTTAATCGGCTTCAGGTTGATGTAGACCACATGGGTGGGGACCACTCGGGGACAATGGCACGTTTCCTTGACCGGAAGTTTCCCCGGGGGACTAAATGGGACTGAACCGATACCCCGGCGTGCTTGCCGCGGGGCACCGGATCCAAAGTCTGCTGGAGCCTATAGAGCGATTGTGGGAGTGCGTTTTAACTGTTCCTCCACCCAGTCTGGGTATCATGATCTGCCGCGTGGAAGAGCAACCGTGTGACTGACCACCTTTGTTGGTGAGCAGGCGGACACGTTAAGTTATTAGAGCCGGAGAGAACATCGGGATGAAACAAGCTGCAAACTGAACTGCTGCCAGAGGACGGTCGAAGCAAACGAGAAGACCCAGAAACCTTCGACAAAGAGTTTGAGCTCTTGACCGCAGATCTGCGTTCAACGGACACGTCACAGAACCTAACCCCTTTTGTCGACGCGCAGCAATTCTGACTCCGATGCTTCCTCCCGCGTGTCAAGGCCCGCCCACGCCTCAGCTGCCGCCCCTTTTGTCTCTAGACGGCGGCGAAGACACGAAAGACCACCGTCCAGCGGAGGCGGCTACATTCTATATCACTTGCTTCACCGAGTCAGTTTCCTCCGGAGAGAGAGAGATGAATTTCCTACAGTAACTATGGAATTTTCCTCGTCTGCCGTTTAAAGCTCTCTTCTGCTCGCCAAACCCATAAATGCCCAAACCAGTGGTGGGGGTTCTCCGGTCTCCAGATTCTCCTCCTCCTCCTCCCTCCCCAAGTTCATCACTGAATTTCGATTCTCAGACAGCGAGGCTGCAAGAAAAGATCAGAGTCCGGCAACCGTTCCTTGCCAGGGTCATCTTCTTCGGTCTTCCCTTCCATGGATGCGGACGGGGTTGAAGTCCCCAGGTACTTCGTCTGCCCCATCTCCCTCCAGATCATGAAGGATCCGGTGACAGTCGCTACCGGTATCACCTACGACCGGGAGAGCATCGAGCGGTGGCTCTTCGTCGACAACAACTTGACCTGCCCCCTCACGAACCAGCCCCTGGCGAGGGAATCCGAGCTTACGCCGAACCACACCCTCCGCCGCCTCATCCAGGCCTGGTGTATGGCCAACGCCTCTCAGGGTGTGGACAGGATCCCCACCCCTCGAGCCCCCGTCAGCAAGTCCAGCATCCACAAGCTCCTCCAGGACCTCTCCGTCCCAAAGCTGGAATCAAATACCCTCCGCTTGCTCTCCACGCTCGCCTCCGATAGCGAGAGCAACCGGCGGTCCATGGTGCAGGCAGGAGTTCCCAAGTCCATGGTCTCCACCATCGTCGATTCCCACAGAAGAAACCGACCCGATCGCGTGGAGGAAGCCCTCGCGGTTCTAATTGCGCTGAAAGCCTCACCGGAGGAGCTAAAGCCGCTCATTGGCGACAACCACGACCTCATTGAATCCTTGACGTGGGCATTGAAACACGCGTCTTCCGACAGCAGTACTAACGGGCCGAGAAGTCATGCGATCGTCTTCTTGAAGTGCGCACTCGAGGTGGCGAATCCGACCTTGGGGGAGAGGTTGAAATCGGATTTCTTCATGGAGGTCGTCTCAGTTTTGAAAGCACGGTCATCTCCGCAGACAATCAAGGCGGCGCTGCAGGTGCTGCTGGACGCCTGCCCAATGGGGACGAACAGGAGTAAGATCGTCGAGGCAGGAGCCGTCGCTGAGCTTATCGAGCTCGAGCTGACGGCTCCCGATAAGAGAACGAGCGAGCTCGTATTGGGCGTTCTGGATCACCTATGCAACTGCGCCGACGGGAGGGCAGAGCTGGTGGGCCACGCCGCCGGTATAGCCGTGGTGGCGAAGAGGATACTGAGGGTCTCCCCGGCAGCTGATGACCGGGCGGTGAGGATTCTGTCCTCGGTGTGCAAGTTCTCGGCGACGAACGAGTTGCTACAGGAGATGTTGAAGGTGGGGGCGGTGTCGAAACTGTGCCTGGTGTTGCAAGCGGACTGCTCGACGACCGTCAAGGAGAAGGCACGATGGGTTCTCAGGTCCCATTCAGAGGCGTGGAGAAATTCCCCTTGTATTGCGACTTATTTGATCACCAGATACCCTTAATTTTGGAATTTACTGGACAAAACTTCATTCTTTTATGTTGCTTCTTCCCGCGGTTCTGCTCTCCGAAGGGAACTAACGACGCGAGCATCGGGTACAAGGTAGCGATGGTGAGGAGGTCGCAGCTGGTGTTCTCAGCTGGGGAGGTCGCAGCTGGTGTTCTTTGTTCCGAAGGTTTGACGGATCAACCCCAGGACATTTCCCTTGCGATACTCTGACTGAGGAGTGACTACCGACGAAAATCAAGTCTTGGTATCACAATTCTGTCGCCTCGCTTTTAATTAATTAAGACGCGAAAATTCCAATTTGATTCGGTATTTGCTAATGTCCGTATTCTCAACTAGAGACGAACGCTGTAGGCCTGCGTTTCAAAGTCTAAGCTCACAGGAAGGAGCCAACGGGTTCTTCTTCCTCAAACTGTTCAAACATCGAAGCGAAGACTAATAAGCTGCCGGAGGAATGCACATTGTTTTAGAGCATAGGATAAGGAACCGCATCGACAGAAGACTCCTGCATGTAGATTTCTGGGTGAGTGCAGTCTAAAGCAGAGCCAGACTCTATCTCTGTTAGATCAACAACATGGGGAGACCCACCCGTGGAGCCCTGCGGAGGCTGCGGCGGTGTGGCCCTGTTTCCTCTGGATCTCGCCGGCGATGCATCGGCGGGGGAATCCCGGATCCCCCGCCCCGTCGCCGAGGAGCCGCACGATTCCTGGGGCTAGATGAGGCGGCTCTTTGGTCCAATGTCGGCGAGCTTGTCTGGCAGAAAGAAACGTTTGACCATAGGAGGCCCTAAACAACGGCTTGACTAAAAAGGTCAAAAAGAGGAAGCGGTCAACAGGACACCGCCATCCAGGCTGTCAGAATGGGCCCAAATCGAAGCAGCGAAAAACTGGGCCCTTTTTTGTTCTTTGAAGTGTGGTACACGGGTCCCCCTTCCCCCAGCGGCGAGATCACTGACCGGGCCATTTGGGCCCAGGACGTTGACAGGGGAAACGGCTAGACGGTCCATTAATAGGGATCGGAGCGAACTTCTGACAGGGGAAACGGCCACAAGTTGGGTCTTTTCTCCCCTTAGCTTGGTGGGTCAGGGAGAAGGGAGGCCAGGGAGATGGTGGCAGCTGCTGGGAGTGAGGGCCGGTATAGGACTACCCAGAGCCTGGCGGCAACAGGCTGGATTGGAAGAGATAGGAAATCAATGGCAGTCCGCGCTGGCGGCGCTGGGCCGGATTTGGTAGAGAAGGGGATTCACGGGCAGTCCGCGCTGGCGGCACTAGGGTAGTTCGGCAGAGATGGGCCTTCAATGGAGGTTAGTACTAGTGATGAATGGTAGAGGAAGGATGGTTTTGGGCTCCGGTGATATAAGAATTCCCCATAACGTGGATAGTAGGCAGCGGATCGGACGGGGAGGAGAAAGGCATAGCATCATATGGATTATGAGATTCGAACATTACCAGCAAAGTCAGCAGGAGAAGGAGTGCCCATTTTACAAGGATCAAAAACAGCATTACTAGTATTCGTATAATCGATCGTCCCTAAATTCACTTGAAAAAGATTAACATTTGGGGTCTAAGCGATCTCTGGCGATGAATCAACAATTCGAAGTGCTGGTATACGAGTGGGAACAAGCTCAGTTCAAAAACGGCCCCGGAAGGAGGTGCACACCCATGATGGAGCATATCATGTTCCAATTGAACACTTTCCATTTTTTCTTATGATCAAACCATGCATTTAGTATCATAAAATGATAGATTATGCCCAATTAGAAATCTCGATGCTTGCTCTCCAAATTACGGCGAATCTACTTTTGCTTTAGAAAGGGCTGATGAGTTTAAGGTTTTCTACGTAGGTTCGAATCCTGCCTCTCTGTTTGCGGTCAATCGACCCGAGAAAGCAGTTGGAACGATTAGGGATGCTGCTGTTGCTGCAGCTAACTCAAATAAAGAACTGAGCGGGGTATCCCTTCTCGGGTCCGTTGTAATCATAGTACAGCATCTCTTCCTTGGATATATCTCGGCATATGATCGGTAGGACAGGGCACTCGTCTTCCATATCTGTTGGCTGGTCAAACAAGTTGGGCCGTTCCCTATTTCTAGGAAATGGCCAAAGAGTGAGGGGGGAAGTCCCAATAGACTCTGTGAATGTGTGTGTCTGTCTGCCTGTCTCTCTATCTCTCTCTCTCTCTCTCTCGCTCTCTCGCTCTCATATTTTAGCATCATTTATAACCAATTGTCTCCATATTTTTGTTTTAGTTCCTTGGCTACATTGAAACTTACTAGGTAACACGTTTTGTGATGCATGTTATACCGAGGATATTCGCACCATTCAATTATCAAAACATTTAATATCAGACGAATATTTGTATTGCTTTATTAATTATGCTGCTATAAATACATCAACAAAAAAATAAGATTGTAAATTCAATGATGAATATTAATACTACGATGACATTGATTTTGATTTATGACAGAAGAGAATGAATGTTAATACAATAAGGGCTTCATCAGGTTTTTATAGAAAAGAGAAATTAGAAAATTTGAGTAATGATGATTAAGATGAATTAGATTCAAAAGCAATTAGTGCAATTAAGTTATGCCTAGCTGCTGAGGTAATGTACAACATTTCTGAAGTAGATATTACCAATGATTTGTGAAAAAAAATATAAGTGCTATACATGTAAAATCCTCTTTCCAATATGTTATATTTCAAAAATTAATTATATTGTTCGGACATGTGATGGGGAGATTTGTTGAAGCATATGAACGCTTTCAATAAGTTCACCTCACTGGTTTGTGGTTTGGAGGATGTAGAATAAAAAGATCAAACTATTATTATTCTCTCATAATTGCCTTAATCTGATAGCCACTTGGTGACTATCATCTAATACAATAAAGATATTTTGAAGATGGAGGGTGTCTAAAATTAGTCAAGAAATAAATGTCACATAGGTGTTGAAAGTTTAATAGGAAAGAGTTTGGTCAATGACGAGGATGCTAGAAGACAAAGGCAAAAACAAAAATGTAAATAATAAATCTTTCTACTACAACAAAGAAGGTCATTGGGAAGAAAATTTCTCAAGCTTCAAGAGAAGTTCAAGGCAAAAGGGCAAAAAACAAACCATGGAAACTAGCTATACCTTTCAAGTTCTAACTATCTCATCATATATAGATCACTCTAACAAGTATTTTTTACTCTAGATGATCTTAACATTTGTGTTTTGAAGATGATGATGTTATCTTGTCATGTCACACTAACCTTAGTCATTTTATGTGAGGGAGATGTTACATTATATAATAAAACTTATTCAAGGATATAAAATTTAAAAAACTTGATTTCCATAAATCAAAGTGTTCCTTGCAACTTTACAAGATTAAGAAAATTAACAATATTCTTAGTATATGTATTTACATATTTCATATGAAGTAGTTTGAAATTTTGTTATTTTTATTGATGAATTTATAGAGAAATTATGGGTTTATTTTTCAAAACAGAAGTCAAAGGTGATTGACACAATTAGACATTAGAAAGCTGAAGTTAAAAATAAAAAACAAAACATATTAAATTATGAGTACAATAATGGTGTTGATTATAGCTCAAAAGAGTTTTAAATTTTTTTGTTTGAAAAGGAGAATAATTTGTATTTTTCGGTTCTCACACACCACACAACAAAACAAAATATCAAGAAGGATGAATAAGATATAATGGAGGAAGTATGCAGCATGAAAAACACATTGATTTTTAAGTAATTTTGGACCAAGACAGTTAACACAATGTGTTATTTGGTGAATTGATTAACTTTTACGTTGTTAGAACTCAAGATATCATTAGATGTTTGGGCTAGTATACTAATATATTATGCTAATCTGAGTAATTTATGACGTCCTACATATGTCTTAGTATAAATGTGACATTTAATAAAGCATCAATGTTGAAAATTATAATGTATGATTTCTAATGACACTACATGTCATACTTATGCCTTATTTTAAATGTGACGTATGATGAAGTATTAATGTTGAAATTTTCAATGTATTTCTTCTAATGATATTAATACTAATAGTTTGATTAAGGTGTAGTTCAATGAAGAGACAAAGTTAGCAGCAATTTTGACAATATTTTAGTACGATTTGCTAATATAATGGCTTATGTTTTGATTTATACTTATATTGTGAACCTTATGGATTTGTCAAGCCTCCCAAAGAAAAGAAAGCATTCAATTGTAAGTGGGTGCCTAAGAAAAAAAGCTTCTTTCTACATGTGAACCACATTAATAGAAAATTCGTCATGTAGTAAAGTGATCTGAAAAATAAATGTTATTGATTTCAATCAGATTTTCTCATAAGCAATGAAACACTATTTGCTAAGAATTATGTTTACTATAGTAGTTATCTGTCATTTAGAAGTAAAGCAGCTTCCTGTTTCATTATATTTTTCATGTAAATTTCAATGAAGTGATCTACATGTTATAGCCATATACCATAAAACATTTTTGTGCTGTCAACTTTAGAGGTTGAATACATTATTTAATTGGGGCTACAAAGAAGAATTTTTGTTTAAAGATGTGATAAATAAAATTTTCATTATTCATGTTTGACTAAACAAACTTCATAAATTTGTTTTAAATAGTGACATCTAGTTTGTGAAAGTGACTACTAAAATAATATTGTGGATAAGATGACCGTGTCTCTATTCATAGCTAAGTTTCAGGACTACCTCAACTAATTTGACCAAATAAAATATGAGGAATTTTGTAGAGAAGTGAGGATAGTCATACTTATAAATAATATTTCTTTAATATCTGAAATAAATTACTTGACCACAAAGGTAGAGCATATTGTTTTTGACAGGTCAAACTTGTTGGGAAATTCCCTATATTTTGGCAATGGATAGAGAGAGTAAGTGTCATAAATGACTATCATCTATTTTATCTCTCTCATCTCTGTGTATCTACCTCTTGTTCCTCTTCTATTAAAAGCGGAGGGGCATGGGGAAGAGGCGAGGGAGTGTGAGAATGCAGGAAAATAGGAGATGTCATAAGAAAAGAAGTTAAGGGCTTCCCAATTCCTCCACCTTTTGGGTCTCCCTCCCTCTCTGTTTCTTATTTAACCTCACTTAGAATCGAGAGATTTATTCTTTGGCACATCATCTCTAATCAACCTTATGCTGGGAAAGAGATGTAGTCGTCTTGTTAGATTTTGTTTATGTTTGTTCTTCTAATTAAATAAACATATTTAGCTCTTTCCATGGATGTAGGAGTAATTGCCAAAATCACGCCAATCTAGATGCATAATTTCTTTGCACTTTTTGACTTTTTTAAATATTTTCATCTCTATTTTTTTGTCTTGATTCTTTGGAAACGTCCATACTTGGTGAGTGGTACGATGGGCATCCACATCTTCACCGTTTTAAAACCCTGACTTCCTCCAACAAATAAAATTATGTCAGACTTTGCAAGATAGAATCGACAATCGAAGAACGAAAAAAAAATGTAATGGAGAAGTGATAAATATGGATGATACAACGAGTGATCGTTGATGCCGCTGGTGAAGCGGGCGACGTTGCCGCGCCATTCCTGGCAGATGCTATGCATCCATCCACATAAAGACCACATGCTCCTATTCAAACGCAGGCTCAAGATCGAAGGTACCCTTCGAGGGGATCGAAGAACATGACCAGCAGATGCCACCCCCCCTCCCCCCCCTTCTGTGCACGGCTCTGCAGATTTCCATCGTCTCCTTATCTTCACTAAAAAGGAAAACTGGGGTTTTATGGGATCAAGCGCATTCGATTGTCGCCTTGGAGAAATGTATAGCACCAGCATGCCGCCCTTCTCCAGAGTCTCCGGTTGCAGCTCTCGGCGTCATCCCGCCGCCCATGTAGTTGATCTCGTTGCTGAATTCCATCCTCAAGCGGGTCAAGACAGCGGCAAGAGAACCCATTTTCACGAGCCTCTGGCTGGGCTCTCCGATGGGCTAAATGGCAGTAATCCCTTTCTCTACTTGTGCGCAACAAAGGAACCACTCCTCCGGATCTTGCAGCCTAAAAGGAATAAAGCACCAGGAGATTAATTCCCACAGGGTGAGAAGGGGAGCTTAACGGCAACATAAAAATCCACGCCTAGGTTACTCAGATGAAAGGGCCCAGTGGAAGAGAAACAGACGTGGGCTCGACGAACCTGCGCGAGATCAGGAAGGAAACCTAATCGGAACAGTGCATATGAGATGTACCTGCCTGCTCTACCGATCTTTCCTTTTCGTGCGTGCATGTCCCCCAGAGGGCTTGATTCCGAGGCCTGTCACGATGAATGATGGACTCTGCGAGGATAAAGATAGGGTTTCCGTTCGGATCACAGTCACAGCCCTCCTGATCAGTCGTCTCTGGCTATCTGATCAGGTCATCTTATTTACGAGCTCACTCACAGTCACTCGAGCGATTCCCTGGTGAGTATGTTTACAACCGTTCAGAGAACGCTCTCCCTTCCCGGGTGAAAGAGAAATCAACGTGATTTCCGGCCAGGGGAGATGGGGCGTTGGTGAATAAACGTGAAGCCCATCCTGCTGTCGTTACCTCGGAAGAACAAGAACACTTGTGGTATCCGGAAGAAATCCAGAATGGAGGGGACGGCCAGAAATCTGGGGCTGGCGTATCCCTCTCTGACTGCCGTCGTGGACGCCACGTCATAATGGATGCTCGAGGGAGCCGGCCACGTGGGGACGGTGAAGTGTCGCCCAGACGCGTCATCTAACATCGAGTACGTGGTCAACGACGACGGGGTCGTGAAAGCATGTGACATAACTCAATATTTATCATGTTTCAATGCGAAGTAATTGAATATTGAGTCAACCCACCTAGCCGGTAATTTCGTCAAGCCCGGAAAACTGAAGTCCCGGTCCCACAAAGTTTTTGACCGTACCCCTTACAAGACTTGGACGAGCAACTCAGAGCCACACGGTGCATTAAAAAGGTAATATAACGAAATACGCGCAGAATCATTTAATTGAATATTTAAAGTAGTTCCCCTTTTTTATTTACTATAAAATATTAATTTAAAAATTAGTTTATTTACTGGAGAAGCGGATATTAATTTCAATTAAAAGCATGCATATAATAGTCCACCGGTTTTATTTAATATAAAATGTTACTTAAAAATTAGTTTATTTACTTGGAGAAGCTGATATTAATTCCAATTAAAAGCATGCATTCATGCATCGACGTATTGTAATAACACTATATATTTCTAATCTTATCTTCTTCCTTTTATTTTATTTAACTTAACCTTCAATGACGTGAGCTGATTAGCTCACGATTACGTGGACGGGATGACATGAGAAACCATAACCACTGGCAGTGTGAAACCACGCGATCACTCAGGTCGAAACCCAAGTCAATGAGACACAGATGCTTGACTTTGTAAACCATACCACCGTCGGAGATGTACGCGGTCCTCCATGGTCAACGATGAAACCTGGGCTTGATGATCGCAGCGCCCTCTTTAGGACGCGAGCTACCGAAGCGAGCGCCGCGAGGAGGACTCACAGCGCCGTCAAGGACAAGGCGTTGGACTGACTAGGTATTGAGATTCACGTGCTCTACTCTCTCTCTAAACCTGGAGCGAGAGAGGGATTAAACTATGGAGGGGGGAGAGAGAGAGAGAGAGAAAAATCCCGCGTGGCGCCCCGAGAGGCTGCATCCAATGGGTGATTAGAGAGACGGAGTCCCACGATGGCACACATGTGCATGAGCAGAAGATACCATGCTATTTTGCTGAGGGGGAGTATTGACCTGGGCAACGACTAGACCGCGCCTTCTTCTTCGATGGAAGTGTTCAAACGCTGCCGAGTCCTCATCTCCATCGGACTTTTACCGGTCACATCCGTCAAAGTGGCGTCCGAATAAGTAGGGCATTCATCTCTGGCCCCAGCCTGCTCTTCTCCATGCCGATGGTGGTCCCGCTCTCCTCCTCCCTCTTCCCCGAATCGGCTTCCAGCATGGACTCGTCGGACTGCTCCTCCCCGCGGAGAAGAGAGCGCCGGCCACAGGGTTCCCCTACAACCAATCTCAAGCCCGGAAAGGTCTCCCACAAAGTCAAGAAGAGCCACCCGTCGCCGCCGCCGCAGCGTCCGCCGGTCATAATCTACGTGAGTCCTCCCAAGGCGATACACGTCGAGCCAGGGAACTTCAAGACGGTGGTGCAGCGTCTCACCGGAGCGTCTCCTGAGTCTTTCCCCACCGCCGCAGAAGGCCCCCCCGAGTCCTCGGAATCGCCGTCTGGTTGTCCCCCGCCAAGCAACCCACCGCTCATCCCACCGCCCGCCGCCACGGGGTGGTCGCAGGCGTCGTATGAAGGTGAGAGCGCCGCCGAGGACCAGCCGGCGGTGGGCGGCGGTGGCACTGGGCTTGACCGGTCGGACTACTTCTCCGGGCTGTCTCCCCTGCAACAGCTTCCGCCGGTTTCCCCGGGCTACAGCGACGACCTTTGCCCGCCATTCCAAGAGGAACTGCTCCCACCCAGCTCCTCCCATCTCTTCTCCTCGCTGACCTTCTCCTCCCCGGAAACGGACGGCACTTTCTCAACCATTACCACGATGAATTTCTCCACCTTCCACTTTGTGAAGGAAGAATAAGAGCAGGAGGCATCGTAGAGACCACGGATTCTGGTCCTCGTGCTCCGCCGTGCTCCGACGACGTAACCCACGTCTCGTCCTCGTCGACGCCCACCTCTGATTCAATGTACAGTCTAGTAGCCGTTGTGTGCTCTGCTCTCTCTCACCGGGAGATATGGAAGGAAGGGAGGGCAGCCTCTCTTTACAATCAATCTTCAAGCCGATTGAAATTCCTACAGTCATTGAAAATTTCTAGTTTCTCCCTGATTCGATCTCTAAGGCAGAGAAGTGTCGGGAATCCCCAGAGCCCTCCGGCTCACAGCCTGACCGGCAGCCCGTAGCTATGGAAGGACCTGATGACGCCGTCGTGGCCCGCTGTGACGATAACTCCGCTCCACGCGTCAGCAGAGACAGAGACCACGTTCCGGGCTCGACAGAAGGCGCCGCCGGAGGGAGGAGGGCGGCCGAGAGAAAGTTTCTCCTCGGGCCATGTCGCTGAAACCCTCGCCGGGAAGTCGGCGAAGAACCAGGCCCCCAGGGAGAAGCGCTCCATGTCTCTGAACCAGGCGGAGGGCTCCGGACTGAGGTTTCTCGGGCCCCGACCTGGCCATGGGGCGGCGACAGAGGCCGCCTCGGAGAAGAAGCACTCACAGGGGCCCCTTGATTTGTCCCCACTGGAGGAGGCTGCGCCAGAGACGCTATGATCCCAGATGCACACTGCGCAATCATCTCCAACAGAGACGATGTATCTCCCGTCGGAGGTAAATGACGCGGAGAGTTGACTTCTTGACCTTCTGGGGCCTGCGGATTCGAGACAAGATGAGAATCCCCACAGTCGCAGGATATCTGAGGCTAAGAACTCGTCCGGAGGAATACGAAGAGGAGAACAGACTGCCTTTGCGGCTCCAGCTCGATCGAAATCACTGAAATCTAAAAGGAAAACGCTGAAAACCTCGGTAGAAAGAAGGGATGGGGGGAGAGAGCGTTAAAATACCCACTAAAAAACTGTAGTGAATGGAGGAGCACACGCAGACCCATTCTGGATTTCACATCAAACGTTTCACAGAGATTTAACCATGATTCCTGGGTAATATCCATGCTAACCAGCAGGGTAATTTCGTAGGCTCTTGTCGCAGGACGGAGGGGGCATAGATCTCTTCTCTCTTTCTCTCACAAGGTCAGTCCACCGCGCCACCCCTCTTCATCTCCACTAATACTGATCCTCGAATAAAAAACTATTATATATATATATTCAAAAATAGTATGAACATAAATAATAATGGTAATGGAATAAGCACTGTTTAACATGAGGAGGAGCCCTTGAGTTGTGGCGGTGAATTTATGTGTGATTTGATTTTTTAAAGTGGAGTTCTATCCAACTTCGCCGAAAATTTAATGAATTCGCCCTTTGAGACGGCCAAGAAAAAACCTTATGAAGGTTTGAGGATACATAGATCGATCAGAAATTTCCCTAATTTTTCTATAGCGCCGACTAAACCTAAACCAGTTTTCTATGGAGCCCACGAATCCAAGCAGAAAATATAAATTTTTGGGCTTCGCATACCTCTATATTTGTTGATGACTTCGACCCCATCATAGATCCTCACTTTGCCGTCAGCTGAACTGATCATGATCTTTTCAGAATCATGAGGGCAGAACTGTGCATACAAAAATAATAAAATAAAAAAATTATCGACATTTTTTAATAAAAAAGCTATTTTTGATAAATTGTTACACAGATGAAATGAGACCCGTCCTGACCTGAAACCCAGTGATGCTCTTCCCAGCAGGCTTCTTTCTGCCACGGATTTTTACTTCTTGATCCAGCTGCAGTGTATCACCTGCAGAAAAGAGATGGAGTTGCCTCATGCTCCTCCATCTGAATGCGATGCCCATGAAGGGAAACCGATTCCTTGAGAAAAATGGCAGCCCAAGCGAGGCACGAGCATCAGGTATTCTCAGTACCTGATAAATAGAAGCGACAGTTGCCGGTCACAGAGCCAGCAACAAATCCCTGTCAAGACAGACCCTACATGCAGCTGAGAATCCACAGACTTGCCCACCAGAAAATTCGGAGAAAGAACAAAAAGTAAGATGAGAACCTCCCCATCTGGCCGATAGCAAACAGCTGTTATGATGTCTCCGATGTCAACCCAGTCGACCACGCGGGCCTCTGAGATCCCCCAGATTCGGACTTTCCCATCTATGGAGCCGCTGATGAAATGGCCGTGGTCGATGGGGTTGAATTGGACGCAGGTGACTGCTCTCCGCGCACAGGGAGAGAGAGGGAGAGAGGGAGAGAGAGAGAGAGAGAGAGAAAGAGAGAGAGAGAGAGCAAGATACTTCTTTCATGGCTGATCTGAACTAAAATAATCAGCTTGCACAGGGAAGGGAACTGAGCTTTAGCCTCCGTACCATAATTGTTGTGTTGAAAAACTTTAAGGCAGTGTTTGTGACCAACATGCCACAGGCGAACAGTTTTATCTTTGGATGAGGTGAGCAGATACTGCAACCAAAAAAGAAAAAGATAAAATATCGCAGCAGACGAAATTCATGAACCCCAGTAAGAGATTAACACAATTCACACGTTAATCCAGGCCCAACCTGCTGGGCTTCTTCTCTGGTTTTGATTTGGGTGAGGGAGGGGAACATATAATTATCAGAAAAAGTGGGCTTAGATACCGGGAAGAACTCACATTGGATTCAGACCAGGTCAAATCCAAAACATCGCTCGTGTGGCCATGAAGTTCCTGCAAAGGCGTTTCTGAGAGTTTGAAGTTCTTGATGGGGACTTCACTGGGAGCCGAGTCTAGATATCTGCCTCTGATGACCAGATGGGAATCGTCCTCCTCCTCTTCCACAGCGCGCCAAAGTCTCACCACACAATCTTCTCCGCCGGTCGCCAGGTACCTCCCATCTGGACTGAATCTCATGGTCCCAATGGAGCCCTTGTGGGCAGGGAACTCCTGGCGCATGGATGCGGAATTGAACTGCTTGTCCCCTTTCCAGCGCTCCTGGAACTTGCTTCTTCTCCCTGGTTTCTGCCCTCGAGAGACTTGGCTGGGTGCACTGCATTTGCAGAGGTCTCGTAAATGCCACCTTGCTGCTGAGAATCCCTTCCACCAGCTTCTCAGGTTCTTCTTCCTCGATTCCATCTCCCCATCTGGCTTCTCCCCATGGGTGACGCTCTGCTTCAGCTGAAGCCGCTGACTACATCCAGGAAATCCTAGAGATAGCTCAAACTCTTCCCAGATGACTAGCCTTCCAGTGTCGATTTCCCTGAGTTTTGCACAAAGTAGATCCTTCTGGCCGAGCTCGTGCGCCAGAAATGCCTCTCCTCGCCCTTCATGGCATCCCTTCTCTGTGTCGCCACTCCAGCATAAGGAATCCAGATCAGCGCTGCAGGATTCCATGGCCCGGTCTGGTTCGATCTGGTGAGGGGAGCCCCTGCAACGCTCGATCTCCGGAGAGGGGAGTAATTCAGAGAGTACCATGTCGTCAAAGCGCATTCTGCGGAGAAACCTTGAGCGTCGTTCGCGGATGCTCCTAAGCTCGTGGATCCATACTTCGTAATCCGAGCTCACAACTTCCCAGTTCGACGAAGCTTCTGGAGTCGAGGCCTCTCCAGCGGATGGGGAATCGGACGCAGTCGAAACGAATTCTAAAGAGTCTAAGAATATATCCTCTCCCTCCTCGTCACGACTCTGCATGTTCGCTTAGGTCAGAGCTTGAGAGCCCACGTCAATCGTCATTCGCGGGATTCTTCAGCCCGAGGAGGAAACCAGCCGGGCACAGCGGGGGGTTAGAAACCCCAACCATGATCAGTGGGGAGAGAGTGGCCCGCCATTCTGAACATGATCCGTGGAGATGGAACTGCATGGAAATAATCAGAAAGAGAAAAACGAAACGAAAAATCAAAACTAAATGCGCCGGATGAGGGAGGATCAGAGGCCGGCACCACGAGCATCGATCAGGAAAGCGAGAAAGAAAACGGAGAAGGATGTTCTAATCATTTGACGAACGAGTGCAGAAATCAGGCGTTGTCTGGGAGGCCGTAGCGATCGGCAGGGAAGTTTTTCAGGGCATCTGAAAACAGGGGACAGAGCAGCAGGCCCGCGATATGACAGCCGCACTCTGAAGCTCGAATGCGGGGACCGAACAGTTACAGTGACAAAAGAACTAACAAAAACAAAGGTGACTCGTAAATCCACAGACAAATGTACCGGGGAAATATCTCGGGGGCTTTCTACCTCGTTCTCCATGCCAGCATGCTCGCAGAAGCACGCCCACCATGGCGCTCGCTACTGCACTTCTCCCCGGAGGCGCACAGGAGCAGACATCGGTAACCGCTCGAATTCCCTGTTCCAAGACTCTGCCTTTCTGCTGGAGAGAGAGAGAGAGAGAGAGATAGAGAGAGAGTTTGGGGGAGGGGGGACGGGGGACGGGGGAGGCGGGGGAGAGGAAGGGGAAAGGCGCAGCGCAGGCGCGAGGGGGTCCAAGGAGGCGACGCGAGTACAGAGCTCCACGGCCGCACAGGCGCTTATAAAGGAGTCACATTATATAGCCTCGAGATCCGCAACGCGGAGATTTTCCAACCGTCACCAACATAGGCGGCAGCTGCTGCAGCCGCCAGAGCCCGCGCACGAGCGGCCGGGTGGAGGTGCCGGCACGCCGAGCGATGCGCCGGCTCGTTCCCTCCGCCGGCGACCGTCCTAACTCCGTCCCCCGGGGAGAAAGGTGAAGACAGGAGGAGGAAGAGATTGGCAAGATGAGGGAGGGAGAAGTAGTACTACGCGCGGCGGAGTACCAGGGAAGAAGAAGAGGAAGAAGACGAGAGAGCCTGAGGCCGACGCCAACCTAAATTCTGAGGATCTGATGCAATCAAATCTTTCCCCATTTTCTGATGTCGAACTGGGTGGGAGCAGAGGCGGTGAAACCGTCTTTTCTAGCCCCTTCCTCCCTTTTGGGCTTCCTCCTCCTCGAATTAACGTCCGCTCCCTCGCATTGATGGCGCCTTTTAAGGCCGGCGACGGCAAGCCGGAGCACAGAGAGGAAAGCGGAGAGCCCCCTTGTAGGAACAGTCGTAGGCCTTTAGGCGCAGCTACTGAAAGACCTCAGCCGTGGCAGAGGAGGCTCCAGGGACCTTTGCGGACAGACAGCTGGCGCCCGCCGGATGATCTTCTCCTTCCCTACCTCCCGTAATTTCTCCCCATCCGCCGTCTTGGACTTGCAGTGGAATCCTCCCCACCATCCCCTAAGTTTCTCATCGACTCAGAAGTGTCGACACCTCTGGTTCGGCTATCATTTTGCTCCATGAGTGACGAGCCCGGCAGAGTGTTAGCCGGAAGAGGATGAACCAGAGTACCGGGTTCCATTGTTAGCCCAATTGTCTCCCGCCGCCATGGCTCTAAGACAGCGGAGGTCTCTCTGCGGAGGAAAGGCCAGTGGGTCACCGGCTCGAAAGGCTCCTCGGGGCCTCGTCCTGGGAGCAAAAGTGCTTCGACAACCCCCCCCCCCCTCTCTCTCGCTCTCTCTCTCCCTTTTCCCTCTCGTGGCGGCTTCCTCTTTTTGTCTCTGCGCGTAGGCAGACCCCGTACCACCGGAAACCCGGTCGACGGCGGTACGGACACGACGAAGGCGACGGTAAACGAATCTTTCGAGTCATTCGTTGGCCGCCCAAAATATCCTCCTTTTTATCGAGTCATTTTTTAATACATCGACGTTGATGGACGACGGAATTTCTATCCTTCTGAACAACGAGTGAGGTGGCGAAGCTACTCAGCGGAGCGGGAGAAGCGGAGTGGAAGCCCCAGTGGAAACCCCAGCCCCATCTTCTTCACGGCAGGGGCAGAGACACTGCCAATGAAGGGCCTCAAGAGGTAGCGGAGGCTGGAAGGAAGGAGTAGCTATGGACGGTTGAGCTCCGTCCGCATTCGGGATAAGGACCTCTAAGGGACTTCAGAGGGCATGAGGTCAGACTCCGGTCATCTCCGGCGTCGTCATGCTTCCGCCGCAGGGGACCGTGGTGCGATTTCTCTTGTCCCTGTCGTCGTGCTTCCGCCGGCGAGAAGAATGAGTTTCGGAAACCTAACCGGATTCTCACGTCACTGAGCTACGCGGGAGGTCGATGGTAGACCCAGAGGAGCCAGTGGGAAGCGAGGGTTTCGGCGGTGGAGAAGGCCGAGGATATGCGGTGACGAGGATGGACTTGCTCAACCATTTGATCCTCTTCACGCCATGGGTCGTCCGCAAGAGTCTGAATCTCACGAGACGCCATGCCACCTCGCGGCAATTGCACCCCACGATAGAAGACGAACGGCTGACCCCAGTATCTTACTGCGATACTGGCGCCTTCCTTCCTTCCTTTCTGTCGTTCACATCATCGCCGTCCTACATGTTTCAAAGTTTATTTCAGGCCCCGAAATGACGCCTTTCAGGTTTTGTCGGCAAGTGACGTAGGACAACCCCTCTCTCTCTCTCTCTCTCTCTCTCTCCAAAGGCCTCTGTTTTGACTTGCGATTCACGTCTGCCAACGGATCTACATGCCTCCTCTTGGCTTTGTCTCCCTTTGGTCCTCACCGGAGTTGAAGGATTTTGGGTAACACGTGGACTTTCTCTCTCTTCATTTTCCCAAGTTGTTCTCTCTTTAACCCCTCCGCCCCCCCGTTTATTGAGTAAATGTGTCCAATATGCGGATTGTTCCAAGAGCTTAGTCGATAAGTTAGCTTTTGGCCGGAGGCTAATTTCTTCTTCTCTCAGATGCTCCTGGTTCTCGAGGGCTTGCGGCGTTTGGAGATCGGGTGATTCTATAGCTAGATTGAATATCATCTAGAGAGTAGCTCAATCATTTTCACGTCATGTGATACGTTAGCCACAAGTAAATACATGCATAAAGTAATATATATATATAGATATATTGCATTTAGCAGTTTTAAAGACCTAGAAATATTGTTTCCCGAGTGAAATCTTCAACTGACGGCGGCACACAGTCTTCCCTAGACGACGGCGTTGAGTTACCACACCAGCGTGCCTTCGGAGGTCAAAAGACATACTCAGAAGGTCAAAACCAAGCGGTGACTCCGCTCTGCAACGGGTTCCATCAATCCGTCGATCCGGAAACTCCACTTGATGAGCTCTGCCAGCAGATGAAGACAGAAGACCAAGGGAACAGAGGCCCAGCAATGGGGGGGACGCGGGGGACGCAACCCTCCAGGGGCAGCCCTTCTTCTGCCACAGAATTTGCCGGGGTCTCCATCTTGTGTGTCGGGAACGGGCTACTCTCCCTGTCCGAAGCGGTGACAACCCACCAGCTGCAATGCCAGCAGGATCATCAGAAACAGTGCCGGAACAGTGCCTCGGACGCGGCCACCTCACATCCCCCGTCCCCCAGAAACAGGGCAAGGGAAAAAAGGCCACGGAGTTCCAAGAATTGAAGGCTATCTTCACGCCGACGACGGTGGTTCCACGGGCTACTTCCTCCCCATCTCTCCTAGAGTAGCTCCAGAGGGGTTCTTCTCCGTCTCTCCTGCATGCTGGGGCCGGTCGGGAGGGAGGGCTTCCTACGTCTCCTACTTGCATCCTATCTCCACGAGTAACAGGGCTATGGTCACATGGAAAGCTGTGGGTAGTCGTAAGATGTTTGACTGGATTCTGCTGGCTGGTTAGGGGAGGGATTTCGATCACTTGTGAGAAGAATATAATACCCACCCTCCTCGGATTCCTTCCCTAACGAAAACTGTCGTTCTAGGGTTCAGTGGTAGATCATATGAGTACTACTTCAACCCAGACGCCAGGTAAGGGCTCTGAAAACTTTGTACCCACACTAAACTGAGATTCTAGCTGTCTAATGATATAATCATAGGGCATATTCTGGAGAGAGAGAGAGAGGTTCAAACTCTCTAATCATCACCGACGTACGTAAGTGAGAGTCTTCGTAAACGCTTTACCCACAAAATTGCCACCTTTTTTGTCTTGTACCTTGATGAAATCCAAGGAAATTCGACGGCTTCTTTTAGAGTTATGTGAAACACATCAATTCCTCGGAGACTTTCGAAGGCTGGCTTCATCTGGAACCCGAAAACCCTTCTTCAAATGTACGCCGCGTACCTAGGGTTTTAGCGGGGACGCTCTGAAGTCCTTTGTTTACTATGTTGAATAGTCGTCCGAGGAAGATTATCGTCCGGACTACTCGCCAGTTTTATCGTTTTCCTTGTCGGCGCATCCGATCAAACGCTCCCGTCGCCCGTTCATCCCCCACTGAGGAGAGAGCCAAATCAAGATCTAGGGCTGGGTTGGTTCGTATGCCCACATGACCGGCTCCCATCGCCCTCCGTCTTTAATGTGCATTCAAGGCTTGCCTTATCAGCGAAGTCTTCTCGTCGGCAACGGAGGAGACGGTAGGTCTCGTCCCCGCCCACTCTCCCCGCCGGAGTGGGCCGGGGAACCCTCTGGAACCGGGATGCGCTGTCGTACAACCCTCTAAAAGTCGGTCGTCTTCTTCCTCGATCCGCCATGTCTCCTCACCGTCGATCCCACCCCTCTCTGACTGCCTCACATGATGCGGCGTTGACGCCTTCGCTATGACACAGCAACCCACAGCTGTTCGAGAAGTACATTTGGCCTCTTCGGCCACCCCGTTGGGCCTGTAGAGAAGAGATGCGCTGGCGGCAGCCTGTTGTACAAGCCACTGTCATCGTCGTCGCTAAACAGAAGGGTCGAAGGACCTCGTCCTGCTGTAAGGCACTGGTTCAGGGTCCTTCCTTCTCGCACGTGACGTAAAGCGTTGGATTGTGACTGAGCAAGCCTTCTTCGGGTGCCCTAATCCACATTATGAATGTATTAAGGAGACTGTTACGTGTTAAATCCAATGATTAAGTAATATTATTTGATTTTCACTAATTATCCGAGTATAAACAGGGTACCAACAGGCTTGGCTGAACCAACCCTCTCTCGCCGAGAGAGAGAGAGAGAGAGAGAGACGTCGACGTGATGCTGGAATTGTGGCACGTGCGAGGTCACAAAAACGGTCCTTCTGTGCGTGGGGAGACAGGGAGATGCTGGGACAAGGGCAGCGACCCGTCACACCCCTCGATGGAGATTTCGGCCGCGGGGGTTGTCCGAAGCCTGGCAGCGGTTGCTCCACCTGAATCCTTAGCCGTCGGATGATGGATCCAACGGATCACGCTGGATCTGGCTACAACGCACATTATCTGGTAAGAATAAGGGGCGGGGGGCGGTGGAGCTGTCGGGTCTTCGACGGGACGGCCCACCATGTGCTCCTCAAGGGGTCACGCCGTGGGCCGTATCCAGTGTGCTGTCTCTGTCAACGGGCCCACCATGGATAAGAACTCGATCCGGACTACGGTCAAATGGACCAGCACCAATAAGAATATGGGCTACTCCTAAATGGGCCGGTATTTCTCTGCTCCAAGAGGCCACATGGGTCCGAGTTTGGGCTCTCAATCGGGTGCCGGCCCATTAATTATTGCACGTGTGGTGCGGGCGATGCTGCTCGCACCGGCCCACCAGCAGGTGGTCCCAATAGCTGAATAATTGCGCCGCGATAACCAAAGATCAAATCGGCTATGACTCCAGACCCGCACTCTGCCTGTTTAGATTCTTTAATTTTTCTAATTTTAGGGGGGGGAAGAAGAAGTCAACGGAGGAAATCCATCCCCGAAGAAGTAACGACAACCAAGAAATTCGCCTGAGGAAACATACTATTAGAGGATATCTATGAGGATTCGTTAGACATCTGGGCATACATGGGCCGGAATCGTCGGCATTGACCTGAAGATGAGGACTCTCCTCTGTCATCCCACGGGCCGACCGGGTCTGTTGCCTCATGCAGCAATGGGCCCTCTCGAGAGCTGACCTGGGATGCGGCGTCCTACTGGCCGAAGATGCTGCATCGTCCTGCCGGCGGTCTGTCGGAAGGTGGCGGCGCCCCCGTGATCACGTCGCTCGTCGCCGCTCGGGACTGTCGGGTATGTATGTCGGACGATCGACGGGGATTGGGGGGGGAGGGTTCTGTATGATCGGTGCATGTGCTCTGAGGGCTTTCCGCTTTACAATCATGGCAACGTAAAATTTAGGGTTTCCTAATCGTCGCGACTTTGCCCATTGGCATTCTCTGATCTCCACTCTATCATGGTGATGATGTGATGCTGCGCGTTAAATGATTGCGCCTATCTCTCGTGATGTCTGCCTTCGAGGGGATTGTTTCACCTGGATTTCTCCTTCAGCACCCAGGAAGCTGATTGATCCAGCATCGGGTCATCTTCCGCCAGGTCATCATCGACCAGGTCAGCGGCTGAAAGAAAACGAGGGAACTGGTCAAAACATTGAACGGGAGAAGCGGCCTCAGCAAAACCACCCTCCGACAGAACGGTACAGAGAGGAACGCGGCAACGAATTAACGACGTCGACGGGAGAGCAGTTTCGGAGCGTCCCTCGTCCACAGCAGCATCGTAAACGCTCCGAAAAGAGCGATTATCTTTATTATCAGCTGATTTAAAGTTATTGTTTGAACATATAAAAGAGCCACGAGACTCAAAGTCAGGGAGCTGATTTTCAGTGAAGTTTATGATGAGTGATTCATCGTTGATCTATTGATCCCGTCGCCTAGCTTGGGTTGGTCGAGAGGGCCCCGTTACTCCTCGTCTGGAGTACTTCTTTCCATCTTTTCATTCTCCTATTCCATTATCTTCCCTCGTTATCTTCCTTCTTAACACCACTATTCCGTCTATCAGACGATATCCAAAATTCCCTAGTCGATATCTCGGTGACCTCCGTTTGCTACTCCGCGTGATATTGGTTCGAGGTTCACAGCAAGTCAAGATTTCTCCAGCACCATCGTGATCGTCTCCGTCAAAGAACCTGCAGTTTATTCCACGTTATCACCGACGGATCTGTGATCTTCCACGACAATAGTAACTTCTTCTTTCTCTCCATTTAATTTGTATATTTAATATGCTTTCTTGCTCTACGTCGCCCGAGAGACCATAGGATAGTCAGTTCTTATTATTTGGCTGATCATAAACCGTGATAAGAATATTTTCTGATATGACAAAATTAGGGTATCCTATCAGCGGTTTTCTTAAACTGCTAGATCATCTTCATTTGAAATTGCGGTTGTTTTCTTGATAATTCGAGCTCCTATCGTCTAACCTTCAATCTGGGGGAGAGTCTGCTGTATTTTATAGTCTTCAGTCTACTCTCATTTTCATCCGCATCAGTGATTGCCAATGACAAATAGCGCTGGAGAGAGAGAGAGAGAGCACCATGCCAATGTCGGACAAACATCGTGGTTCACTATCGCATGCACACACGAAGAAAGAATTGGTGCGCAGTCGGAGGAAGGGTCGTGATAAGGTGTTCAGAACGTAAAGATTTGTCGGATCGCATGTTGGCTAACTGGGCATTAGCGCAGTAGGTTCCTATGTTTGAGCACAAAGTCTGAATGGTTCCCTCTAAGAATAGTATCATACTCTTGAATACCCATTAAACATGGACGACGGTGCAGAATCATCTACATTCGAAGAACACCGGCGGAAAAAATCTGCGCGCCGGCTCCGCATATCTTCGAGGGAGAACTGTGTGGCGATACGAATCAGGACTATGGTTGAGAGGAACGGCGGCCGTATCCTACAGCGGCAACTGATGCCGTCTTGGAAAATATTCGCCTGACGAGACGGCCAGTGTGGGGAGGTAGGGAAGGGTGGGAGATGGGTGTTATCCACTTCTCGGGGGAGGACCAGTGGACGGCCTCGGGCTCCATGCATCGATCAATCCCGTCTTAGGTTCCCTGTTGGCAACAGTCGTCGGACTGTTCTCCGACGCCGCCGTAGGCCGGACTTCGAAGAGATGAAAAGGTGCTCTATTGGAGCAGGATAGCCCCTCCACCACCACGGACGCCTTCAGGACCCATCCCTTCACATTCTGCTAGAAGCCAAACGGAGGAGACGCAGGCAGAGATGCGCTTCCACAGTCGTCTATGCTTCCAACTGCCGCACCGGGTCAGAGCAGGCCCCCGGGAGGGAGGAGCGCCATCGTTAGGTCCCCACCGCCAAAGCAATCACCGCGAAGCATTTTATTTTCCCAACTAAATTGCGACTACGAAGAGGAGCAAGCTTTGGCCATCCTCCAAATCTTCTCAAAATCGCAAGCTGTAGCCAGTCGAAGCCTCTCTCTCTCTCTCTCTCTCTCTCTCTCTCTCTCTCTCTCTCTCTCTCATTCTAGAGGTACATGTCTCCATCCACCTTCCTGTCGTAACGAGGGGTGGAAATTGGTGACCATAGGAATGTATGATTGCCATTGTCAAGAAGAGAAAAAAATACGAAGGAAGAAAGAAGAGGCCTTAATGTACAATAAACCATCCTCTCCTCCAGCAGCATCTCCAACTTCGTGTTCTTCTTGTCAAGGCTTGCCGTAACCTTGCAAACCGATGTCGTTGTGCTGCTTGGAAGGAGCGGAAGGAGGTATGGGTGTTGACCTCGGCAAGAACCCGAGGAAGTGGCCCGAATTATTCGATGTCGGCGTCGTTGCTACGTGGAATGCTTGGATGTTCCTCGAACCGTGGCAACACGAGGCGAGTAAGAAGAAGAACAAAACTAGCACGGATGATCCCCTTGCTTCCCGACCCATTTGCCTTGATCTCCAGAGAGAGGGAGAGAGAGGGGGGGAGAGAGAGAGAGAGAGCAAGGGAGGAACGAGTGAAGAAGGAAGGAGAGCTTGAGCAGAGGACAGAGAGGGGGGGAGACGAGGGTTTCAGTTTGAATAAATAACAAAGGGTAGGGCGTAGGGTGCTATTAATACGCGTTGTGTGGTGTGGGGCGTATGCTCTGTGGGGGGTGTTGTCGGGTCGAAACATGGCGACGGGGGAATTAAATGAAGGGATGGGAGGGCATGGTGGAGCCTATGGTTTGGGGTATTGAGCCGCGTTGCGTGAGCGGCGACGAGCTCATCGCATTTACTTCTCATTCCTTCTTACTGTGCCTTCTCTCTCCTCTCCGAGGACCATCAAGGATCCCGCAAGGCTCGGCGATGAACTGGGGTGTCCTCACTAACTCAGAGGCATGTCTTAAAGACGATATCCTCTGAAAGGGGAAGAGAGAAGGAGAGAGAGAAGGAGAGAGAGAGGAGGGAGAGAGAGAGAGAAGAAAAGAAGAGAAGAAAGGGCCGGGGAAGAAAAGCGCAGGCAAGGGAAGTCTAGGTAAAGGATTCCTGTCGTCCAGATAGGTGAGAGAAGGGGCCCATTCCGGGGATTTGGCGCCCGAATGAGAAACCGGAGTACCTTTCTCTTGGGTTTTCTGTGGCGATCTCGGCGACATGGTTGACGTCAATCTCGGCGCCCCTCTTTCCAGTCGTTTGCATGGAAAACATAAGATGATTTCACAATATTTTAGGCGATTACACATCCGAGATCTCCGCCCAACCCCGCGACGCAACCCATTTAATAAGCCCTTCTCAAGAGCTCTCCTCCATCTTTCCGGAATCGCTCTCGCAGGTGAGACGTCGATCTGTTAGAACAGGCAGCGTAGAATCAAAAAACACTGTACTTTCTAGGTATGGCGTGACGGCTTTCATTCGTGCCGGCTTCATGTCTTTTGTTCTGGAGGCATGTGAGGCTGTGATTGAACAGGCAAAAGAGAGAGCGAGAGAGCGAGAGAGAGAGAGAGAGGGCAATGGAGGATAATCTCCGCAATAATAGCGCTTGGTCTCCCCCTACCAGCCGAAGTTATTAAGGGAGACCCCACACCCCACACCCCACACCCGTTAGGACATGGCCATTTGGGGCGGTGGGAAAGGATGTCTCCATGTCCCGGTCCCAAAGAGCTTTCCGCTGTCTTGGCCTGGAGGGTATCTGTCGGCCGGGGAGGTTTTGACCCGGTTAAGTGTTGGGACTTTGCTCCTTGATGTTCTCAGGCCAGTTGGCCGTTGTCGAAATACTACTCTGAAGACAGTACGTGCCACTCTGACGGTCGCCTGCATTGCTGCTGCACCCACCAGCGAAAGTCGCCGATCTTGGATAGTTCTACTGTACGACAGTCGGATATGTGGAAACCACCGCGTACAAGCCGCCAAATCTCACTCATCTTCATCTCTCCTCTCTCGCTCTACATGTCTCGACATATATTCTCTCTCTCTCTCTCTCTCTCTCTCTCTCTCTCTCTATATATATATATATATATATATATATATGTATATATAGTACGTATATGAGAAAGTTACCCATGAGGTTCGCTCAAGATTAAAAAAAATCGCATACGTACCGTTGCCCTCACTGTGCTCAAAAAGTTCCCACTATGTGGTGTCCTTGACCAAGTTTCGTCGTCCACCATCATCAGGACGATGACCAGAAAACAATAGAATGTGAGAACTACCCCGTGTAGGCAGGTAGAGAGAGAGAGAGAGCGTTGACCCAGTCGCAGGGGCTTGCGGTTCTCCTCATCAGCAGTCCACCAAGATGCATGCTGTTCTGGGTTTCCAAGAAGCACGATTACGCATATAGAACGATGGTCTGGGGATCTTGCTCTGTTTTGTGGCACACGCAGGAGCCTTAATAGAGTGGACCGAACTAAGCCGAGCCGTCACCAAAGGGATTACGCTGATTCGTAGAGGAAAAAAGTCAAACTTTGCTGTATTACATAACTTGAAAGTCCTTCCCAATGGTAGTCAACCTCCGAACCCCTCACAATTACACCACTGTGATGGCAATTTCAGACCCACACGTGATAAGAGCTGAAGAACTGTATCTTATTGGGCTCCCCTTTTCTGAGGTCAACGGGGATAACAAAGAAAATCTGCGATAGTATCCATCTTTTCTAGAATGATCCATTTTCATATTGATTGATGCCAGACAAAGTCAACAGAAGAAATAGCACACGAAGAAAAACTCCCCGGCCTTATTTTCAGAAGAAAAACTTCCTCATTATATGATTACACGGGAGAGAAAAATCATGAAATATGGTATGACGTGAGTTTTTCTTTCACGGTGATAATTCGGGTTAAATCAGTCTCCCAGGTGATCGGATGAATGGTATGCTCGCATCATTGCAAGAGCACAATTAGTCGCGGATAACTTCCAAGGAAAAAGCTTGAAGCCTCCAGGTACAGGAAAGAGGGCAGATTCTCATATAAGAAAAGTCAACGTTCCCTTTCTAGACATGCACAGGCAAAGTTTAATATGAGCGTAATGTGAACGATGAAAATGTGCTACCTATATAATTTTTCATCATTAATGTAAATAAAAGTCAACTCATCCATGCACAGCATCACCTCTGAAGATCGTTCCTTATTTGCAGAAGCCTAAACTGGAATTCAAAAATAACTATTTCTTGAAAGATTTTTGGTGGCAGATGGACGTGAAACTGAAGGTCATTGCCTTGATGGGAACGTCTGCATTCAAAGATACTATTTCTTTGTATGAAAAGGAAAGAGAGCTTATTCACCACCAGAAAAAGCAAGGCCATCAATAAATAATACCATATATTCAATCTTCTTATAATCATAGTAAGAGGTTGCACATCACATTCAATCCTTTGGATTTAGAAATCCCTCGTCAATGCATAAGGTCAATAAATAGAAAACAGCCCAATCAAAGTAACTACTTACATTTTTTTTTGAAGAAAATGTACCTTTTTTTTCTGATAACAGGAGAAACAGATGAAGATGATGATGATGAATCAGAGCGACGGAAACCGTGCATTCAAGAAATCAATGAAAGACATGTTTGCTCAATCGCTTTTCATTCCGAGTAAAAAGAAATATATATATATATATATATATATATATGAATGAATCTCCTGGAAAAGTAACTTTGTGACAAACAAGCTCATATTGTCAACCGAAGAACAAGCAAAATTCATGCAATCCTAATTTAAGATTCGCTTTCTTTCTGCCACCCTACTCTTTGCCATCTCGATTGCTTGTTGCTTTTTCTGATTTATGTCATTTATTGCCTCCCTGTACTGCAACTCTATCAACTCGAGTTCCATCCTCAAGTCTTTGTCATCATCGTCATCATCCTGCTCATCAGCTATGTGAAAAAAAAATTCATCGCTCGGGAATCTGGGAAAGGTAAACGCATCTGTGGACATACTCATCACATCTCCATTCTTCTCGCACGGATGAACAAAGGATTCAACTCCAGACGTCATGGACTCCATCTCATTTCCACTACCATCCACTTCCCCATTCAGTGATGAACTGCACATTGTTGAGCATTTCTCATCATTTCCTTCCATTGATATTGTAGAGACCTCATCATCCGTTGGAGTTATACTCAAAGACTCAAAACCAAGGCGGACAACGCCATCTGCTTTGATGGAAACTTTGTTCTCACACTGTTGACGATTAGAATCCTCAATGGAACCAAACTCAAGAGGAAAATAGCTTGGAACTTCATCTGGCTCAAAGAGACTATGAAAAGATGTAATTGAGCTGAATGTTGGTTCGCTGTAGCAACTCTGCATTTCATTTGACTTCACCGGCAGATCAAGAGATGTGCTCGGCTTCCACCCAGGGATCAGATAAATCAGCAACTTATCAACCAATCGAGACAGACATTTCTCATCTTGATCAATTAATCGGAACTGTTCCACAATATCATATGTGATTGGAGCAGCATCATTATCGAGGTAGACCAGAATATTCATTTGCCTCTCAAGACCTACACATCAGACATGAACAAAAGAAAAATGAGGAAAACTCGTAACCATGGTCTGTCAAGTGGAATGAACAAAGGAAAGAGAAAGAGCAGATAATTACGTCCATCAGACTCAATCCGAAGTGACAATGACAAAGACTTGCCCTCTCTCCTCTCCCCCATCAAAACGAACACTCTTTTGCTGACGGACTTCTGCACCACTGCTCGGAATGGGGAGCCATCACGAGCATTATCCAAGAGGGTGATGACTTCAGGTTCTCCGTCTTTATGAGAATCTCCTGTGGAAGATGTATTGAATGTACTAACACAGTTGGCCTCCTGAAGTACACACTGATTCCCAGCTGCGTCCGTCTTCCCAACAATGGCATCTGATATAGGCAGATACAAAACGTCCATCTGGAGGAAGGAATCCTTCAACAGGTCCTTTGCTGGAAATCGTTGGGCAGCAGGACCAATACATTTTTCGATGAAGGCCTTGACTTCCGGGTCTATCACTTTAGACAGGGCCGCAGGTTTGATCCCCTGGAGAGCAATTGTGATGCGAGAAATTACCATAAACCTTCCACAAGTTTACTGAGGTTGAACATACATAGCTATTAGTGTGCCACTTACCGATGAAACTTTCTTATAAATCTGAGCAGAATTTCTGCATTCGCTGTAAGGGTACTCAAAAGTCACAAGCTCTAACATGCACATACCAAAGGAATATATGTCCACTAGTTCATTGTATTCCTCATCATATAACTCCGGTGCCATGAACTCGGGGGTGCCTACAAATTAATTTTTTTTGGAGTTAGCAAGCTACGTCGCCTGACCATGGTATCCCCATAAATTAATTATACCATACTAATCCAGCCAGCACATGCATTTTTAGAGGCTACTGTGGCCTCTGAACAGATAATAGAGAGCTGGGTTGAGCAATTGTGTAGGGGAATTTTGTTGAGAAAGGAAAAACATTATACTTCACGTTTCCAATTCATAAATCTGATATCTGGTTAACAAAAAAATGAAATTGGTTACGAAGAATATGATACATACCGATGACACTTCGGGCATTTGACTTCTGCATAATGGTTGCTAATCCAAGATCGCCTATTTTCACTTCTCCTCGGTTCCCATTAATGAATATATTATCGCATTTCAGATCCCTGTGTATAATGGGTGGTTCATGAGAGTGAAGATAATTCAAACCCGCCAGGATCTGCCTTGCCCATCGTTTGATAGCTTTCATGTCCACTTTCTTATGCTTCATTCGGTACCTACATTCCGATAATCAAGACAATAAACTCTTTCCAAATGAATACTAAATGAGAAAGAAGAAATCACCGAACCAAATAGAGGGAGTGAATTACTGTCGCAAGCTGCCTGAGGTGAACAACTCAGTGATGATGTTGACGGTCCTGTCATGCTGATCAATCCAGGAACTACAGAACTTTATTATGTTCTCGTGCTTAAGCTGTTTCAAAAGATGCACCTCCGAATACACTCTCTCCACGTCCCCCGGGGACTGAAAGAGATCATCAATTTTAATCTGGTTCCATGCCACTTCTATTCCATCCACATCGTCAAACGCCTTGTAGCTGTCGACAAGGGATAAAATAAAAGAGGCGAATGCAAGGTCCAATTCAGATTTTGCAGAAGAAATCACTGGGAGAAGGAACAGAGAACAGGAGAAGATGGGAGTTCGCGACGTACACAGTTTTGAAGGCCCCCTTGCCCAAAATCTCCTTGTACTGCCAAAATGAAGCAAACACGTTAGAAAAAAAGGAAAAAACCCGTACAATTTGCAAGAGAAAGATCACGCCAAGCCCGCCGGCAATCGGTATGGCCCTTACGCGAATGTAGCGTCCTGTCGGATCAACCTCAACGGCGTCGCTGTCGGGCGGCTCCGCCAACGCAGACCCCTCACCGGCACCGTCGCCTGCCATTCCTCCCCTGGGCTCGGCGGCGAGGAGGCAAAAAGCCGGCCTCAGAAGCGGAGAGACGACCCCCAAGCGAAAACTCTCGACAGACGGTGCTCCCTGTCGCCGCTGCGGAAATAGCCCGGCTGAAGGAACGGGATTTGTTGTGGGAGCCCGCCTTCCATAAGACCCGATAGTTCCCTTTTCATGGGAGGGGGGGCGGGTTCGGCCGACGAAATGAGAGAGAGAGAGAGAGAGAAACAGTCGAAGACGCTTACGCGAATTCGATGGGATCAGGCGCACCAGAAAGCCACGACTGCATCGCCGTCAAGCGCAGGTGAGGGGAAGAAGACGATGACCGACAGCGTTAATCTTCAGAACGACGAACGAGAGGGGGGGCACCGCGAGAGCTGGGATTCCAGCCCGCCGCTCGCCCGAAGGTTCCAGTCCCTTGATTATCGGATCCAAAATGGACCCTTCCAGCTCACCCCCTCGCCGCCACGAGGGCCGCGGCTTCTACTGGCCATCTGTCACTTCTGTCCACGCCACCAGCACATGTCGGCGGACGCCACACGGTAGTATTAATCAAATTTACAACTTATTCGTAATTAGTTATCTCTCATGGGGCCTTCAAATTATTTTTCGACTAATATTTTTATTAGTGTAAAAACAAAAGACTGGTTATACGTTCAGACGTTTCGTTGACTTTAACCAGATAACTTCTAAGACATCAACTTACTTTAAATGGAAAAGAAAAGCAATGGCTAAAAACAGATGCCACCCCCTCCTTTCTCCAGCTGATACGACAGAAATGTGGGTATTTTAAGGAAAAGACCATCACTTCTTTGACAAAAAGTTGACTTTTTTTGCTTCCTTTCTTATTATTTTTTCTTCGGGAATGAACGTGTTCGGTGGAGAGGGGTTGGCGATCTCTCTCAGCTGTGACCCACCCACAAATTTACTTAATTTAAATGGAAAATAAAAACTATGGATAAAAGGAGATGCACTCCCCCTCTCTCCGGTTGATGCGACAGAAATGTCGCCATTTAAAGGAAAAGCCCACGCTTCTTTGACTAAAAGTTGACTTTTTTTTTCTTCTTTTTTCCTCAGAGATGGACGTGATCGGTGGGGGAGGAGTCAGAGATCTCTCTCAGCCATGACCCACGAATGTACTTAATTGACACGAAAAAGAAGCACTACGTTTAAAGAGAACCCACCCCCCCCACACCACTCCTTTCTCCAGTTGATACGACAGAAATGTGAGGATTCAAAGGGAAAACTCACACTTATTTGACAAAAAGTTGACCTTTTTTTAATTTCTTTCTTCCTTTTTCTCTGGGAATATGAATTGAACGATATTCAGTTTGAGATCTCTCTCGGCCATGACCCACGAGAATGGAGGAGGTGAGAAGATGCAGAGAGGAAGTGGGCCGATGCCTAATGGGAATGGGAGACAGCTCCTCCTCCCCTACCTGGAAACCGGCGGACTTTTTCTATACAACGGCAATACATAAACAGAAAGGATGGCCTCGATCTGGTGAGAATTGGTGGAACAGGGCGTAAAAATTGAATCATATATGATGAGAATTATGATGATGATGATGATGATGATGAAGACGATGAGTGATGATGGCGGCGGCGGCGGCGGCGGCGGCGGCGGCGGGCAGCGGGGGGATTAGATAAAAGCAAAGCCCCTCCCCTCTCTACAGCTTCCCAAGAACGGGCTCCTACTTGTATTTGGGCGGCGGCGGCGAGGCGGCAAGCTCCTCTGAGCGGCGGGCGGGGAGGGCCGGCGGCGGCCTCTCCAGGCCGCGGACGTTGTACCTCTGGTACACCTTCTCGCGGTTCTCCGACCACCAAGCCTCCGCCTGGTGCTCTCCGAATCTTCTCCGGCTGCAGAGGGATTCCCCAGCGATCACTGTAAGTAACTGCTTCCTCGGGTAAAAAGCTATAGAAAACACTACGATGATGCATCACGAACTAACAACAGATGGGTCACATGAAGAAAAGGAGCGGTTCTTATGGCTCAGGTTTTCGCCATTCAGCTCTGAAGATGATCCCAGCCCTGATCAAAGAGATAAGGATGCCAGATCCAAATGGGCTGGTCGGTTCCTGTTAGAGTTCAAGCACAATAGGGCTAGGCTAGAAAGGAAGAGAGCACCGGAGAGGGAATCTGGTGAAAGGAAACGAGAGGGGAATGGCCAAGAAGTATCGGTCCTGGTTTTAATGCATCTTGGAAAGCATGTGAGGATGCCATTACAGAGACCCACCAAGATTTATCCATCGGCAGAAGATTAGGGCAGAAGATCTACTGTGATCTCGTTCTATTTCCCTAGCAGGTATCTGGCTGTTGGGTGCATGAGATATGGTGTCCGCCATATGACGGGAGGGGGGGCAGTAAAGATGGAAGGAAAAGCCATTACCTGAACCGCACCCTTTTGAGATCTCTGCTTCCATCTCGCAACGCCACAAGTGTGATATATACGCCTGGTTCATACTGTTCTATCCACTCTGCCTCTATTTGGTGGGGACCGGCTGAAGACGGATTTCGAGTCTTGGAAGCATTGCCCTCTTGAAGATTTTCTGGTTCACTGTCCTCAAGCCCCTCTCCTCTGCTTCCGGCGGTGGCATTCCCATTGCTGCTCTGTTGCGCCACAATCTGATCTTCTACTCCATTGGAGTCCGCCACTCTCTGACTTGGGGAAGGTCCATCCATTGCCCGAGCTTCAGGAGCACCTCTCCATGCCTCGCCTGGGTTGTCTGCCGCAGGCGTGTGTAGATGTGAACCGTTGGAGTCGTCTCTCAACTGGTGTTCCCCGTTTGAATTCGGGTCGCACACGGCATGCGGCTCCACACCGTTGGGAAGACGTGGGGGCCTGGGACTTTCATTGTCGTAGGCCCCAAGCGGCAACCTCTCCGCCATGTCTTTGAGCTGTGGAGCAGTTTTTTGTCCATGGTGAGATCCAACAACATCAGTGAAGGCTCTTCGTCCGCAGCAGGAAGTAAACGGTACGTGCAATAGAAAAAGATCTGATAAACTACATGCGCCAAGGAAATGAGCTTCAGCAGCAGATGGCCAAGCAACTAAAACTACGAGTTATCACACGATCCGTAATTCTTGTAGGCTAAACCATAAATAATGGATACCACCATATTCCATGTATACCTCCTCCCTCCCCCCACACAATATAAATGAAATAAAATAAAATAAAAATCATCCGAGACATCAGATATTTGGGTGTTATATCTTCGCAGCATGCAATGACAGGCCGATGTTTTTCTTTAGACCAGAAGAGAAAAAGAGAAATGATTATCAGACACATTTTTATGGTTTGAATAATAGCTACCACGATTAAAATAAAATAAAAAGATCATCCACATTGATGTTCTCAGTATGTTGCGTGTATGCAAGGGCTTTTATTTTTATCAACTGCATGATATTTAATCATTTTCGATTGCTTCAATGTATCTGCAAAAGCCATCGCCTTGTCTCCTAAACACGAGGCAGTAGACATTAATTGTCTTGGTTCGAGCTTGAAGAACATTAATTATCACAGTTGTGAAGATTTCATCAAGAACATATATGCTCCCTATTATTTTTGTCGGATAAAAAAAATCAACCTTGATGAATAGTTGAATAAATATTTCCAAAAAAATGGTTGCACTTCTGGGTTTTAATGGATATTAGCCATAGAGGAAAAGGATTAATCATGGCAACAGCAGATGTGTCTCCATATACCGTCTGCGTTGCAAAGATGACGAGGGGCAAGAAAGATCAATGATGAGAAGTAAATAGTCACCTAACACCGTTAATCCACAGATGGAGAAGAAAATACCTGTGACGTTAACGATTTTATAACTTCCTTCGCAGCCTTTGCCTTTGCTGATTCCTCTGCAGCCAGCGCCGCAGCTTCCTGAGCTTTCTTTGCAGATTTTTGCAGTTCAAATTCTTGCCGTTCACAGCGTTGCCTAAGATTCTCAACCTAACAAGGTCCAAGATAATAACATAAATATCCTTCATTTTAAGACAAGATGGGCACATCAGGATCCTCTTGTCTAACAAGTATCGTATGAAGTAGAGGACATTGGACACAATCACTGACCTGGGCACGCAATTTCAGTACTTCATGATTCAATAGTTCGTTAGTTTTCTTCAAATTGTCGGAAATATTCTTGGAGACTGAAAGGCCAGACATTGTGGGGACTGGTGTGGCAGAACGCGGGGGGCTCGGCTTTCTTGAGAAGGGTGAAACAGCCCTGGAATTACTCACTGATGAGTTGACCGGCTTGGGAAAAGCCTGACGCAGATCAGCTGCAGTAGGAAAAGCAATCTCTCTCAACTGAGATAATGCGACCACCTGGGTAGTTCTCATCAGAGATAATGAGTCATTCTTCTTCACATGCTTAGCTGCCTTAATGTCCAGATTTTTTATCAAATCTAGATTGCTGGGGAGCAAACTTTTGGATTGTCTCAGCTCTTTCTCAAACCTTTCTTTGCTTTCTCCAGACAGACGGGGAACAACTGCCTTCCTGGTGATATTTAGACCGCCAGGTTCCAAAATTTTGCTTAGTTTCACATAGCAGGTGTCACACACACGATATGGCTTGTTTTGGTTGGGAGATAGCACGGCTCCCAGGGCCTTTCTAGAGCTACAGGAATGGCAATGCACAAGCCCACAATTATAGCAGTTGTGCCTCTTTCGAGTGAACCCAAATGCCTGTCTGCATGCCGAGCATTGAGACTGCTCAGAACCAGATACCCACTTGTGAAGGCATATGGCAGCGGTGAAATTAGAACCACAGGCAACGTGCTTGACAGATCTGTCCTTCAGAGTGTCAACGAGTGTGGGTGTTTTCCTATCTTCGGTATCTCCATGACCCAACCTTCCGTTGGCTCCCTTTCCCCATGTATAAACCTCGCTCCTCGTGGTCAGGACAGCAACATGGTAAGAACCGCAGGCAACCTCAGACACGGATTCACCAACAAGTTTATCTTCAACTAGGCATGGTAACTTCCCATCCGAGTAGGGATTTCCAAGCTGACCATAGACAGTGCTACCCATGGTGAAAACATGCCCGGATGTGGTCAGACCAATAGTAACACAATGCCCACATGCTATCTTGTGGAAATTGTAGTCGATGAGAGAGGGCACACATGTCGGCTTGAGCCGCGGTTCTTTGTCACCATGGCCAAGACGATACTTGTCCCCATCTCCCCATGTAAACAGCTTTCCTGACGATAGGCTGGCACTCGACTGTGTTACAATTACTTCCACAACAGCGGCAGTATGCCATACTCCACATGAGACAGCAATGGTCCTTAACCCCACCAACGATTCTACCTCCCTGGGGTACGCAGCACTTTCTCGGTTCCCATGTCCTAAGACACCAAATGTTCCATCTCCGAATGTGAACAGCTGCCCAGTCGAAGTTATCAAGGCTGTGTGCCAGGTGCCGCAGGTGACATAGGCCACATGCAGGCCGTCCAATTGTCCAGAAACTCTCTTCGGAATCCAGTGGCTGATGTCACTGCCATGACCCAGAAGCCCAGCATTGTGCCTGCCATCGCCCCAAGTATATAGTTCTCCGGCAGTAGTGAGAGCACAGGTGTGGAACTCGCCACAGGCGACAGAATCAATATTTGTCGCAGTTAAGGATTCAACAAGTTGAGGGTGGGTAACATCCATCCCGGCACCATGTCCAAGGCGGCCTCCAGACTCTTCACCCCATGTGAAAACCTCTCCGCTCTTTGTAACTAACGCTGCATGCCTGACACCACATGCGACATGAAAGGCATCCAAAGTGACGCTCGATTCCACAGGTCTCGGCAGAAGGACGTCCGTTCTGGCGCTCAATGGGAGAGCACTTTTATCAGCACCGGCCCTGAAAGAATTTTCGCACACAACCTCGCCCCATATGTAAACATCTCCTAAAGCATCGCAGTCATCTTGGGCAGAACCGTGACTGGAAGTACTAGGAGCACTAGAGACACTGACCCTGAAAAGATCAGAAGAAGCTCCTTTCACTTGCATAGTTATCACATTTGGGCTTTCTGATTCTGCCGACTTTCCAGGGCGGTGGGTTTTTGCTACAGTGTGCGGTGCTAAACTGCTATCAGGTGAGCTAATATCCAGATTGGAGCTAACGGAACTGCCACTTAAACTGTTTGGCGTGAGATCTCTGCCGTCCTGAAACAACAGAGAAATGTCCACGGATAAGAAACCATTGCATAAAGAAGTAAATGATTAGAGAAACCAAAATAGCAAATAACATTCAGATACAATCGATTGCTGATGAAAATCTAGGATATATCAAGAATACTGTCATAAATTATCCAGACAATCCTAAGCGCTGAATGCCTAATGGAATTTTGGAGGGCCTTGACAGGAATGAAGAATCCGATTTTTCGTGAGACAGAAACCGAGGTAGGAATCAGATGAACGATTTCTTCACCAGGAACGATAAATAAGGATAGATCGGAAAAAAATCGAAATTTTGGTTTAGCGGCTACTGTAGACTTGATCTCCAACATATCCAGTTGAAGTGATTGAGAAAGTTGTTGCAAGGCGTTAAAGGATGGAATAGGATGCCTAGGGAGGACGTACGGGTTGATCACTCGCCCCCTAAAGAAGAGAAAAATTGAAAAAAACAAAACAAAAAGCAACGTGGGAAAAATTTGAGAATTCTAAAGTTGTGAAATTGGTTACAAGGTTCCAGGGTTTGTTACCAGTTACAGGATCATTATGTTTTTAGCTTGGAAGATCTAACGAATGTGGGTAAACCTAGAAAAGGTACGAAATACAGGGACAGTACAAAACTGAATGATTTATAGAGGTTTCTATATTAGATTACAAAAGAAAAGGACTGGAAGAGCCCGTACTCGACGATTTCTTGGAACATTATTCAATCTGCCGAACAGTATAAAGATCCTTACGAGAAGGAAAATAATCACCACACTTGGGAAACTGAAGAATATCACTCTAAAGATCTTAGACATCATGACAACGAGCTTTCCAAATTATCATGACTTCTAAGCAAGTCTAGATAAATAAATTACCCAAAAATATCATGCACACTTGTAGTACGCAAAATCGTAGAACGTAGATGAAAATGGATGCAACACATTCAAAAGAAGGGTAGATAACTCCTTTTCTCTTCTGTTTAAAATCCCCGACCCAAAAATGTTCTGTCGTCTTCTGTAACATGTTGCTATAAAACATGCTTCTGTAACAGTTTCTATATTCCTTTACATTTCTGAAGTATAAACAGTCGATAATTGTGACGAATTTTACAGTAGATTTGCGGTGCAACAAATTGCAGGGCTATATTAACATTCACTTATCACTAGGAGCTAATATTGATCTGAATTCTTGTTCTACGTTTACCAAGTTTTCATTCGTCATGAATTTAACCCCCATGGTCGAATTCACTTCAGAGTTAGTTCTCTGAGGGACAACTGAAATCCATGGCACTTTTCCTATACGTCTCAAGTAAAACCATAACCAAACTCGCGTTCTTAACATTGTTAAAGATAAAACCATCAATCATAAGCCTCTTCTTTGAAATTGTATTCGATGAACTCGACATAAAAGCAACTACAGGAATGAAAACAAACTTAGTTGGAAGGAACAGCTCAGGACGAAAAATTACATCAACAACTAGCCCACCGTCGGTCCATCCATCAATTTTTGAACGGCCACGTTGCCCAGAAGAAACCAATGCCTTCAGGCCTGCAAGCCATAGCCCTGCCTCAACTTTGTCCTTGCATATCTTAAGGTAATGGGAGAAAAAATCAAAAAAATCATGGCCATTGAGACAATTTGCGGATGGTGTACATAACATAAACAAGAATAAAGGTAGGAGCACATACCAAATCAAGAGTCCTTTTCCCATTGTTGAAAATAAGTGAAAACGATAAGTGGTCCTTCTCAGGGCATAAGTGCCGTTGAAAAACAGCCTGAATCAAATAAAGAATTATTAATATCATTTCAAATCGAAGAAGACAGAAGAAAGCTGAAAATTTGAGACTTAATCAGCATGGTGATCACAATATAGTTTGCAAAAGATAAACTCACAGTTCTTTGTCCAGGAACAATTTTTGACACAGAAGCTAAATCCAATGTCCTTTCCCCACTGCGAGAAATCCAGATCAAAGATGACTCATCCTGTGGACAACAAGATGAAAGTCTAATGTCATGAACACAAATTATGATCCAAGCTATGGAATGAAGCGGTGTTGAATACATGAAAACTTGAGGGAGGGAGGGAGGGAGGGAGGGAGAGAGAGAGAGAGAGAGAGAGAGAGAGAGAGAGAGGATAATAGGTTTTGCAATTGGACCCATGTTTATGTCTGGGCTTGATTGAGAAGTTTAAATTCGAAAAAATCCAGGCAATGATTCAGGCATGCCCGGCTAATTGACTTCGTTAATCGTAGTTGTCCAAAAGTGAACTCTGTTTTATCATTAACACGCGAATGACAGGAACACATACAACTCATGTTTACTTCCCTACACTTCTACCGTGAAAAGACATCACATTTAGTAAGAGACATGAGTCGATACACTTTCACAAAAGGAAGAGGCAAAAAGGCACACCTAGAACCCTGAAAAAATCCGACCTGAAACGCTGAAAACTGATTGCCATAACTACACTATCCATGGGTACAGAAGAGGGGATCTCACAGTAACAAAATGACACTGAACTCCCCACTTCTTGCACAATGTCCTCATTAACAAACAAGTACGGTATTGTCCACCGATCTTGGTACCACAAATTTCACATTTCACATCCTTTTTTTCCCATTACATCTCTTATGCAGACTCCTTCCACTGGATACAACTAATTAGCCAAACAGAATGATAAGGTAAATCAAAGATAATCAATGAGATCAAAGATTTTCTTGTAACATATTTGATGTCCCGGAAAAGCTGGATAAAGAGTTTAGGGTGGGTCATTTTTCTGTGATGCTGGGATTGCATTTCCATTCACTCTTCTGGTATGTTTCTTAAGAGAAGATGGATAAGCATCTTGTCTAGATATAGATTATTGCATAGGAAAGGGGAAACTTTGAAGGTTATCCTCATCGTACGAGCTCTACATTTGCATTTGGAAGTTTTGTTTCGCACTTGTCAGTTGATCTCAAGGGACCTTGAACAGGATGCCAGCTCTACACAGTTATCACGAGCGTAAACCATACGATACTCAGTAAACAGTTGATTCTAGGCAGAGCACCCCAGTCAGAAACTATTACCAAACAGTTGCCTACAAGATCAGCATGACATCATAATTTTAGTAGAAGCCCAGTCACGATGGTACATGTACTCGTGGAGAGCGACACAGTTACAATATTGCTAAGGATGAAAACGGTAACTAATACATATGAGAAATGACTCTATTTTCAATCATCTGCTAATTTTTCAAAACAATATTACAACGTAAAAGTATGTAATTTCAATTTAAAATGTTATAATATACAGTTCAATGCCGCATCATGATTACCATTGTAAACTTTGACCATAAAATGTATCCCATTCCCACCGCATACATGATTATCCACATTGGAAGCTTTTACAAGGTTTGGTATTGTGCACAGGAACCACACATCTACATTTCTAAATGAATAGGTCCGTACTGCATTCTTGTTTATCGTAGTCAAACAGGTTACAGCTAGGAAAAGCTAGGCACTGACACATTTGAACCATTTGTTTTCATAATCAAGTATTTGAATCAATAGACAATGTGAAAAGCATTCACCCCAACTAAGGAATAACATAGAAACAATAGCATAGACAATTGCTAAGAATGGGACTTTGTCAAAAAAAGAAATCCGCACAGAAACTTACATTTGAAAGTCTAAATGGATAAAATTTGGGTTTTCCTTTACGACCATACTTGAGCAGCTGAGCACCTTTCTTCAAAGCAATGACTACCTAGATAAACACAAAAACCAAATTAAAATCGGACCACGTTCAATGTTTGACACCGTAACAGGTTACTATAGGTAACCAGATCAAGAGAATATATAAAATCAGAAAATGAATAGGTTCGTCAGACGCTGTATAATGCCAAGAGACTGACCATAACCATCTGAAAACAACTTCATGTAGCAACTGAGAAATGGTTTTCACACAAGAAAAGGGTTAATGGAGATTTCCACGCAGAGATAAGGGGCATATCTTTAAACTGAAGGTCCTAAGACCTCTATCCTTCATTTCATTTGAAAATTGGGGGCTACTAAACAAAATGGTGCATGGAATGAAACTATCATCTTCAAGTAGTACTCCAAACTTGTGTCTTTTGGGCTGATTTTCCTGGTAAATGCTTCATTGAACATAAGGACTACACGTCAACAAAGTTGTCCTTCAAAGGACGCTCATTTTACTAATCAGATAAACATATGGCTGGCAGCAGGATTCGGCCCTGTCTACCTTAGATTTTCTATAGTTGATAAGCGGTGTAATATTTCAATACAACGATCAGACTCCTTTTCATGACAAAGGAAACTGATTGTTCTGGGTGAATATTAGACATTCTTGTGGATGTCAAATAAAGTGGCGAGAAGCTGTCTTCCAAACGGTTCATTTTTTAGGTATGTAGGACCCTGCTACACACATCAGTGTGTAGGACCCTGCTTCATTTTCTTGTGGGCCAATTTCTCACGAACTAGAGATCAACATATACTGAACACTTCCACTGCTGTGACACTTTGTATCAAGAACTGGCCATCTACGACCTATTCTATCCTGGTCTCCTCACACCTGTTTCTACAGATTGTGACCTAGTTCATCACGTTCTTGTATAATCACCTGGTATTGTGGTTTAGACGAGATAAGGTGGTACCAACAAAATCACAACCCTCATTTGTTAAAGTTCTCAGATGGGGAGCCAATCGAACTTGAAGCACAGAAGAAGTTGGGAAGTAGCAATTATCTGGGATATGAATCTTTCTGAAGTAACTATTTTGGGTTATGTGACGTCGAAAAAAAAAATATAGTCAATCAATGAGAAGAGACTGACAGAAAACAAGGGGGGCAGTCAAGGTGGTATACTATGTTGAGGCTTGCAGAGGACTGAAGCGAAGATCTCTATTTGTGATCCTTGCCGACAATCAAGGATAAAGAACCAAAGAGAGATAAAGGCTACAGGAAGATAGACATGGCCACTGATCAAGATAAACCGGCACGTGACATGAGAGGACAAGAAGTCGATCACAGCAAAGAATAATAAAAACTCAAGGCATCCCGTGACATTAATTCTTGCTTAACGAGCAGAAGAAACAGAAGCAAATCCCAATTGGGCTCCCCACAGTTTCCACGTGAGTATATTGTTAAAGTAACAAGGATAACAGCACGTTAAAAAAAATGAAGACGTTAGCCCCAGAGAAAAATAGCAGAATCCGAATACTTTTATTGCACAACTAAAAAAAAGTAAAAATCTATCTCGCGGGACAACTATCCGCTCTGGTATATATAGCATGGCTGTGCCTATGTTTGATTCATCTAATACCTCACCATCTTCACTGTAAGTCCACTACATGCTACCACATCAGCAGGCTTTTATGCGAAATGAGCTGGTATAAATCAAACTCTCTACAAAGGTTGAGACCAAGGTTACTATAAACAGCGTACAATGCTACATTGCAGGTGCTTGGAAGGCCTCTAACACCTTATCAAACACAATTATATTGATAGTAACCTGGTGTGCATACAATGATGCCAAATATATGAATAACTTGCAAACCATCTGACTACCACGGGTGATGAGTCTGACTCATGTCAAGTCTGCTTGCTGCTACGCTGATTACGGTCAGCTAGGAACAGAGCAAAACAGAGGAGATCTTATTCCACATGACAATTCCCAGAGAAATGAGAATCCCCGCATCCACAAAAGCTCATTTTTTTCTCACTCTCCTTAGCTTTGTTCATGATTCATCCCTTTTACGCACAGAGGCAATCGTATTCAAAGAAAAGCAAAGCGTACCAAAAAAATCTGTAAAAAAAAAATCCTGAATCCCAAGCTTTCATGTCTTCTACGCGCTGATAGTTGAGCCAGCATTTTAAGCAAGGAAGGTATCTTCTAAAAATTTGACGATCTCTTATGGTTCCAAGGTAGACCCTCCCCGTTTCTCCGTCATAAGTCTTTAGCTCAACGCTACAACCCTCGGGGACAAAGCATCCAAGCGAGATTACCAAGGTTTCCTTCGCTTTTCATGAAAAAAGAAGCCAACAGGTTTACGAACTACGACTTCACAATTTCCCACGTTGGCAAGTCCTCCACGAACAACAGACTCCTATTTCACCACTGAGAATCGGTGCGAAATTTCGATGCTGTTGTCATTTTATGGAGCTACCCGGGATCATCTAAAGAAGACAAACTAAGGAAAACAATAAAAAAAAACTTCAAAAACATTGAAAATGGCAGCCACAACCACACGCAAAAAATCTGCGAAAAAAGCGCGCAAACAGGTGCTGAAACCCAGAAGCGAGGAGCGCCAGTTTCCACACCTTCTCAATGTCGCAGCCGGCGTCCCCATAACCGAAGAGATCTGCCATTCCATGTGAGGGTCTCCCAAAATGCCTCCCGCATCGATCTTGCAGGGGTACCGATCGTCATAGATGGCAGCCCTTTCCTCGGATTCTCATCAATCTCCGAGTCCGGGAGGAGATAGAATATTACCCCACCGCTAACCCTAGGACGCTGCCGCCTACCCACCAAACGGATCAGCTCAATCGAAGATCAACCAATGCCCCCTTCGTCGACCCCCGTCAAGCACCCCACGTCGCGCCTCCGAGCTCCTCTTCCTCTTTTCCCTCCTCCGTCTTACTCCAGATATTCCCGTCTTTCCTCTTTTCCGCACTTTAAACTGACACAGAGAGGCGGGCACTCCAGGAGAGAGGAACTAGCGAGGGGGCGGTTCCCCGATCGCAGTGGCGGCTGTCACGTCTCTCGGGAGACCCCGGCGGAGCCGCCCAGCGCGCCGGTGGCCGTCGGCGAGCAGCCGCCGTGAAGACCGGTCGCAGTAAGCTCGTCTAGAGAGAGAGAGAGGCGTGGCGAAGTGAAGAAGGATTATTCCGCGAGGCGGAGGACCGGACTTCATTCTACCCCCCGAGTATTAGTCAAACAAAATCTGCTGCCTCGCGGAGTTCCCTGATCCCTATTCTTGACCGCATGTACGGCCGTCTCTCCGAACGCCCGGAAGGGCTCACTACGTTGTGCCGCGTCGTAGAGAACCGCCCCCCCCCTTTTATTTACTCCTCTCCGCGCTGGTTTACGCCATAAATATTCGATTTATTATTCCACGATATATTTAAAGAAAACACCGTGAATAAACGATGACGTCATCGCCACATGTCGTTGGGGATACCTTACTCGACTCGTGTAGTTACCGCCCGGTGCCAGGCGGCCCGCGGCGTGGCAGGGGGCCCCCAGGGGGGAACACAGCACGATCTCAAAAGCGGTGACGAGACTCCTTTTTGTCTCCGTCCATCTTTGATCGAGCTTGTTGTCGGAACCTGGAATGAGACAGGATTGGACAGGTCAGCGCCCGAGCCAGCCTACGGGCTCTTAGTGGGCCGCCAGGCCGAGCTGGGCCCATTAACATGCGCGACCAGATTCGCCTTGCGGAAGACGACGATGTCCCGGTGGGGGGGGGGGGGGGGGCGGGGACCTTTGACCGCCGACAGAAAATCGGACCGAAAAGATCTCTGGTCAATCCTTGGCTCACGCCCCAGGGTTTTAATTTTCCCTGAGTTCGGAAACCATCCATTTCCAGACCAGTCCCAGTCAACGCCACGTGGGCTAAAAATCAAACTTTAGTCAAAAAAAGGAACAAACCCGAGCCTATTTCTTCCCCCTGGGCTGATGAACAGGAGGACAGAGAGAACCGGAGTCGAGCCCGGACATCATCCACGGGTTACCCAATATGAGACTTCTCCAAGAACAGTGCCAGATTTGGCAAGAAGTATCAAGGGGCTGAGAGAAAAAAATTCCAGGGTTCTTCAAAATACATGAAAAAGTAGGCTAATTTCGTGAAAAAAGATCGAATATATTTATGCAGGATTTCGGGGGGGGGGGATGAAAAAACGTTCTTAGCATGCTCAGCGTGATATCAATGCAAATCATTCACATTTGCAGAGCCTTGTTCAGTGAATCGAATACATTCTGAAGAGAGAGATCCTCCACCAACACAACCTTCTCTCTGGACTTGGAGCCAGAACCGATCGACAGCTGCCTCCTCTTTACTCCTAAAAGCTGCATAGAGTGCGATCAAGCTTGAGAATAATGGGCGACGATGGAGATGGATGCCAGCAATACAAACCAACGAGATCTCCGGGAACACCATTGGGGGCATTTATATCACATCAATTTCCAAAAAAATGGTTCTTCCGGATCCACAGTATCTTGAAACCAAGAATGAATTCATATAATCTTTGCCTTGTACTAATGAAGATACTTAGATGCGCCAGACGCAATTCAGTCAGCCCCCAATCAACAAGAAAGTCTTAAATTCAGTTCGATCAGGCAAATAAATAAATAATATATATCACATTAATCCGAGATGCTGATCTTGAGTGGGTTGGAACAGACGATGGCGCAGCTAATATGTTAGCAAAGGTGGTCATAAGAGAAAAAAATCAAGTACTGCTCAAAGCTGATCCGAGTCAAGTCGCTGGCTACTAGCCGGTGATCATAGATTCAGGTGCAGGTAGTAAAGGGCTGAAGAGTTCAGATGGATGAATACTGCTCAAGGAGGAGCTTGTCGGAGTTTATTCAGCTGCCTTCCTTGATGATCATTACCTCACAGAAACCTAAACTCGAATTCAAGTCATGGCTTTGTATTTCTCTTCTTGTGGACTTGTGCTTCGCAAGTGGCTTTTGCTGGGCAAACCAGGAGTTGACCCGGAGACTGTGATCAAGTAAGATCATCGTACCCACAATCCATCCAGTCAGATAGAACCAATGGATCTACTTCAGGAGCAATACACATGATCCATCCATAGCAACCCTAGCCTAAGCTTCACCTCCCAATGACTCTGGGAGTCCGCCAAATCCATGGAAGGAAAGGAAGAAGAGGAAAACCTCAAGTGTGATGCTCCAACTTTCGTATTGTATCTTGTCAAAAACAATGGGAGCCCCTCACCTGGTCAGGCGTTCAACGGCACAGCCTCACGAACCCTAAAGAGAGCAAGAAAAGAACCCTCACCGCAGGGAAACCTGATAGGAGGAGTCGGATTGGCTTCCGTATTGATCAGAGATCGAAAATCGGAAACGTAAGAAGAGAGAAAAGAAGTCATCGGTCCCAAACAATTCGAGAAAAGTACAGTGAACATAGAAAAGTTAATTGATCTTCAAGCACAGGAAGAGACGAGGAATTTGGAAGAAAATATGTGAGAAAAGAAAACGAAGCCCTAGTTCTCGAGAGACCGGAGCAACCCACCGAGCCAATATAGTCCAGCAACGCGGCGTTCGCCTCCCCGTCCCTCGCAGGTGCGTCTATCTGCACGCTCAGGGCCTCGTCGTCAAAGTCTGGCAACGACAAAGAAGATCGTCGAGCGATCAGCGCCCAGGAAAGGAGCAACTGTCACAAGAGAAATGACGTAGGAGTTCTGAAGGAATACCTGTGATCGTAGCGACCTTCGAACCCGGCTTCGCATGAACATTTATGGCGACAGTCGAGGGCGAGACGAGCCGAATAGAACGAGGGAACTGGGCCGCCGCTGCCGCCGCCGCCCCGCCGGCAGACGGCGGAACACTGCCGTCGCTCTTCGGCTTCCCTTTCTTCGGCGGCGCCATGCTCTCCGATCCGCCGCCGATCCGACACTCCTCTCGCGGAATTATAAGCCCAGCAGCGAACTCGCCGCCAGAGCACCTGACTCGGACCCCATCACGCCGATTCACGACGAGTCGACTCACCCGTCATCTTCACCAGTACCCGCGGCACGAGCAGGCGCCGTCCTGAAACCTGTGGAACCTGTTAGCGTCCCTCACCACCAGCACTCGCCTCACAACCTTCGACAGGCCCTTGATGAACTCATGGCAGTCGCCACAGACTCTCAGGTTCTTGTAAACCCTAATCACGCTAGTACTCTCCAGCCCAGAGCATACCAGCCCCAACCCTATGGCAAGCCTCTCGCTATGCCCCCTCAAGCTGTCCTCCTTGGACTCCTCCTCCACGTCGTGCAGAGCGAAAGTCGACCCAGAAACGTAGCCCGCTTCTTCCTTCATCTTCCTCTCCACCTCCCTGAGCGCCGCCCTGATTTCCTCGGTCAACGGGTGGGAATCGTCGCCTCCGAAGAAGGAATGCACCCTCCTGTCGACCTCTATCCAGCTGCAGCCCCCTTGCTTCTTCAGCCTCCTCCTTTTCATCATCTCCCTCAAGCTCCCGCACTCCTCCCATCGCCCTGCGTCCGCCAAGATGTTGGCCATCATCACGTAGTTCACCGGGTTCTCTCCGTCCAGCCTCGCAAGAACACCCAGAACCTCTCTCCCCATATCCAGATCCTTGTGCAATCTGCAGGCGCTCAAGAGGGTCTGCCATGTCCCCACGCTGGTTTCCACGGGCATGCCCTCGATGAGGTCTCTGGCTTCCTTCAGCCTCCCCACTCGACCAAGAAGGTCAACCATGCAAGCGTGGTGCTCCGCTCTGACTTTTATCCGGTCGTCCTCCTTCAGCCTCGAGTAGTAGCGCTTGCATTCATCCACGAGCCCCGCGTGGCTGCACGCAGAGAGCAGGGCCAAGTAGGTCACCCCATCTGGTTCTACCCTTTCTCCCTCCATCTGCTCGAACAGACGGATCGATTCCTTGCCATGGCCGTGCTTCCCGTGGCCGTCAATCGCCACTGTCCAGGAGATGACGTTCTTAGAGGGCATCTCCTCGAAGAACTGGCTCGCTTCCTCCGCCAGCCCGCACTTGAAGTACATATCGAGCACTGAATTGGCCGCAGAGACGTCTGATCCCGAGGGCAGCTTCACTGTGAGGGCATGAACTTGCTTCCCCTGCTCCACCAGAGCGAAATCCGCGAACATCCCCAGCAGGCTAGAGAGAAGAAACCCATCGGTTTGATCTCCAGACCTTCTCATCTGGGTGAACAACTCCATGGCTTCCTCCAGCAGACCCTCCTGGCCGTAGCCTGCAACCAGGGCCGTCCACAGAACCGCGTTCTTCTGCGTTGTTCGATCGAAAACTTTTCTCGCCACTGAGATGCGTCCGCACTTCACGTAAAGATCGATCAGAGCGCCAGGCAAGATCGAATTCACTGAACCCACGAAACCCCGGGCGATGAGAGAACCGTGGATCTGGGTTCCTTCCCGAGCGGCGCACAGGCCACTGCAGGCCTTCAGCAAGCTCGAGAACGTGAACTCATCGGGCGCCTCCCCTTGGCTCTGCATTTCATCAAACAGGCGCAGGGCGCTCCTCTCGTCTCCTCCGAGGAGGAATCCCGCGATCATGGCGTTCCAGCTGACGAGGTTCCTCACCGGCATGATGGCGAACATCTTCTTCGCATCCTCGATCATTCCAGTTCTCGAGTACATGTGAGAGATCGAGTTGCCCACCACAACGTGCCCCTCCAAGCCAATCTTCACGCAGAGTCCGTGTGCCAGCTTACCGTCGCCAGCGGCGCCGAGGAACCCGCAGGCCTTCAGGTGAGTCGACAGAGTGAACTCGTTTGGCCGAGCTCCGGAGAGGACCATCTCCCGGAAGCGCTCCAGAGACTCCTCTGCGTGGCCCGTCTGCAAGTGCCCTGCCATGAGCACGGTCCAGGAGACGACGTTCTTCGTGGGCATTTTCTCGAAAACCTCTCGGGCCATGTCGAGCCTGCCGCAGCGACCGTACATGTCCACGAGGTCGTTGCTCAGAACGACGTCGGACTGGAGGCCCGTCTTCATCAGAGCTGCGTGAAGCTGAAGGCCTCCGTGGAAGATGCAGCTCTTCGAACAGGCTCTGAGGAGGTGGGCGAGCCTCCGTCGCTCCATCGCCGGCGAGCTTAGGGCAATCCCTGGTCTGATGCCATTGGAGCTGGATAGATGATGAAGATCCATGCTCGCATCCTCCTCTACGGTTCAGACGGAAGCGGACCCGCGGCCATGGCTCGGTAAAAGTAGAAGGTTTCCCCGACGCTACCTCAAACACAGAAACAGAGATGGAGAAGAGAACGAGGCAGATCGGAGAACCAACACTCGCGCCCGCCCTCAAATCGATGACGGTGTAGTGTAGTCTTTATATAGTAACTATAAAAACAGTCTTTTCTTTGTGCCTGGCCCGAATTAGGCCACTGACCTCTCGCGTCCTCATTAGCGATTTCTGCCAGTCACCGAGTTGACCCACCCCGCGAAAACCGACCCTTTGGAGAAAAAAGGGTTGAGTCCCAGCACGAGATAGTGAGTTGACTCCCAGCTGGAACTGCCGATACCCTGTTGGGTAGCAGATTCACTGTCATAGGGAAGGGATCTTACAATGTCAAGGCCCGGCGAAGAAGTCAACGCTTACGCAGAGTGGGTCTCCTTTGACAGCCTCGATCTTACCATCGGGTACATTGAAAGACCGGTCTTCTGCAACCATGGGTTTTTCCTTTGACAGCCTCGATCTTAGCATCCGCGGATGGACCTCTGATGAACACGGGCTAGAGGGAAGCCTCCTCTCCCGCTTCACCCTTCTCCTTCCGGGGCATCTCTTTCGCATTTCCACAGGAACCCATGGTTGTAAAAGTCGCGGAAGGAGATGCGGTCAACTGCGGAGGAAGCAGAGTCAACGGTACCCACAAGATTTGCAGAGTCAACAGGGAGAACCCTGATCTGGCGCACCTGGGTTCTCGCAGAGAAGTCTTCTACACAGGTCAACACAGTCGGGATGCAGCCCCGGAAGAACCAGACGAGAGAAGGGGAGACCGGCGCTCGTCTTTATGTTCTCCAACAACTGGCCATCAACCGATCTACAGAGATCAGATTCACCGTAGAAGTAGAAGACCTTGGCAGATTGCAGGAGCCAGCGGAGGAGGAAGATACCTGGACGTTGCTTCTACCACGAAATGGCGGGTAGCCATTGAGAAGCTCGAAAAGGATGGCACCGACGCTCCACATATCGATCTGCGAGCGGAAGAAGAAGAAGCAAACAACGAATCATCTCACGATTGGTCGGAAGTGGAGAAGAATCAGAGGAGTTGACCTTCTCGTCGTATCTCTGGAATCTCATCATTTCTGGAGCCATGTATGGGGGCGAGCCGCAGACTTTGTCCGCAGATTGACCCGGGAGTATGACTCTGCCCAGCACCCACTGCCTTTTATTTGACTTTATCGAAGAAGAAAAAAGGTGTATAAACGGGGGAGGAAGGCTTGTCTACCTTGATAAACCGAAATCAGCGATCTTCAGCACTGGGTCGCCGCCATCAGAGGAGAGGAGGAGGTTCTGTTCAAGATCAGCTCCTCAGCGGTGATGGTGGTACCAGCCGATGAGGTCGGGAAGGAAGTGATAGAGAAAACCAGGTACCCACCTCCGGCTTCAAGTCCCCATGGATAATGTGGTGGGCATGGAGAACCTCCAAGCCGGCTCCTGGTAGAACATCAAACAGGCTTGCTATATGAACTCATTCAAATCGAAGAAACACGGCCAGGCGTTTTCTCTTACGATCCGAGCTGAGTAGAAACCCCACCTAGTTGCCTCATGAATTTCCTGGAGACCTGTTCGCATATGGCACCATGCTGACGAATGTAATCGGCCAAGTTCCCTCCGGCGCAGAACTCCGTGGCGAGGAACATGCATCCATCAGCCTGAGATCAAAACCACTGACTGACTGCGCACGATGGGGTAGTAGAATTTCGACAGGAAAAAAGGAAAAGAAGAAGAGGAAGGAGTTGGAGGAAGAAGAAGAAATGGTGTCAATTGAACAAATGACTGCGATGTAATCTGAATTCTTCGACACTTTCTGTTCTCCATCAGCAAGTTCGACAGATAGAGATCTAAAGAATGAGCAACCAAAATCTTCCAGGAGACCAAACCCTAGCTCGATTGCGGTCCCGAGTCCTAATATCAGCTGTGGAATATCAGAGCAAGGGAAAGGAGGGAGAGAAAGGGAAACAAACCCGGACGACATCGAGGAGGCAGACGATGTTGGGGTGGCGGACGGAGCGGAGGAAGCTGACCTCGCAGTCGAGGGACGCCCTCATCCCCGTGGTGAGCTCCCCCAGCCGCACCTGCTTCAGCGCCACCTCTCTCCCGCTCGGGGCGTGCACCGCGCGCCATACGACCGACATCTTCCTCCCGCCGATCCTCTCCTTCACCTCGTACTCCCCCCACGACGTCGACAGCTCCATCGCGCCTCTCGATTTCATCCTCGTCCTCTCCGATCATCCAACCAGCTCGTTAAAACTCCAGAATCCGCTCCACCCCTCGAATGCCGCCGCGACGAGCGACCGAGAGAAAGATCTTCTTTTCTGCTAATGGGCCCAAAAGTGGTAACGGACCCCATGTTGTATTGGGCCCAATAAAATGGGAAACTTGATGGTCTCATAAGACTACTCGCTGGACCCATCTAAGGAATGCGCGTCCTACGGCCCATGGCGGGAAAATAACTTTTTGACCAAAAGCAGGGGGGTCCACACGGTTGGGTTATTCTTCCTGTTCTTCTTTACTCCCCCCTGTGCCACCGTCCTGTTTCATCTACTCCCTCCCCTCCTCGGCAGGCCCCCCCACGGGCTCCGGTTCTAGCAGAGATCTCTGTCTTCTTCTCGGCGGGGAGGGTTAGCTGGCAGCAATAGAGCCCTAACGAATAAGCCCGACGAAAAGTCAATCGCGACCGAGAGACGCTTCCGCCGCCGGGAGATAGATGACGGGCGTCGTTGCTTTGGCCTTTCTATGCAGAGATGGATGACGGATGTCCAGCACTAAAATGCAGGGCGAATAAAGAGGGATTGAGAGGGGAAATGGGTCCAGGGGGGACCGGGAGGGAGACGAGAACGTGAAGATGATTGATTGGCCGAGAGCCTTGGAGAAGATGAGAGCGCCGTGGATATAAAGAAGATGTCTTCCGTTAGCTACCCCACCCTCTGCGCACGTAGCTTCCGGAAGGTGAAAGATCACATCCACGAGGCCATTCTTTCCCCGAGAGAAAGATGGGCGAGCGGGGCGGCCCCAGCTCGATCACCGCTCCAAGGTAAAACCTCAGCTAGAGGTTTGATCCCCTTCTCCACCGTGGTATGGCTTCCAACGCCGGCCCTCTCGGTGTTTGCATGGGAGGGATAAAATAAAGCTGCCAGGGAGGGAAGTCGGGGTGCATACGAGCGGAGAAAAGGGAGGCGGGGACGGCTCTCCAGCTACGAAAGTTGTAGCGCGGCGATTAGTTTATTCCGCTTCCCCCTTCTTTCTGGATTACTCATGTCGTGGGAAGCAACGGGCTGCCTCGGCGCCCCCTCTCAGCCACCTCCGTTCACTCTCCCTTCTCCGCCACGCAGAGAGAGAGAGAGAGAACTGTGCTGTGCTGTGAACGGCCGCATCTCTGCACGGGAATTATTCAAAGTCGGAATGGGGCGTACGACATCATTTATTCCCGTCGCGTAGGGTCCTGCCTGAAATCAGCCCCGTAATGCTCTTCTGGCAGCTTGTGTGGTGGGAACTGAGGAGGAAAGACGGGGTCTTTTAGGCAAAGACCAGGTGCCCACGTGACCACGCACTATTAACGTCGCCGGCGCGCGGGCGGCGAAGTTGGTAGAAGAAGGGGAGGGGGGTTGCCTCTCCGTCTATAAATTGTGGGGAACGGCGAAGAGTCCTTAGTAAAGATGGCGTACTCCAAGGCCATGTGCCTCTTGGCCTTGGCCTTGGCCCCCTTACTGTGCCTCGCCACAGCCTCTCCTTATTATGTCTACAAGTCCCCGCCACCTCCGCCTCACCGCCACCGCCACCACCATCCCTGGCACCTCCCCCCGCCTCCACCGACCCATGTGAAGCACCCCCCTTACCGATACAAGTCCCCGCCACCCCCACCTCCGTCGCCGGTGTATCATCCCCCCTATCACTACAAGTCACCACCGCCGCCGCCCACTCCGGTGTATCATCCCCCGTACCACTACAAGTCGCCACCGCCGCCGCCCACTCCGGTGTATCATCCACCCTACCACTACAAGTCGCCTCCGCCGCCGACTCCAGTGCACCGTCCACCCTACCACTACAAGTCGCCACCACCGCCACCCACTCCGGTGTATCATCCCCCGTACCACTACAAGTCTCCTCCGCCGCCAACTCCAGTGCACCGTCCACCCTACCACTACAAGTCGCCTCCGCCGCCGCCGACTCCGGTGTATCATCCACCCTACCACTACAAGTCACCACCGCCGCCGACTCCGGTTTATCATCCACCGTACCACTACAAGTCCCCGCCGCCGCCGCCGACTCCGGTGTATCATCCACCCTACCACTACAAGTCACCACCGCCGCCGACTCCGGTTTATCATCCACCGTACCACTACAAGTCCCCGCCGCCGCCGCCGACTCCGGTTTATCATCCACCGTATCACTACAAGTCGCCGCCGCCGCCGCCGACTCCAGTGTATCATCCACCGTATCTCTACAAGCCGCCGACTAAGCGCCACCCACCCCATCACCACAGGCACCCCCCGCCGCCACAAGTCCATCCTCCCTACCACTACAAACCTCCCATCATGCACCGTACCCCTCCACCGCCGCCGCACTCCGGCTACGTCTACAAGTCCCCGCCGCCGCCGCCGTACCACTCTTAAGCGTAGCGAAGGCGCCGCTGAGGAGGGTCGGTGCAACGTGCGCCGCCGAGTTCTAGTGCAGTCGCTTAATAAACGCTAGTGATGTACTCTTGTTATGTTGGTTTTGTTAGCTGTCAAAGCTTCTCAGAACCGTTTCTATCCTGCTTTCCTGCAAGCATGTGTGCACGCGTGCCGCTATTATCTACTTACTAGATTAACGACAAGATCTCTCTACGACGAATGCTTGACTGTATCTGGTCGGTTCTTCGCTGCAGGATTCCGCGCCGCCACTCTCCACTCTCCCCCCTCCTCTCTCCCGCCTGCTGCCGCCTGCACTTACCATTAAAAGAGGGATGGACGAATTGCTGAGGGGGGGAGATGGCGAAGGGGGTACCCAAGTGGGAGAGATCTATACGCCCATGGAAGTAAAGTCTCACTGCGGCGGACGTAGGCCGGGACCTGAGATTTTACTAATAGTTTTCACCGCAGAGGAGAAACGCCAAGTCTCGAGATATACGCCGCCCTGAATGGCCAACTACGTCATGTCAGTGCCGGCCAGTCCTAGATGAACACGAACAGGTACAATAATTCACCTTTGGACAGCACGGGATGAGGCAGGCGGCTGGCTGCACACGTCTGACAGTCAACCAGTAAAAGGAAAAATAGAGAGAGAGAAATGTGTTAGCGAGGTCTCCTGCGTCATTCCTCTGCTAGAGAGAGAAAGAGGGAAAGATTGATCAGGAAGGGTAGGAGTCCATCTCAACACCGAGCATCACCCGAGCTTGTCTGTAACAGAAACCCTTCGAGTTCAGCTCTGATCTCGGAAAACTGGGGCCTCCTGGCTGGAGCCTCGTCCCAGCACCTTTGCATCAGGTCCACAAGTCGAGCGTCGGATGGAGGCTTTGGACGTAGACCCTGCGATAGCACCCCAAAGATAGCATGAGAAATAAAGCGTGACGTCGGGTTATATTCTGGTCGCTCAATAGGAAATCCCACGATTATGAAGATGGGACAACTCGGATAGCCCCCCGAAAACTCAATCAGACGGTTGAGAAATAGACGCGTAAAAACAATCCGTACTAAAAGATGGAACGAGCGTAAAAACGGGCTTACTCCCGTCCTTGGCGACTGGTTTTCATCAAAGAAATGAACTGACAAATGGTTACACCGGGAAAGACTTGATATCAATTGTAAAGATGTGCACGGGGAGTAACAACTACCTTTATCACGCACAGCGCCGCCTGTATGGGCGTCAAATCACTGTAAGGGATCTGGATAACAGATAATTCACCTCGTCAATGAATGGAAGTAATCGGAACTGAACTCGGCTCCTTTACCCATTCCAAGGGGTTACCTTGGATGTTGCCAGTTCCCAAAGTACAATACCGAAGCTGAAAACATCCGCCTTGTGATCGTAAGGCTGGTGGTTCATGATCTTCGAGATGAAAAATAATAAACGAATCAGTACCAGACAGAGAACGCGAGCCTTTTATTGCTACAGAATTACTCAAAAGTGTTATTCTATGTTGGTTTTTATGGTTTTTTAAGGATGTGGAGAATTGATAGGCAAAAAAGGAGAGTAACCTCCGGCGCCATCCATCTGTACGTCCCGGTTTCTCGCGTCATTTCTCCATCGGGATTTTGGAACCGCGCCAGGCCAAAGTCGGCGACTTTCACAACCTAGACAGAAAAGAGGCGCTCGAAGCCCGATGGGTTATGTGAAGAACCGGACTATCTAGAAATTATTCGCGAGTCGAAAAAATCACAGAGAGCTACGTACATCCTCTGCATCCATCAACAAGTTGGCTGTCTTTAGATCTCTATGAATTATGTTATGTTGGTGTAGATAATCCATTCCCTTGCAAATATCGATCGCAAACTTCAATTGTAAATGGAATTCCAGTACATCGTCGAGCTTATGCAGAAAATCAAAGAGACTTCCTCTAGAAATATACTCTGCATATAAATTTCGCGATAGCTCAATCAGACATGAAAAAAAAAAATCGAACGGGACAAAAATCAACGCAAAAGCAACTTGAATTGCTCGATTTTTTAAATAAATCAATATAAGGGGAAAAAAAAGTAATTGGTTAAAGAACAAAAGCAAGGACATAATATTCAAAAGCAATAGAAAATGGAATCATAATCCTGTGGGTAAATTTTCTTCATAATTCAAGCAATAATTCCGTTTACCTGTTACTAGGCACATGTGCGGAGGTTTTGTATTAGCGCCAATGAACTGAACCACGTTACTGTGCCGAACTTCCCTGAAATATGCCATGGGAATTAATACACACAAAAAAGGAAAAAAAAAGAATAAATAAATAAAATTCCACGACATTGAAACTCCGTAGTCTGGGCGGCGGCATAATCTGTCGCATATATTAACACTAGATAGTTACTCGAGGATATGGAAATATTTGAACACCTTACGACAGACAGGGTTACAACACAGTGCGCTATATTTGATCATCCGGAGAGTAATGGACCATCAAAAGATATAAGTCAACCTCAGAATGTTGACCTCTCGGTTGAATTCTGCGTTCAATGCTTCATCTACATAAGCAGGTGTAAAAACCTTCACCGCAACATCAACTCCAAGGTAAAGTCCATGGTATCTGCATATTAAAAGTAAGAAACTAAGTTACCATGAGAAATTTCAATGAATGAACGAATGATTAGCTACGAGGTTTCTGACTCACAAATCTCCACGATATCCAGATGCAATCTTCTCTCCAATCATCAAAAAGGATCTGTTAATTTCCCAGTTACATTCTTGTTGGAACTTGAGAACCGTTTCCACTTTTCGTTGATAGGAACAAGAAAATTTCAACTACAGACAAATGACAGAGAATGTAGCTTCACTTTACATTGCTGATATTTCAAAATTCCTCACGAAAAATGTGAATGCTTTTTTCCCACTTCCTATTTCTAAAATACTGATGGATCACCAGCTTTCGGTGAATAATTCTATTTCCTGGAAATAAGATGTCATATTTGAAAAAGATATGGTGTACATGTGTAATGGCAGTCCTTCCATGACATAAAAATAGCCTAAATTTGTCTCCAATGCATCAGTTTGATACTGGATGTTAAATTTCCGTTCAAAAGTCTGTTGACTTCAGTAGTTTCCATCACAACAGTTTCTCCACACTGTTACACCAGTCACCCACCCCTACATCACAAATAACCCCTATTTCCTCTTTTTCCCCTCTTCATTCATTCAACTACTTTACAAAATGTTTCATCCTTTCTCTATTATCCAACACTCACTATTCCCTAGTCTCGCCGGTTTGAACAATCGTTCTCAACTCAACTACACAACGTCCTTTCCCTATCATATGAACTACTTTATCATTTCTTTCTTTCTTTTTCTTCTCATATGAGTAGCTTGAACTCGTATTTTTCAAAAATTACTTCCCATCTCAACTTTGAAAGCTATTTTTCATCCTCAGTCATCTTTCTTCCAATGTTTACATGAAAATAGTCAGGCGTAAAGCAAAGTTGTTAATAAAATAAAAATAGTAATATTGATATATCCTTCTGTAAATTAATCAGATCCCGTTCGCAGACCTAAATTTGCCACCAAAATGCGTCAGCACGGCTTCACCATACAGGTTCATGATATCCCTCATTCACCCAGATTGAAGAAAGGATGATGTGTATGTGACGCCTAAATAGATTCCGAAGTAAATAACGTGTACCTACCTCACTTGTTGCAATTGCTTGCGCCACGGCCTCACCTAAGCGGTTTGTTTCCTGAGAACAACACTGCAAGTTCAGTGATCTTTCAAGCTTTCAAAAACCACCTTTAATAAAAGAAAATGAATGGCGGCGTTTATTTTCTATCACAAATGTCCAACGTATACAAAACATAACTAATTACTCTGCAGCGGCCACTAGGTCAATCTCAGTCACTACTATTGAGGGCCTTCAGAGAAACTCATGGAATACACGGAATTCCTTACCGACAGCCACATTCGAGGCAATACCACTGAAACGGAAACTGTAAAACCACAATTCAGTGCAGTTTTGAAACAATTTTTTTTATCAAAATATCGTTAAAATAAAAGCAACAATAATTGAAAAAAAAATTCCACACCGAAATATCCGATAAGGGGTAGTATAGAGAACTAAAAAATGATGAACTTAATAATTCAATTTCTTGGATGAACGATAAATTACAATTTAAAATATTTTAAAAATGGACTGTCCTCTTACCTCGTTTTTCCACCCATCCACGATGAATATATCCAACGAGTACCCATCAGCCGTCGAAAAGACATGAGCTTCTCGAATGTTCAATCCTATACCAGATAGGAGAGCAGATAGCTGAAAGAAGTACAGGTAAAAAACCGTTTTAATATTAGAAACGCGTGAACTGCATAATTGGAAGATATATTTCGAGCTGTAACCGAGAAAATATTTATGTGACTGAGATCATGCCTATTTCGAGGTAGAAATCATGCCTATTTCTTCACCAGATTTACTAAATGGCCCTGGTGCTCTAGTGGAAACAAGCTTAAATAAATCTTTCCCGTTTATGGATCCCTATTATGTCAGGATAAAGTTTCTAGTAAGAGAAAAATGTGACTGATCAGCGCTTATGAAACAGTTCTGCATTCAGTGCTTCAAAGGCGGCACCAACCCCTCAGACATACTTTTGCCGAATATACGGGTAAATGGGAGGCTTGTCCGGCTATTCAAATATGCTCGCCGCACTCTCCCAGCCCAATCCCACCCTTAAAAGAGGATAAAAGGATAGTAAATAAAATAAATAAATCATAAACGTATAATATTCGAAAGGGCACGGGGGGTAATAATGAATCCAAATGATTAAAGAAAATTCTAGAACATGAAAAAGAGAGTACTGCTGCACACATTAATAGTGTAGGTTCCCTTCAGTAAATCGATTAAAGCCTCCGTTTACCAAGCGTCACTGTCAGCAGGGGTGCTATTCCTAGAGGTTATAAGCTAGTAAGAAGCTCGTCAGTTGTTTCCCAAATTCTACGTCCCCCTAGTGGGTCCTAAGGAATCACTTGTTACAATGCCTCAAATAAAACAAGGAAGAGAGGGAGTCAAGGATATTAAGAAGGGAACATGGAGGAGAAAGGGGAGGGAGGAAAGGGATAATCAGAGAAAAGGCTGCACAGAGAGAGGCAGAGACTTTATCGCATAGAAAATAGTTCAAATCAAGCTATAAAATACATATACACTGTTTCAGTGACTAGCACAATCGAGTGGAAGAAAACCACCGAGTAGAATAGATTTAATGTCTACAAGTGTTATTTGAAAGCTTACATCAATAACTTCCTACGTTGACGTACCTGGCTTAGAAGCATTGGCATGTCAACAGTGGAAAATATTATTTCATGCACGGGAACACCTACGAGATCATTCCTGTAAAATAGTCAATAATCCACATCATTTCTGTCTTCTTTCTTGTTGCTGACTTTGGAAGGCTAATTTAAGAAATATCATACGCCTAAAAGTTTGAATTTCAAATTAACATGTTGTCCTCTAGAAAATAGCTTCGTATTAAGTTTGCAAGCATATTAGTTCATTACCGTGTAAAGGCAAGGTCAATTAACATGTTTTCCTTATTTAAAAAAAAGATAATATTCTCAAAGCTGTGTGGTCCTCGACCCGACATTTTAAATGCCTCAAAGAAGACGACATTACTGAAATATTTTAGTCTGTTTTAGTCTAGAAGCAGCCTTATGATATACTCCTCATGGTTAACCCTAAATACCATTATCAAAAGTTAACCAGAAATTGTTGAAATAAGAATTTTTACGAGGATTATGCATTCCGGTAATGTACATGAAAGATGAACATTTTCCCGCGGGGTCTGTCCCTGTTTTTCAATGCCTTATCGCCATTACTGATGTTTCTTTGCGTACTTTTGGGATCCACACTAACTTCATCAAAAGCGTAAAAGATTTTATCTCGGGGAGCATGAACTTGGCGTAATCTTGCATAGTACACTTTTTATAATCATTTTTAACATTTAAATAGACAATGTTTAAAAAGAAACCAATTAAAAAAGTGGAAATGACCGTAACTGGAGTATGATAATGGGTCACAAAATATTATGTTTAGGCAACTTTTAACAGAAGGGTACCTTCCAGATGAACCTTCTGTTATGTATCTTCTCTTTTCATTGTCCCTACCATTCTTTGCTCTATCAAGACGCAATTCTTTGAGCATAGATGAAGCTGCAAAATCAATCTCACCACCGCTGTTTTCATTTAATTACTGTCAACATTTCCACCACGTACTTTACGTCCGACAAACAGAAAGTGTAGGACAGCATTGAGTTTCAATTTAGTGAAATTGTTATCACTTTAGATAAATCAAATTTAACGAAAAACGCAAGGAAAATAATTAGAAAAAATTATGGAAATGATGCGCGACCTTCTATTTGATGGTTGATCCTCTTCGTGCGCTGTAATCCGAAATCCTGTGGAAATGGATGAAATTACCATCGGTCGCAGATCAGTATGGACACCTATTTTGGCCTGAGTATTGCCACCTATTTGATGGTTGATCCTCTTCGTGTACTGCTCATCACGATTGAATAGAACTATGGATAAGATATCTGTAACCAAATGGTCGCCCACAAGAAGTTATCAAAAATTTCTGATACGCACGAGTTTCTAATATACGTCAACCGAAAGTTTTTAAACTAAAATGCCCTAGAAACCATTGAAATCAGCCTTGGACAGACATATATCCAGCTAGTTTACTGACCAAATGACCCAGAGGACAGACAAAATTGTTCATACACTCACATGCATCCTTACCAGATTCTAAGGATTATGACAGACGACTCGATGTTTTACTGAGTTATAACAGTCATCCAAAATCATGTCGAAATCGGGGATATATTATATGCGAATTATGAGAAATGTAAATCTTTCTGATCACGACCATCTCAGCATCTGAGAGCTGGAAATCAACTCTTAGCGTTCACTGCCTAAGAGAGGAGTCGGGGCGGCAACCTTTATGAATGGGTCAACTGTTTACGTTTTATTTTTCATTGATTTGTATGTATTTCATTCTGCCTTTTACAATTTTAAATATCATGCCATATTGCATCCTTGACCATGAGGAAGCATGAAATAAAAATGACCACAAACCACCATACTTGAGCTTAGCCTCTTTTTAGATATTGTCGTTTCTTGAAAAATAATTATTAATGAAATGGGCCTGACGGCACGAGGTAGAAGTTTCCGAGGCATCGTGTCTTTCTTCGGAGGCTAGATATACCGTCTATTCCTAGGGTTGATATTAATTTGATATGCGGAAGAAGCAATCTCCCGCTAAGATTTGTATGAGTCCGAATCTCCGATGAATAATTAACAATAGGACGCCTCAGCTACACCGAAAAATGGTCAACATTTTAACTTTTGCTTGTTGCAGTGTCCTTATCAATTCGTCTTAATAAACCTAGGTATGTGAATGCGTAAAAGCAGCATGTATTAAACATGCAATAAGCTATCAATCTGGAGAAGTTCTGCGAGAAAGGGACAAAAAATAAGAATAAATAAATAATATCAATAAAAATGCCTATTCGTGGGCTCATAACACGAAACGCATCCCCAAATAAGATACCGATGAAATTGTGTGTGATAGGATCCGGATAGAAATTTTATGCTGAGAAGTGCACAGTATAGAGTTTGAAAAAAAAGAACGAAATTGAAAATAATTATCTCGTTTATTCAGATTAAATTAGTGATCAAAGTAATTATGTTTTTTAATAGAACCTGAACAAAGCGGCAGCGGAAGGCAGGACGCTTTTCTGGATCCCTGGCCTCGGCAAGAATTCTTTTGTGTAACAAAATATCTCCAGGCTTGTCCTTCATATCCAATATGTACCTGCACAAGATGAATCAATATGACAACTAAGCTTGCTGACTGAAATATATCATCCTACAACTACCAAGAATGTCACTAAATAAATTGAAATAGTGAAAGAGCAGGAACACAATCGACAATGAAAACGATAGCGAAGACTTCACAGGAAGGCAAAAGTTACGCAGTATATATATATATATATCTTGAGTTGAGGACACAAATGATGTGGAACATAATGATAATAGCAATCTCACAGGTATACAAAAAAATAAAGTTCAAGCACCTACTGAGCATAAAGAAATTAAGATCGAGGCCTTGGCAGCAAATTCAACTTAATCCAGTACGTATCCAATTCCTTTCACGACGCAGCAATCCAGTTTCCGTTCGACAATTGCATCATCCACCCCATGGCAGTTTAGTTATCGTACGGACAAATCAAGTCATAATGAACAGTAAGGAGTCAGTCAAATCACCGTTCAAATAGCCTTAGAAACAAATTTAACATGATCCACAACGTCCAACTCCATTCACGAACTACGACAAAACAATGCCACAGTAATCCAGTTCATCCAGTCCCCTTTTTAAAACCTAACATGATCGACGCCAAGAAAACCAAGTTACCATTCAAAAAAATTACGAGGAAGAAACCGAAGAAACTGAAAATCAAGTTGTCGACGCGAATCTAAAACTCAAGAAGTATAATGAAGGATAAATCACAGACAAACGACGATATATAAACAAAAAGAAAAACACATCGATGCACCTGGCCGGCAGGCGGTCGAAGTGGGCCTCAAGCTCGTCCGCTAAGTCGGGATTGTAGATCGCATGTACACTGCCATCGGCGGCAAGCCTGCTGTAGATCCGTTTCGCAATTGCCTTGGGACAAAAGCTTCTGCGATGACCTGGAGTCGAGGCGCTCTCTCCCACCTCTTCATTAAGCTCCATCACTGGTTATGCTTCGGTCTCTCGGTCATACGTCTTCACTTTTATTTATAGTGGCGGGGGAGGCGGGGGAGGCGGGAGCGGGAAGAGAGAGAGAGAGAGAGAGAGAGAGAGAGAGAGAGAGAGAGAGAGAGTGGGATCGGCTGGCGGGAAGTGGGAATCCGTAACCGTTGGAAGAATCTCGCGCGCAGGAGTGGGAGTCAAATTCGAGGACGTGACGTGTCAGGATCGTGCTTCGTAACTGAACGCTCTTGAATTTCCGAATGTGTTCTTGGAATGCATTCTGAATGATCACCGTCCAATCATACGATCACATGAAAACATCGTTCACATACCGTCAGATCAATGCTCCCTTGCAAAGTATATCCCACTGGACTGTTCACCCAGGCCCGGGTCCCACTAAAACCCCAATGGCGCCTATTACATCGTGCATTTATTCAGAACAGTCTTTATGACGATAGAGTTACTCCATTACTGGCCGTGAAGGTGAAGCAGACAGTCGCAGTTCTCGCGGCCCACCTCCGCCGCGATGCACGGCGGAGAAATCTCGCCACCGCTGGACCAAACAGAGCGGACACGCACCAGCTCGTCGACAAAGACGCAGAGCTTCTCGACGGTCACGTTGGGCATCACGACTACGTGGGCGATGTTGCCCTCGCAGGCGAGCTGCCACTTGCGGACGAACTCGTCGTCCTGAGGCCGCTCGAACACCACGGTGCTGCTGAGCTCATTGAGCATCGCCCCGATGCCTGCCGCCCGGAGGCGGCCCTTCAAGAAGTGAGCGCTGAGGAGGCACCTCTGGACCTCCTTCTGGAATCCACGGTAGCCCTTGCGGTTCAGCGCGTACCAGAGGAAGAGCGGGGCGTGGCCGTTGCGGCTGCCCATGATGGTGGCGTCTCTGGAAGCGAGGTACTCGACGTCCCGAGAGACGGCGTTGATGTGGGTCTTCCGCGTTATCTGCACCCCGCAGGGTACTGGGCAGCCGATGAACTTGTGCCCGGAGACGCTCACGCTGCCGATCGGCTTCCGGAACGTCACCTTCGGCGCCTGCGGCAAGGGAAATCTCAAACATTCAGCGCAGTTCGAGCTTGGGGAGCTCCTTGTCAATGGCGTATCGAGGGGGGGTGATCACTCGTTTCACGAAGGGCATCATGAGGCCGAAGAGAGCGCCGTCGCAGTGGATGTAGAAGCGATTCTCGAAGCCGGACTCCTCGAGTAACTTGATGACGAGATCGAGATCGTCAACCGCCCCCTTGACCGTCGTCCCTGCGCCGCGCAATGTTCGTCGGAGCTGAGGATAGTGCCCGATAGGAAGAGGAGGAAGAAGAAGAAAAAGAAAAAGAAGAAGATGAAAGAGAAAGGTTTGTGAGGTATTCGGAGCAGAACGAACCGATGTTGACGTTAACAATGGCGGGCTTCTCCTGGTTCTCGATAAGCTTGGCCTGGAAATCAGAGCAGTCGATCTCGCCGGAGACCAGCGTCTTCACCTTTACGCAATCCATTCGGTACATCCTCGCGGCCTTGAACACCGAGTAGTGGGACTCTCTCGAAGCGTACAGAACTCCGTCCGGGAAGACCTCCCTCCTGCGCCAGTCAAGCAGAAGGATCGCACGAGAGGGGGGGGAGAGAGAGAGAGAGAGAGAGAGAGAGAGAGAGAGAGAGAGAGAGAGAGAGAGAGAGAGAGAGAGAGAGAGAGAGAGAGAGAGAGAGAGAGATAGAGAGAGAGAGAGAGGGAGAGAGGTCTTGTAGGATCAGCGACAAACCCGATAAGGATGCCATGCAGATTGCCTTCCGTGCCACAGTTGGTGATGTAGCCCCAGTATTCATTCTTCTCTAGCTCCCACAGGCGAGCGAACCAGTCCAACACCCCCACCTCGAACTGCCTTGAGTGGACGCCATAGTTGCTCTCGATGAAGGGGTCCCCCAGGTTGTTGATAGAGAAGGGCTGGAGCTGCGACAGAGCGCCGTACTCGAAGTCTAGATTATACGGGTACCCTAAAGCACAGTAGATCAGGAAATATTGATATGTGATTATCGTTTCTCTCTCGTCTCAGAAAGAGATTGATGGCCGTTCCTTCACCTAGATGGTGCTTGGTCCTCTCCACGAGGTTTCGTCTGTACTTGGCCAACACGCTGGCCATGTAAGCCTCGCAGTCGCCGGTGAGTTCTTCGTCTTCCTCGGGCTCTGTAATCCTGAAGCTGGACGAGTGCAGGTTCCTCCCCAGCACGATTTCCTTCTTCCCCCCATTTTCACTCCCCGACGGAGCGGAACGTGTTGGGATCTCGGCCGGTTCGATCTCCTCTGCCGGCGGCTTCACCTTCCCGATGACCTGGAGAAGCACCACGGAGTCGTTTACGACGACGCTTCCTACCATGGCTGCTAGGAGGAAGGAACAAAAAGAGCGTCGGAAGGAGGGCAACACGAGCCGGGTCTGTCTCTCTGTCTCTCTCTCTCCTTTCTCCCTTAGGGATAAGATAGCCCTCTACCTCTCTCTTTCTCTCTCTACTGCTACTCCTGTTTTCAGGGGTGGGCGGGGACCTAAGAGCCGGTGTGGTGATGCCGGTGCGAAGGAGATGTAGCAACGTGGCCCTGTCGTTATGTCCGCGGCGACGCGTCACCTGAGATGCCATAGCCAGACGCTCGACGCGTTAATGGACGGTTCTATTTTCTCGAAGTCTGATGATTTTTACGCATGAGCTCAGTCAGCTGTAGGGTTGGCTTACTGTGGTGGTTAGCATGGTCCAATCCCATCCCCGTCAATGAACACGTGGCCCTTACGTGGAGCGATGAAATGGTGGGACGTTGGAGGCTCTTGCCCGCGTAGACTCTGACTGAGTTCCTTATCTGCACGTGTCCCGTTGAAATATCTTATGGGCCCCAGAAAAATCCCATACCCGAAATCTCATCCACAGCAGCCGGCCCTCTCTCTCTCTCTCTACAGCGCCCCTCTTTCTCTCTCCCCTCTCCCTCTCAGCCAGAAGACAGACGTAGCTGACTGAGTAGGCACCGGCCTACGTCAATATCATTAAAAGCGTGGACAACGAAGCAACCGTCCGATTCATGTATGGGCTTCTGAGTTACAGGCCCTCGACTAAATGGGCCCAGCCCATGTTCGGGGAAAAGCCCGTATTTTGGTCCCATGGACGATCTGACGATCGGGGCAGGGGCTGGGAACTAATAGGCCCAACCCCGACTGATCCATGCAAACTAACTCTTATAAAAACAATGTATATACAATAAATATATTTTTATAAATAATAAAATAACTTAATTTCTATCTAAGTTGATTCGTAGCTGTCCACGTCCTCGCAAAAGCTGTCAGATATTATTCCAGCTGTGATGTCGACCAAGTCTCATACAGAGAGGGCTGTGTTCTCATATAATCGCACTATTAATCGGGTTCCCTCGAGATTTCCGACCGAATTCACTTCGCACTTCAGCATTCATTTAGCTATCCACATGTCTCTCTCTCTCTCTCTCTCTATCTACATATCTATCTCTCTCTCTCCTTATCTATTTATACATCTTTCCTTAAATCTATTATTGGTGGTGTTGCTCATCATGTCTAACTCATTCAGGAGATGTGCGAGGAGCCTTCTCCAGTCTTACCTATTTAGGTGATGGTTGAAACCATAACCTCTGAGGTATGCGAACTTAACTACAAGTAGGTCGAGATATCTCCTTTTGAGAGTTAGTTACCTTTTTCATTTTTCTATAAATAGGGTATATATTTCTTCTTTTTTAAGTACCACTGACGACAAGCTCTCTCTCTCTCTCTCTCTCTCTCTCTCTCTCTCTCTCTCTCTCTCATTTGATTATATTTTCTTTCTCCATCAACTCTTTTACTCTTTCTCGGTCTCTTATCTTCCTTTTATTACAGGTAAAGTCTTTATAAAAAGAAATAAGAGTCAATTACTGACTCTCTAGTATGTGGGTTGTCTAGAAGCATTGAGACATGGATTATAAGTATTTGATGAAGTGTTGTTATCATCATAATTATTGATAGCTTGATGATTTTTCTTCTATTTGTTTTCAATAATACCTAGAAATTGAATTTCTATTGTTATTATGATTATATGTTTGCATATTTATTCCTATGACCGCATCACTCACAAACATGGTGGAGATTGAATGGAGTTAAAGATAACTAGACATCGCCGTCGTGTGATTATACTGCGGGTCGTTTTTCAATAAGAGTGAAATCAACCATTTCAGTGTCCGTCGCAGCTCAGATTCATTTATTCAGAACAGAATGCCTCCGCTGCTGGCTTTGAATGTGAACCAGGTAAGCGCAGTTCTCGCGGCCCACCTCCGCTGCGATGCACGGCGGAGAAATCTCGCCGCTGCGGGACCAAACAGAGGGCCGCCGCACCAGCTCTTCGACGGAGATGCAGAGCTTCTCGACGGTCACGTTGGGCATCGCGACAACGTGGGTGATGTTGACATGGAAGACGAGCTGCCAATTGCAAACGAACTCCTTTCTTGTGTGCTCTGTTCTTAGTGGATCTCTCTCCCTCTCCACTCTCTTGCAGTGAGATTTTTTCGTCTACTCTTGCAGGTATCACGAAGGAGATCAGCTGGAGATATCTGTTCTCTCAGAGATACTTGAGGAAGGGGCTCGGCTGTTCCTGAAAGAACAAGGATCTGTCATTGGCTGAATTTCTGAAACGATAACATAGTTTATTTCTCACCGTCATAGTTGGTTGTTACTACTTGCTCTCATTTCTTCTGTCACTTGTATATATATACCGAATTTACAACAAGTGGTATCAGAGCGTGGTTAAGGGAAGAAAATGACAAGCACTTCTTCTTCAAGATTTGACATTGAAAAATATGATGGAACATGTAATTTAAACATATGGTGGTGAATGGTGAAAGATATGATTTTTCAGCAAGATCTTGGCAATTTATATGGAAGACAAAAGACACATGAATCAACCAGTGATTATGTTTTGAAAAAAATAGAAAATAAAGTGACTAATGCTTTCAAATTGTGCCTTTGCAGATGTTGTTTTATATCATATTTTAGATGTTGATTCACCTGCTGATATTTGAGAAAAATTTGAAATTCAATTTAATTCAAAATCATTGATGAATAAACTATTTCCTAAATACAAATTATATGGGCTAAAGATGGTAGAAAGCTCTGATCTTGCAACACATATAGATGGTTTCAATCAGATCATAAATGATCTATTAAGATCAGAAGTCAAAGTTGAAACTAAAGATAAAGCATTATATATTCTTTGTTATATCACGAACTTAATGAAAAGACTGATTCAGGACGTCGGGAAGATGCATTCTCCCTCCACCGCCGGTGCTATGAGATAATAATTGATTCTCAAGGGTGAATCTGGGATGTTTCTGTACTCACAGTCACTCCATCTTCGTGCGTATATGATCTCTCTCTCTACAATTCTTTTTTCTGTCCCTGTCAGAGTACCTTTTCAAGATGAAAATCTGTGTCTTTGACAGGTAAAGATGGGTCTTGTTGATGGACTCGACGAAGATTTTGTCTAGGGGTTTCCGGATGATCTTGCGAGAATATAGTAAAACTAATCTCTCTCTCTCTCTCTTCTTCTCCACGTAGATTAGTTTTTAAGAAAAACAGAGCTAAGAACGGGGTCTCCAGAACTGCATTTGAGCATCGATCGACTATACTTGGATTGAAATCGGAGATCTTGGGAACGATTTACTTGAACACATTCTTCAAAAGAAAATCTTTATTCGAGGACATAGAATCCATGCAGTGGAGCGTCATCCCGGTTAACATCGGGGGGGAACACTATAGCAGGAGTCAGGAACAGGGTAGACGACGGGTGGAGAGGGCATATCAGGAGAAGCTCCTCCTCCTGCTCTGTTTCCTCCGATGACGGCTAGGATCCTCTCCTCCTCGATCGCGTGGAGGATGCCCTCCAGTTCTTCCTCGCGCCCGCATAGTCGCTCAATTTGAACCTCGAAGACGGACTCCGTGAGCAGGGCGTCCACGCCGGCTTTGTGCGCCGCGCAGCCCTCCAGCTTCACGCCGACAGTCTCGGCGAGCCGGGCCAGGCCGAGGTAGAACCCTCCACATACCCTGGCGAGGTACTTGACGTCGACGACCCTGCCGAGTGTCGCCCCTACCAGCTGGACAAACCGGGGAGCGTCGGCGGTAACGGCGGCCCGGTGAGGAGCTTCACCATGTACGCCACGTCGTAAAGCCCCTGGAACGTCACCCACCGGGGCATCGCCGCAGTCGGAGAGGACCTCCGAGTGGACCCCCTCTCTTCGGGTCCTGCCCAAATCCACGTCGCTCCTTTTCAGCAGCTCCACCGAGGCCTCCGATGGCGCATCCGACGCAGAGGCAACGTCGAAGTCGCGGAAGCTTATCTGCCAGGTCCGGCGCCGCCCGCCGTCGCTGAAGAAGGAGAGCCCGAGCTGGATGAGCTTCAGATTGTGGAGATTGTGCCTGACGTCTTAGTAGCGCTCGCGGGGGGACGCGAACGGCCGGGTCTGGTGGAGGAACCCGGGGAACTCAGTGTCCAGCGCCGCGCAGGTGGCCGAGTCGAACGCTTCCAGTATCCGGGGCAGCTCCGTCCTCATATTCCACTCCCACACCTCCCTCACCTCCTCCAGCGCCGTCACCACCGCCGCGCTGTGTCCTCCGCCTGCTTGCATCTCTCTCTCTCTCTCTCTTTCTCGCAGTCCTGCTGCTCCCGCCAGCCAAGTTCCCGTTTCCTTTCCGCCCTTCCGGAGATCGATAATACTGAGTGGGGAGCAGATGGGGATGGAGGGGCACCTATCTTACAGCGGGTGGCCGGCGGCTCCACCATTTCGGTCCATTATTCTTCCGGCCCACCCGCAGAGCCCCCTGCTCTCCTTTTCACCGTCGGCCTAGAGACTCAACCCTCTACTGCTCAAACTAAATGTCTGCAATGTCTTGCTTTGATATAATTTAATCTCTATGTTTTCTTCCTCGCTTTGTATTTCTCTTCACTGTTTCTCTTGTCACGTAGGTGCAGACAACGGAATTAGAAGACTACTTCGAGTTTAATCTCTATGTTTTCTTCTTCACTTTTTACTTCTCTTCTATGTTTCATGCTGCTTCATAACATTATTTATGCATTCATAATTTGGAACATGTTCTAGAGAATGAAATTTGAATTTTTCGGTGAAAAACTAATAAATAAGATTAATAAATATAAAGTTCGGATGTTAGTACAAAGGAAAACAGAATTATCTTTCATAAAAATAAAGGAAAATTTTCAAAAAGATTAATTTTTCCACCTAGGTTAGTAGATTTTTCCCATGAGGACAGCATGATCGATAAACATTTCTCGTGTAATTCGTTGCTTATATGACTTTTCTCCATCTTTCTTTTACTTATAGATAGTTACTCAAGTAATTGACTTCTCCTCATGAAAATTTTAACTAAAATACAGATCTAGCTAGGACTTTACTTATTCTTACTTATAGATTCCTCTTGATTAAGTTGGTTCAAGATCTACCTTGTTTGCGTACTTAATTGTTACCACCGCTGCCCATACTGAACGTTGGAGTTTTGGCACAGGAAACTTGGCATTGCTTAAGCTGTGAATTTAAATAGGTAGTCAGAATCTGGTCAGGTTGGTAAAATAAACCCATTACTCTTCAGGCCCACCTAGAGAGCCCTAATTCCTTTCTCTCACCGTCTACCTAGAGAGCCACCCCTTGTCTGCTTAGACCAGAACAATGTCCATTGAAAGATTGTTAGTAGTGAGAAAATTTATTATGGTTCAGTCTTCTTAGTCAATGAGTGTGACAAAATATTGAATCGTCTTTCCCAATGTGTATGTTTTGTCTCTAGAAATAATCATGATAGTTTCTTGTAGAACTATCTACTACCTTAGGTTTATCTTAAAATGCAATAACTTGAAATTTTTAGAATAATGTTAGGATCACAAATTAACAGATTAATTTTTTCGTGCTAGGACCTCTCAAAAAAATGTTATGTAGAGAAATAATAGAACACTTATAGAAGTTTCAACTATCATGTTAGCAAATCATAATTTGCCTAAATATTTTTGAGAGAGGTAATAAATAATATACGTTATATCAGGAATAGAGTTATGAGTTATTCGAAGAAATAAATAATAATGATCTATTTTTATTAAAAGTTTGATATAAATACTTTGTAAATAATATGGAGCAAAAAAGGAAGTTTGATTCTAGAACTGATGAAGGGATTTTTTTAGGATATTATGAAAACTTGAGCTTTTAGAGTATACAATAAAAGGACATTACTCAAGCAAATGATAAACATGATAAATTTTTAGGAAAAGTAGAAATACGGCCTCATTGTGGATTGTGGAGAATTATCAGTTATTCAATTTCCTAAAATTTCAAAAATCATGATGCAACACTCCCTAAGCTCGAGGAAAATTAGGATGAAAGATAGTTTTCAAATAATGGAAATGTGTAAGGCAGGTGGTAGGAAATGAGTTTACACTTCATATAGATTGAAAAGTGCAGAATGCTTGACTACTTTACTATCTTAAATTTAATAAGCAAATTTGGAGGAAGATTTTAAAGAACGAAAATTTTATTTTTTCATGAAAAATAAGAATAAATTCAATCAAGAAATGTAAAGTGTGGATGTTATTACCTATGAAAATATAATTATATTTCGTAAATGTACATATTTTTATTTAAAAATATTAAATAAGGACGAGAAAAGTTGTTAGGAATTAGGTTAAGTGAGAATCACAAGGATACACTCAAATAGAGGAACAAGTGGATGCAACATAAGCACCGGTGCCTATTACAAGACCATCATTTTATATTAATTTATTGTGAAAAATGATTTCTCAATGATGAAATTGAGAGACAAATGTATGTGGGTCAAACTATTAGTCCTATAAGTTAAGAACATCCTAATTATGCTCTAAAACTATTTAAAACCTTTTACGGTCATAAAAATGATTAATGATTGTCTCTTAGTCGCTGTATGAAGAGATGCCAAAATTAATGTTCATAAAACTTATTCACAATAAGCTGAATCAAGTTGCTACAACGGGTTCAAGTAAAAATCTATAGAGAAGATAATAAATATGATGATAATTTCTCTTAATTTAAGTAATAAAAATAGAAATAAAGAAAATAGTATACAGAGGGAGAAGAGGTGATATTCTATACTTGATCAACTACAACCAGCTTTGGCCCCCCCTTATTTGCATCTAGTCCCAAGTATGTAATAGTTTATAGCTTGAGGCTTTACGAAACATTTAAGACAACTGAAGAGTCCACATATAGCAAAGAAACAAGGGGAGGAGAGAGAGAAGGAGAGAGAGAGTCGTGAAGAGAGAAAAGAGGAAAAGACAAAGAAATGACTCAACGGTGGGCTGCACCACTTGCATAGAAACGAACCACATGTATAAGTAAAACTAGATAAAATCAATTGTGAAAACAAGAAGACTAAGGGCTGGAAATGGGTATGGAATCAATTCAATGACAAGATATTACAAAAATAAAATTAAAATGGATTAAAACTAAAATATTCATTCATTTGCCTCTTCCCCTTTGAACTATGGGGATGAGGCTTATGAACGAATTTTAAATATAGGTGAACGGATGAGATTTTTATGTTTAATATTATTTATAAATGACAATAGAATTAGTCCAAGTTTGAAAATGTAAAAAATCACATGGAATATGGACAAAAAAAATTTAATTTCCTCCTTTGGCACTAGGGGCAGGTGGACAAAGGAATTTGATCAAAATCACAATTAAAAAACGTATAAACCAATCATTCCTCAATACATCTTCCTATCTACTAAATGGATTGAGAAAACCAATTCAAAATGAAGTAACATCAGTTTTTTATCATTAAACAACATATTTTTAAGAGCTTAGTGAAGAACCTGAACAATATTGTATGTTATCACCTAGTGGAAGGAGGAAGAAACGATCTATTTTTTCATTATTAATCACAAAAATAAAAATAAATTAGATTTAGAATCAATAATGGATGTTAATAATCAATTTGTTTCAAAGTAAATTTATTTTTAGTGAGAATCAGATTATGTTTCTCCACCCTGTCTACCTCTCTAGTGCCATTGATCTCTTTCCTCCAATAAATTTAAATAATATGATCCAATGAACCTATTAATGGGGTTCATTAAAGAGCTTTGTTAAAGGCCTAAGAATGCCACTAGAAATCAACACATTTTGAAAATAGTTTGACGAATTTCAAAAAAAATTAGGAAAAATTATTATGTTTGACATAATGAACTCCACCTAATAAAATTCAGATTTTAATCCAAATTATGATAAAGTTAAAGGAAAATATGTCAATTAAAGTATATTAATATCTAATCAGGGAGTATTTAAAAAATAAACATACTATAAAAGTATGTAAAAATCATAGATTATGTATTTTGCGTAATATGTGTTACTTTATTTCACATTAAATCTATATTTTTTTATCGTGGATTAGTAGATCAAAAATATTAACTATCTATTAGTTATCATATCAAAAATTTTGTATTACCACACTCTCCATAAAGTATTATTAGTTCCTTAAAAATGTAAATAGAAAATAATTTAGGATTCATTGTGAGCAAAAGCCCAATATTTCAATACGAAAATGGTTTTTGATGGAAGTACTTCGCTCAAACATGCCTTAAATTCTCATAACAAGCTTTAAGGATGGAGTTTACCTCTATTGTTTAAACCCTCCTCAAAATGACATTTAAATTTTCACATTCCTTTCTTGTATATAATCAACCTTGATAACCAAAAAATATTAGCCACTGAATGTTTGAGAATTTCTACATGCCACAAGGATTAATGATACTCTATGATGGGTACAAGTAAGTATTTCCTCATGATTTTTGTATCTTACGGAGGAGAGGGTTCATGATCCCTTCCACGCCTGATGATTTGCCGCGCACCTAGTGAGCTGTAAGAGCCGCCCTTGCGTGTCCTGCTTGGAGTAGCGAATCCCATTCCCATCCATGCAGACGTGGCTTGCGTTGCCTGTCGTTGAAACTTGTTGTCCACTTAAATGCTCATTAACTTCGGTTTCTGCATGATCTATACCTGTAGAAGACATCCCATGGGCCCGACCCTTCTTCCCGTGGCTGATCGTCCTGAGCTCTGTGGACACACTAGACAGCCTCTCTCTCTCTCTCTCTCTCTCTCTCTCTCTCTCTCTCTCTCTCCCTCTCTCTCTCCCTCTCTCTCTCTCTCTCTCTCCCCTCTCTCCCTATCTCCCATCAGAGAGACCGGCATCGCCGTTGGAGGGAATAGATTAACGAGCTGGCGAGACGCCGTCATGGGGAATAACCGAACCAGATTAATGATCCGTGAGTGGGAGAGAGAAACGCCTTTGGGGGATCACATACCTCCATACTTCTGGCGGATAACGAGAATTATTAATCCGTGGGTGGTCGTCGTGCGGAACGCATATACTGCCTCAACGCCCAATGCGATCCGATGTTACTTACTCTCTCTCTCTCTCTCTCTCTCTCTCTCGTTACGAGTGCCCGTCTATTCAGCCCAACTACGAGAGAGGAGTGAGATAGGCGGAGATTGAGAGTGAGAATGAGAGTGTGTGTGTGTGAGAGAGAGAGAGAGATGACCAACGCCGAGTGGCTGTTTTCATAAACCGTAGGGGAATCGAGTTCCCCTGAGGTGCGGTCAGTCCCCACTGGAGAGCCCGCCCTCCTTGTAGTCGCGCGGCAGTTTTTTCCGCCGGGGTGGTGCCAATGGCCTGGACCCAGATTACCTTCCTTTCCTCCCTCGTCTATTTTCTTAGAGAAGGTGGGGGCATCACCATCCATCCTCAAGGAGACGACCCTCGACTATAAATAGTGCCAGCGGATGGCGTGTGTCTCCCACGCTCACGCTCGGGTTCACTCCGATAGATGCAACCTGACTCTTCCTTCTCTCGTCCTCCGCTAGGCATGGCACAAAACGAGCTTAAGCTTACCATGGGCGGCGCTGCCGGTCCCGGAGGCGAGCAGCAGGAGTTCGACTACTCGCAGAGGGCGCAGTGGCTGCGCGCGGCGGTGCTGGGCGCCAACGACGGGCTCGTCTCCACGGCGTCCATGATGATGGGGGTGAGCGCGGTGAGGACGGACGTCAGGTCCATGGTCCTCACGGGCATCGCCGGCATGGTGGCCGGCGCGTGCAGCATGGCGATCGGTGAGTTCGTCTCCGTCTACTCGCAGGTGGACGTGGAGGTGGCCCAGCGGCGGAGGGACAGCGGCTCTAGGGAGGCGGCGGCGGTGGCGAAGGAGGAGGGAGACCTCCCCAGCCCCGTGCAGGCGGCTATGGCGTCGGCGACGGCGTTCTCGGTGGGGGCACTGGTGCCGCTGCTGGCGGCCGGATTCATCACGAGCTACCCCGTGAGGCTCGGTGTCGCCGCCGCCGCTGTCACGGTGGCGCTGCTCGTCTTCGGCGTAACCGGCGCCAAACTTGGCGGGGTCCCCGTCGGGAGGTCGGCGGCGAGGGTCCTGATCGGCGGCTGGTTGGCCATGGCTGTCACCTACGCCCTGATGAGGCTGGTCGGCGGCACGACCGGGTTTTAACGCCGTTCTCCTCCAATGTGAATAACCCACGTGGGCTTCTGCAATAATATTATGCCACGTCGGACCTTCCACTGGGCCTCACTCACTTCGTCTTCTCCCCTAAACAGATCCCCTGGTGACGCTTAAAAGCCGAAGCAGCGCCATTAAAAAAACCTTCATACGAGGAGACCGTCTTCCCGCGGCGATGAACAAAAGCCAGGGCCCCCCCGCAGACGGCCAAAATTATTTCCCCTTCTGGGTCGAAACCGTTTTAATCCCTGATGAATGATTCCCGAAAAGTCAAAGCAAAAGCAAGCGCGCCTGTCCCAGGAAGTCAACGTTATGACGAGCCGCGCGAGCAAAAGACGAGGGCCCTCAAGGAGTCAGCGAGTTCGCTGAACGGCCATGCAAATGAGAAATTCCGCTATTATTTCAACTTCTCAAAGAGCTTCGGAGCGACCTGCGTTTTTAGACGTACTTTCACGTTAAACGATCATGCATGGAAAGCTAAGACCTGTAAAACGTTAGGAGAAGCATGGCGGGATGGTACTCACACAGTGGTCAACGCATGACCAGTAGTCGAAGTATTGCCCAGTGCAGTGCTTGTGGCCCGACTCGTCGCCCTTGACTCGGTCGATGCATCTCTACAGAGGCACAGGCATCATGTCATCTCGAGCGACAAGGTGTCGTTTGGACATTTTGCGAATAGGAGAGAGAATCTAAGGGGGATTCAGAAGGAATCAGAAAGGAATAATTTTTTTCAAAGAGAACAAGAAAGATAATTCAGAACCGTTCTTCGGAATTGATGCAAAGTCAAGGGTATTCCAAATAAAAAAAAAGAAAAAAGAGAGCCCCTCTGACCATCTTGCCCTTAAAGATAATACAGAGCCAGAGACACCCACGTACTATGATATCTGAAGTCAACGTACGGTTTCAGGAACATAATAGTTACCAGCTGGGCTTTCTTGTAGCATGCATGAAGCTCGCTTCACATCCGACTAGACAGACCCCAGCTCAATCCACAAGCCAGTGTCAACATTCATCAGAATTGAAGAACTGTTCATATAGGAGTGTCATTCAAGCAAACTGACGCAAAACACCTAGTCCGGTCTTTGCCAATATTACCAGATCACAGCTAATCCCAGATCGATGAGACAAGCGTCATGATTGGTTCATTCACTTTATTCAAAACAAATAATCTAGTACTTCATAAAAATGATAGTTTCAATGGAATCTACAAGATAATACACATTAAAAACCATAGTTAATACATAGAGCGAGATAAAATGTCATGATTTTTAAAATTTTAAGATATCAAAAAAATTCATCTTTTTTTCAGAAACCGAATTGCAAGCATGGTTTCTGATCAGAACCGACCAAACATTAAATACCATAGTTGAGATATAAAGTACGCTAAATTTTCATGATTTTTGGATGATATCGCTGGTAAGAGCTCTCCCCCCCATTCCTCAAATACACAGACAGGCACACAAATTGAACATAAGGTTGGTGGAGAGCGGAAGAGCTTCCACCACTTTTCAGTAGAGGCCACAATTGCCACCACACCCATATCATTGTTTTTATTATCCTCATAGGATCCACATCGTTGGCTGGGGCCTTTTCCTTTCCCTAAGACACCTTTTGTTTTCTTCCTCCTTTCTCTTCCTTCCTGGACCTTTTTCTCTCAGGCTAGAATCGCCAAAGCAGCCGCTTCCCAGTAGAATCGGGACTGGAGCTGTGGCCCTTTGCCAGCATTAACGAAGTTAATCCACCTCTGATACAAGAGTGGTAATTGATTAGGATTTCAGAAGCTTCAGAGGCATAGGATTGAACAAAATACTGAATGCTAGGTTCAAGATCCAGAACAGCCAAAATCTAGACTTGTTGCTTGAAGATGAATCTCCGCAACTTATGCACAATGATCCGACCAGAATTGTTTTACAGATTTTCACAGCATAAACACTCTTCTAACTGAAAACAGACGCTCCACATTTTTAAGAATTCAGCCTAGAAAAGTCTGGATAGCTCCAAATTAAGAACAAATATCTTACCAGCTCTCAGAAATTAATCAAGTAGAAGTGAAACAAATGGGTAGTATCAGAGTCTCTGTCCACTGCGTGGCATAAATGTGACAGCAGATTTCAAATGGCCCACAAATCAACTGCCCTGGACATGGACTAATGAGTTAAATGAACCAAGTAGAAACTTTTTGGGAAGCTGGGGAATCCATGTACAAACATATTAGTGAAACGAATATAGCGCATCATTTCCGATTTTCTGGTTGTCTTTATGAACCAGTCTTCAGAAAATTAAAAGCAAGATAAGAAATAACTGGACTTCTATATGGAATATATAAATTTTCTTTTCAGAAGTTGATATAGTAAAAAAAAACTACGGACAGGCCATCAGGAAATAGCTTACAGTCTGATGCAATGAGACATATAAAGGATAAAATCAACTGACTAGCTGATAGGAAAATACTGGAAGGCAATGAAAATATGTAAAAAGGTTCTCCTGATTGTTCAAGGCATTACCCCATACTCAACCCAGTATTTTACGCATTTCGGTTTGCAACGCTCCTCATAGTACTTTTTTGGATCGACAGGCTCCTCATCAGCCCTGTAGAGCACAGAAAATTAGCGAAGAGATTGGATAAAAATACAGTTTAGAGGGGAGGAAAGATCAAGTTGAGAGTCTGCCTTTCACAGCTTAAATTAAGAAACAACATAAAATAATCGATAAAACAATTGATGCCATAAACTAATTAGAGGATATTTTCTGCCATATATATATTATATATATGATCATTTAAAATTCATCATTTGCATTTCTTTAAATGTAACCAGATTAAATTTAAATAAAATTACAATCATATCACTCTTTCTGATACTACTGCTGCTTTATCATATTAGGGATAAAGTGAGGCAAGAATTATGTGTCAGAAACGACATCATAAAAAGTGAGAGTGGTCACGATTAAACAGAAGACACAAGCATCATTATATTTTTAACCCAAAGTATTCATGATAGCATGAATATCAGTCCGAAATAAGTGGAACTCAACTCCTATCTTTTTCTGTAAAATTGTGTCTGTAGCGGTCCCATTAGTAATATACACCAATCACCACATGAATGCACAAACTAGAAGCAAATCTCAAGTCCATATGTTGCATAGGGGTTGAATTGGCAACCAAAGGTGTCTAGGATACAATAGTGAACCAGATTCATGTGCTTCCAATCCAGTTGTGTGTCTCTAAAACTACGAAAGTGCAAAGAGACAAAAAATAAATAATAAGTGGCAATCAATCGTTGAGAATCCGGAAAATGTAGGCTCCAAATCATCATGTGGTGGTCTTGGACCGGACAGGGAAATAGACAAACCCTTGTGAACAGCTCGTTTTGATGAAATCAGGTTTTCCAGTTCAACTTGTCTGCATGTTATTTAAGCGTATATCTTTCCTATAATCAAGGTTGGTCGGACTCTTCTCCAACCTTTTCCCCCTCGCAAAGACTAGGATGCGCGATTCAACAGTATTATGCTGGGCCTTTTGTATCCTTAGAATTTAACTACTACCAACAGCTTAAAGCTGGAAGGGAAGTAGGTACATATTGTTCGAGCATATGGTTTCAATTCTTCCAAAACTATGCGGGCTAATTTTCAAGCGAGTTCTTACATACATATACATTAACGTAAACAACAATAAAGTTAGACATCTAATTAGGGTTTTGAGAAATGGTGCTGCAAGCTCTGAACACATGTTGCTAAGACTGCTACCTACTTGCGGAATATATATATGTATATGTTTTGTGGGGCAGTCTATCTTCTAACTTCGCCGGAGAAGCAGACCCTCATTATACATGAAAATGGAACGGCCGATCAATCAACAGAGATGATTACCCCCCACAGACAGTGTACAACACAAATTCACATTGCTTAAACTGTAAATGAATGATCAAAAAATCAAGTGTCCCTTAATTCAGAAAATTACATAACATCTACCAAAAGCAATGAGGGATAGTATGTCGCAGAAAGTCTTACTGACATTGCGAATCAGTTGCGTGGGAAGCGCTCGACTTTGCCTGCACGCAAAGAGATCGATTCTACCGGTTAGAATCCAGAAGCATCACGGGAGGGAAAAAAAGAAAAAAGAAACCCGGATTACGGACAGCCAGGTCTTTGATTCGATAGTTAGCTGAAGGGATCGAACGGACGTTTACCTTTCCCTCCTCTCACCGGCGAGTCTCCTCGCGACGCACACCGGCTTGGACGAACTTGCGGACTCGAAGGGCTGACTGACTCTGGCTGGAGGGAGTTTCAAGTGTAGGCAGCCTAGCCAACAACCACCGTCCACGCCCGAGGATCTAACACAGGATCTGGACCGTCCAATAAGTTAATTTCAGGATCCGAGACGTCCAAACGATGTACCCAGACTTCCCGCGGAGGGAGGATGCCCTCTTCCGAAATGTTCGTTCCTCTCGACGTTCGATTCATGCAGAAAATTTTCTAGTCACTTTTTAACAGGGCACAATTCACTAAACAGACAATATTTAATTAAATATAATATACTATTTTTATGTTGACAATATTTATATTAAATATCATATATTATATTTATGTTGAGAATATTTAATTAAATTTAATATATTATTTTTATGTTAAATTGATTCTAGCTCTGCGCTATCACTTTGATCTACATATAAGTCACATCAGAAGTAAAGTCAAACATAATATGCCCCTCTCCTTTTTGTAAAGGAGCCCACCAAGAAAAAGGTCAAGTATGCTACCTTAAATTTCTAAATGCCTATACTATATTTTACTGGTTCAATAAGTAATTGACATAATTAGTATAACTTGGCTTAAATATGATATTAATAATATTATTATAAGATGGACGTGATAATCACAGATTTCACAAAAACATTATTATTAATCAACATAGTATTAAACTTAATTAAAATTTACTAATAGAGACGTAGTTTTTGTGAGTATTTCATATGGTCAATAAAATACTAATAAAATCTAGATTATTTTTATTAAATACTACTTATTATATTTACATCAACAAACAAATTATACAGAATTATAGCTCCCCTTCCGTCTATACTAGAAAAATAAATAATGATAAAAATAAGAAGAAAATCAATTTTGGACCAGATTGAGTAGGAAAATGGTGAATTATTATTAACTAATAGTCGTAAGATTTTTATGAAATGTTTTAAGGTAATAGATATATTTTTTACGTAATATCAAAGAAATATAGTTACTAAATAATTCAACATCTCAAAAGGAATCTTAGCCCTCCAATGTAATTAATCCAATGCTCTAGAAAAATTCACAACATTCATAAATCCAACATCTCCCCATCTCGTGCCATCATACAAGAAGGAAGAGTATACACCTTTCTCATTCCTACCTTTCTCATACGCCTTTTGTTGATTTTTGAGGAGTAAACAAAATTGATAGCTTACAAGTCCACTAGTGGGAATGGCCAAGATTCCACCTACTTACATGGCCCAAGCACAAAAGGCACAATGATTATAAGGATTTAGTTTAGATATTACACAAAAATTACAGTCATAAATCACCTAATTTGATTCCCCATTTTCTTACTCATTTAGATCAAAATTGAGTTTCTTCTTAGTATTATTATTATGTATTTTATTTTAGAAGGGGAGCTATAATTCTATATAATTTGTATGCTGAGGTTAAATCTAATGACCCACGAGTATAGTAAGGAATGTTTAAATAAAAGGAATTTTCTTTGAATTAGGATTCCCAAAATACTATTCTTATGTTAGTAATTTTATTAATATTAATATTGTGTTAACTAATAATAATATCGTTGGTGAAATCTGTAATTATTACGTGCATCTTATAATAATAATATTAATATCATATTTAACTCCGATTACACTAATTATATAAATTGCTTTTTGAACTAGTAAAAAATATTACAGGCACTTAGAAATTTAAGGTTGCATACTTGACTTTACTTGGTGGGTCACTTACAAAAAGGACAGGGGGATGCCATGTTTGATTTTACTTCAGATGTGAAGTATCTATAGATCCAAGTGATAACGAAGAGTTAAAATCAATTTAAGATTAAAAAATAATATATGAAAGTTAATTAAATATTGTGTGTAAAGTGCATTGTGCCATGTTAAAAAGCTACAGGAAAATTTTCCGCACCAATCAGACTTTGAGAGGAATGAACACCCTGGGGAAGTCAATTCCGGATGAGGGTATCATCCTTCCACCGCCGGTAGTGGGAGTGCATCGTTTGAAATTCTCAGATCCTGAAAAATAAGAGGCTCCTCCTTACTATGGACTAGACGTCCGTCCTCACCGCGCTCAACCCCATCATCATGGACGCCGTGGAGACGAGCCCGTCGTTGGCGCCCAGCACCGCCGCGCGCAGCCACTGCGCCCTCTGCTGCTCGTCTCTGGGACCGGCAGCGCCGCCCATGGTCAGCTTAAGCTCGTTCTGTGCCATGCCTAGCGGAGGACGAGCGAAGGAAGAGTCAGGCTGCACCTATCAGAGGGACCCCGAGCGTGAGCGTGGGAGGCACACGCCCTTCTGAGGCTTTATTTATAGTCGCGGGTCGTCTCCTTGAGGATCGATGATGATGCCCCCACCTTCTCTAAGAAAAGAAACGAGGGAGGAAAGGAGGGTAATCTGGCCCCACGCTATTGGCACCACTAGGCAGAAAACCTGCCGCGCGTATCTCCGGTGGGGACCGACCGCGCCTTAGGGGAACTCGTTTCCCCTACGGTTTATGAAAACAGCCATTCGGCGTTGATCAGCTCTCTCTCTCTCTCTCTCTCTCTCTCTACAAGTGCCCGTCTGTTCAGCCCGCCTACGACAGAGGAGTGAGACAGGCAGATAGATTCATAAATAGATAGAGCGAGAGAGCGAGAAACAGAGAGAGAGAGAAGCTGCCTACTGTGTCGACGCGGCTCTGGACAATGCGCCATATGGAGAAGGCGTGGGGTAGGCAGGGATAGGGGCCCACAAAATGTTCAGCTGTGCATCGATGGGAACGAAATTCGGCCGCTCCAAGCTCACCACGGAAGGTAGGCCCTGACAGTCCACTCGAGCCGTGACCTGAAAACCATCGGGCGTGGAGGGGACCAGACCATCCAGCACATATGTGGAGCATCTGGCGGTGGCTTCCCTGGTGACGCGTCGTCGCGTATATAACAGCAGGGCCACATTGACACTTCTCCTTCATCTGCTCATCAGGTCCCCGCCCACCCCAGATAACCGGAGTTGCAGGAGAGAGAGAGAGAGAGAGAGAGAGAGAGAGAGAGAGAGAGAGAGGATACCTTATCCCAAAGGAGAGAGAAAGCAGAGAGAGAAGCAAACCTAGGTCGTGTTGCCTCCCTTCCGTCCCTCTCTTTCTTCCTTCCTCCTAGCAGCCATGGTAGGAAGCGTCGTAAACGACTCCGGGGTGCTTCTCCAGGTCATCGGGAAAGTGAAGCCGCCGGCAGAGGAGATCGAACCGGCCGAGATCGCAGGGACCCGTTCCGCTCAGTTGGGGAGAGAAAATGGGAGGAAGAAGGAAATCCTGCTCGGGAGGAACCTGCACTCGTCCAGCTTCGGGATTACAGAGCCCGAGGCAGACGAAGAACTCACCAGCGACCGCGAGGCTTACATGGCCAGCGTGTTGGCCAAATACAGACGAAACCTCGTGGAGAGGACCAAGCACCATCTAGGTAAAGGAACGGCCGTCGATCTCGTTCTGAGACGAGAGAGAAACGATAATCTCATATCAGTATTTCCTGATCTACTGTGTTTTAGGGTACCCGTATAATCTAGACTTCGAGTACGGCGCTCTGTCGCAGCTCCAGCCCTTCTCCATCAACAACCTGGGGGACCCCTTCATCGAGAGCAACTATGGCGTCCACTCAAGGCAGTTCGAGGTGGGGGTGTTGGACTGGTTCGCCCGCCTGTGGGAGCTAGAGAAGAACGAATACTGGGGCTACATTACCAGCTGTGGCACAGAAGGCAATCTGGATGGTATTCTTATCGGGTTCGTACCAGATCATACAAGCCCTCTCTCTCTCTCTCTCTCTCTCTCTCGCTCTCACTCGCTCACTAACTCACTCTCCTCACGTGCGATGCTTCTTCTTGACCGGCAGAGGCGAGAGATCTTCCCGGACGGAGTCCTGTACGCTTCGAGGGAGTCCCACTACTCGGTGTTCAAGGCCGCGAGGATGTACAGAATGGATTGCGTGAAGGTGGAGACGCTGATCTCCGGCGAGATCGACTGCTCCGGTTTCCAGGTCAAACTTCTGGAGAACAAGGAGAGGCCAGCCATCGTCAACGTCAACATCGGTCGGTTCTGCTCCGAATACCTCACAGACCTTTCTTTTTCTTCTTCGTCTTCCTCCTCCTATCTGGCACTCGCCTCAGCTCCGACTACCATTGAGTGGCGCAGGGACGACGGTCAAGGGAGCGGTCGACGATCTCGATCTCGTCATCAAGTTACTCGAGGAGTCCGGCTTCGAGAATCGCTTCTACATCCACTGCGACGGCGCGCTCTTCGGCCTCATGATGCCCTTCGTGAAACGAGTGATCACCCCCCCTCGATACGCCATTGACAAGGAGCTCCCCAAGCTCGAACTGCGCTGAATGTTTGAGATTTCCCTTGCCGCAGGCGCCGAAGGTGACGGACCTTCTTTTTCGCTCACTCCCAACTCTATTTTGTAGTAGATGTAAAAAGACAAACCACATTTCAATAAATGTCTAAGATAACATAATTTGTGTTTATTTCAAGAGCATTATGCCCATTCATTCTACAACACCATTTTTATGATGTTTTTTAAAAAGTCATCAAGAATGGTCAGAAAATAATTTACATCACCCTTTGATGAATTGAAACATGATTCTAAAACTTGGAAAAGATGCAATCTACAACGCCCTCAAACTTGTGGACTATAGTTTTAAATTTCATCTTTCTCTATTTTGCCAAACACATGAGGAGTGAACATTTGAGTTTTTCTCACTCGTGTAATTTTTCAATGTGAAATTAATAAGGGCTTCCACTTTTCATTTGTATCATTTCGTAAAATCTTCATAGAGATAAAAGGTGCTTGACGTTGCAGAGACAACCAAGGATGCAGATGATTAAGTGCTTTTGAGGTACACACCCAATAATTATGTGACACATAATGACAAACAAAGTATTTATGTTTTTCCTTTATGTCAATGGCAAAGGTTGATTCTTACTGATACCTTTTTATGGTTGTTTGAAGAGACTTTGGTATCTTGTGATCATCAATTTGCAGCATGATGAAATCTTCAAATATATTATGACAAAGGAATGCCATGAACAAAGAGAGAGTTTGCAAACCTACTAGCAAGAAGTCCTTAAGAAGTCAGCCCTGACCACCAGAAAATAGAAGCCTCAGTACTTTCACCTTCTAATGTTTGTCCCTATTGGCACTATGCACACATACACAAGTTGTCATGTTGTGTTGCTCCTATGTAGCCATTGTGTCTTATTGTATCATTGTGCATATGACACCCCTTTGTGTGTGGTGCACTAGTTGGTTTTACACTGCCAATGAATTTCATTATATGCAACAAAGATTCAATAAATCATGACATCCTCCCTCATTTTATGAATTTGATGCATAAAAAAAAGGAGGATGTCATGAGAGAGTTCACATTTTACTTTGATCATCCCCTTCACTTGACAATTAAATAAATGTGAAAGTTTATGTGGAACCATCCACCTTAATTGGCCTCCTTCTAGTCACTCCACATATTGTCATCTATGTCATTAGTCATTAGTGTATCGAGTGTGCACTATTATGGTGGAGCACATGGAGGATAATTATACCTCCACATCCTCCTCATCTATATGGTAGAATTTCAGCATAGGTATGTGGCATATAAGTTGAGGTGGTATGTTAGCTTACTTATTAGTGCCACATTTTTTAATGATCCATCAAGCATGACAATATCCCATATGACTTGATATTCTTGTACTAGCTTGAGTTGATGAAAATAACATACATTCACCCCAATGAACTCCTCAAATTAGTGTCGATCTATATACTTCATCATTTAATGTGTAGTGTGTATTTTTGGTGATGTCCCATGATGAAAAGTCCTCATACCTCACAACATTGGTTATGAAGAGGATCACCATCACTTTTGCTACACAATTTGTTCATGTTGACATGAACATTACATATTTGAACTAGTTGATCATGATGAAGATTGGTCTGAATCTATTTACCTTCTGTTATTCAACAATGAAGTCCATGGAAATAAACTCATAAGGTCTACTCATGATGGATATTAATTTTAAGGTGTTCAAATCGAATAAAATGAAACGTAAATTATGATATCTTATGTTATTTCTATTCAAAAGTAATTACTGAACAGCAACATGAATATATACTCATATCAAGGGTGTTTGGTGTAGAACACATTATGCACCTTGCATAGCAAGCGCCAACACAACGTACCCATATGCAGCACATACAATCAAGTGCCCAAACACTTGGACGTCCATGTTATTCATACATGGATATCATCCATGTTGTCCAACGCCTTATCCCTTAGGTTGTGAGCTAGAACAAATATATCATTTTTGTGTCCACAACTAGAGCATCTGAAATCTTCACTAGCATAGTGCCACTAGTTGTCACAAGTAGTTACAAGTAGTTATAAGCTTACTATGTGATATTTTGTTGTTGTATGTGTTGGGCCCTAGATGGTTAGATAAATCAAGAAAGGGGGAAGATATATTGCTTTATAATTTTCATTAAATTAAGTATAATATATTTTTTTATTTGGATAATTTTACATTATTTTTAAAATTAATATACAAAAATGAGCTAAATCAAAAATAATGTGGACCTTAAATTTTAGATTCACTCTATTAAGCTCTCTTGATCGACATTGACTTTCGAGAAATCTACATTATGGTTTTTATTCTACCCTCAAAATATAATTGATTTTACTAAGATCAAGAACCCTTTAAATCATCAAACTATGAGAGTTGTGATCACTCTATCTAGAAGCATAATTGATGTGGGACCAAAGAGGGGAAAGATAGATATCTAGTATAGAAAAGAAAGTTGGGATTTAGGATTGACCTTGACCAAGTTAAGACAGATTGTGGGTAAACTAATCTAGCTGATTTTAAAAGAATTAAGATCATAATTATCTAATAATAACCTCACTTTCACAGGTTCAAATATAATTTCAACTAAGGATATTAAGATCACTGATAAAGGCACAAGAGAAGTCTATCTTATGGTTCACTCAATTTCTATAAGGAGCAAGGATATAAAATAATGATGACTCTACAAAGAGAATTGAAATCAATGTAACATGTCAAAGGAGATTTTTGATTGATTTTCTTGATTCTAGTGGCTTGAGATCCATAGTTCTTGAGTTGATTCTCAAGATGATTAGAAAACAGAAGAGAAAAATGTCAAGGGCGTGAATGAGGGGTTGAGAATGGAAGAGGCGGATTGAGGTGGGATAGGTGGGAAGGATAAGACAAAGAGTCAACGGGAAAAGAAATGAAAATGGAGGAGAGAGAAGAGAGAGAGAGAGGAAACAGAGAGTGTATGTGGTGACGACGGGAGAGAAAAGGAGAGAGTTCTTGTGGTGACGACAATCGAGGGTGAATAATTAAATAATAACTAAAGGGGAAGGGAGAAAAAGGTGGTGAATGAGAGCATCGGTAGGAGAGAGAGAAAAGGGGTTTCATCATGACGAACGGCTAAAAGTCGGATGGTGGCGACAGTGGGGGTGAGAAAGGAAGAGGGTTTCGCAAAAGGAGGACGACTGAAAGGGAGTCTAGTGGCGTTGACAGGCTGGCGACGGGGCGGACGGCGAGGAAGTGGAATGGTGGCGACATGGCAGATGAGGAGAAAGAGGAACGACGGTGACGGGGTGGATGGCGAGGAGGCGGAACAGCGGCAACAGGGCGGACGATGGAGAGGCTGAATGGCGACGACAGTGGGGGTGGAAAGAGAGGTGGGTTTGGTGACATGGCAGATGGCTAGAAGGCGGAATGGCTGCGGTGGTAGGAGAGATGAAGACATCGTGGAAGAAGAGGAAAAGATGGAGGTCCCCATAATCCAAGAGGGCAAGAAGAAAAAGATACCCCTAATCCAAGAGGCAAGCGAAAGAAAAAAGGAATCCCTAATCCAAGAGAGGTGAGAAGATTAATAAATTCTTGATTTTTTTCAATAAATCATCATCTCCTAAATACAACATGAGTTTTAGAATTTATAGAGGAGAAAGGAAGAGGAGTGGTTGTCTACTAAATTAAGAGATAAAGAGAGAAAAAGGATGAAGGAGAGACCTTTTCCCAAGAGATGTCATGGGGTGTCTTTTGGTTGAAACGGCACCCCACTCAAGGAGAGGAGGGGTATGAGGATCATGTGGCTTCCTCTCCCTCTTCTTCTTCTTCTTCTCTTTCTGCTTCTTGTTGGACCATCCTTTGTGGGTAGATCCTCTTACTTGGTGGTAGGGATCTATTAGTCTTGGATCTAACATTTCATATTGGATCTAAGAGAGGAGGAAGGTGCCAGTTGACTTGGAGTTGAACTCTTTGAGGTGAACAGATCCTAATTCTTGTATTTTTTTCTTAGAAGGGTTGATCTGAAAGGTTGAGCCTTTAGTTGGCCATCTTCTATTGAATTGTGTTGACTTTCTTGAATAGAAGATTCTTGATTGAATCTGGTGATCCCATCAATAACTCTAGTAGTTTTAAATATTTTCATAATATATATATATTATATAAATGCCTCAGCAACCTATGTGATTATATTGTTGACACATTATAAGTATTTCAAGAAGTACGCATACAATTATTCAAAATAATAACAAAATATTACTTTATAAAAAAGTTATTTTTGTCTTCAACTTGTCATTTGATTGAAGATTAAGTTATTGAGAGACTTAAGAAGAGTTGGGCCAAGGGAGGAGACACTTGAGATTCCAAATGCTAGACATAAACTCTCATGAATTGATTTGTTTTTGCCCTTAGATTTTCAAGACTTGAGAGGAGGTGGTGGATAAGAGAATTGTTATTTGAAGTAGCCACAATTGTCTAATTTTTTTTTTTTTTTTTTCATAATTTGGACAAAATACCCCCTTTTATGGTTAAGTTGATTGTCTATTTTTGACTCTTTTTAGGTCAAACACTAAGGCTTAGACAAGCTTGAGTTGATTATGCATAGATTTTGAAAAATAAATAAAATTAATCATAAAACTCGTTAAAATCATAACCCTTTTAATAATTCTCAATCTTTGGAACAACATCCATTGATTAGCTAATATATTTGTATAAGTGACATATTTTCTAAAATAAAAAACATTTTAGTTAGATCAGTTGAGCTTTAAGATTCTTTTACCCATAGAAAAAAATATTACTCTAGTACTCTTATAAAATTAATGACAATTCAAAACCTTGATATTCTCCTTAATTTATTTCATTAAACTTCTTATTAGAAACATATTTATAATGATTTCTCACATACCTATAGTAATGAAGTCATTGGATATAGAAAATCATAAATATTAAGACTTAGATATAAGATGATAACATATTCACCTTATATAAAAAAATTCTTTTATTTATACTTAATTATTCTAAAGTTTTATAAATCTTATGAAAATTAAAATAAAAGAAATTTTTTTGTAGTCAAAATCATCAATTGAATCCTTCTAAACTTCAATACTTCTGCTTAAATTACTTTCATCATGTATATTCATCAATTTGACCTTCATTCTTTAATCTTGTCTAAGACATCAATCTCCAATTAAAATCACATTTCATATCATCAATTTAAAGCTCTCAAATTTATCAATAAAAATATCATCAAAATAATATTGAGTTAACTCATCACTCAATACAGAGTTTTTGCCATAACATTGGCATGTAGTTGGTTGCATTTAAGGTTGAAGTCATGTTCTACTAGAAAGTTTTACCATCGAATTTACTTCAACAAAAGTTTACGTTATGTTTCAAACTAACTCATCATCACATTATTTATGTAAATCACAAAGGGATTGTCAATAAAATAATCGTCACATTTGAAGTCAAATACACAATTGTCATTATGTCTATATATTACATAAAATAGTGCCTCTATGTGTTACTCAACTTGTAATTTCAAATGCCACAAGATGTCATTTTAGTATTAACACATTAAAAATAACCAAGTCTAAAACATTGATGTGCACTTAAAATAAGCTTTTCAAATCAAGTAGAAATAAGACTAATTCACTTGTTACTGCCTATTTGAGTACATCAAAGGCACATTGACGACTCTGAAATCATTTTTCATTTACAAACCTTTCTTCAAAAGATTTGTCAACAAATCTACCAACTGATAATAACTTCACAAAAACTTATATAGTAATTATTCAAGCCTATGAAAGATTATAATTTTGATATGTGATTTGGTGCTAATTACTCTTTAACGATGTGGACCTTTGTTTGGTCCATCTACAAATAGTCACTCATCTTGAAAAGTGACAACTTTTGACATGAATTCACACATTGTGGTTTGGTTACATCTATTTCTCATTTTGCTTCTAAACTACTCCAAAAAGTGTACTACATGTTTGTTTATGCTCTTACTACTAAGATATTATTCAAATAGATAACTATGAATTTTTTGATGTCCTGCATGAAGATTATATTCATTATGATACAAATGGTGACTGAAACATTTATGAGGATAAATTGCCATGAATTTGAAATATACCACATTATGTTGTCTTTAGTCTATCTAATTATTTGATGGTCACACTTTGTGCTTATGCAAAAAATGTATTGATAATGTCAAAGCAATCAAATAGACCCATATAGTTTTGCAATAAATTCATTTTTCTATGTGACCTTAATCGACTCAATAATATACATTCAATTATCTAGAGCTGAAACATTTCTAGAACAAGATAGGAACACTATATGACACTATTGAAAGATGAAAATCTCCAACTTCTAACATGTCTTGAAGTTGTCCACATAACTCCTATGTCAACAACATATTTTCTAGCAAATGCACTAATAATTGCACTCCAGACATAAGTTCTCTCTTGTAGTCCACCTCACACTAAAGTGACACTTAAATTGACAATAGGTCTAATAAAATATCCTTGAAGCCCTTAAGAAGCTAATAAAATCTTAGTACAAGGTATCTTAGTATATTAACTTTTCTCATGGCCCATTCCACTACTACATAAGTGCTTGTGGTGCTTCTACCAACTTTTATTCCCACAACACACTTGTTAGCTTATTGTGCTTATGATGGATGCTAATATGCTATTTTCATATGATAAATAAAGTTAGATCTATGTAATTTTTGCATGAATTAATTTAAAATACTAATTATTTAATTTTGGATGTAAATGCACATGATTGAAGTATTATGCTGTAAACTTATGATTATAATTACATTTTTTATGATTATAGCACATGTCTCTGTCTTGATCTTTTAACCTATGTGTTAATGCAATCATCTAAATTTTATAACCTTGAGATGCATTCTATATTTTCCAAGAATGTGTTTATGAAGTTAGGTTTTGAGTTAGAATTTTTAGTAATTTTATATAATGCTTTTTGAGTTATGTTGACACGTGGTGAGTAAGCCAAAACTAATTGGTTAAGCTCCAAACCTTCTTAGCTTTTTCACTATAAAAAGGGAATTAAGTTAAAAAAAATCAGGTTAATGAGCTCATGTGTCAATGATTAAATATCACATTATTAAGCCACATCAGAAAGGAAAAACGGCCAACTACCAAGATTGAACCCGTCCACTATTTCATCGTTTTTTTTTTGCCATATATTGATGCTACTTCAGGCAATAGATTCGTGTTTATACTAAATTAAAGGGGAGCAAGGAGGGAAAAAGGATCATTTATTCTGGCGGGATCCTCTCCCTTCTCTTGTGTAGAGGTGGCGCCCTGTTCTTCACTATGCTGATGTAAAGGAGCATGAGAAGTCCTCTCTTCTATGTAAAATTTAGTACTTTAATTTTTCTGAGTTTTAAAGTTGTTTTCCCTCTTGATTATAGTTCTTTTAATATCTATTTTAATCGATTCTTTTGATTTAATTTCTCTTCTATTGCTCTTTGTGCGTGACAAAGTTGTGACGTCATTTCCTTATATTTCCCCTAATTTTATTATAATTTTTAATTTTTGTGTTTCATTCAAAGTTAGTCTTATTCTATTGTGTGAGGTGGCACACACCAAAATATTAAATATATTTTTCAGAATCATCTATTCTATCATTTTTAGATCTCATTCAATTACAAACTCTCTATTCTAGTATTACATTGCCGGTGGAGCAACCTATTGGTTGATTTTTCTTTTCTTTTCCTTCATTTCCCTGTTTTTAGGTTGTCTTTTAAGATTCCAGAGATTAGTGCAAATCCAAGGCAGTTAAGGGGTGATATGGATTGAAGTTGTAGCTGAACAAAGATGTATCTTCTCCGAGGGAGATAAAAAGTTTTGTCACAGTGACTTGGTGATTAGAAAAAACCACTTCCCTCTTCTTTTTTTATTACTTAATTATTTGATTTACAATAAGGATTGAGAATGAATTAAAGGCAAACTTATCTTTCATCCCTATGGAGATGAGCTGATTCCACTAAGTTTATAGTTTAAAACCTCTTTGAAATTTAATTGCCAGCCTGTTGGATTGCAATGTACTTATCAACACAACTTGTCAGCTTGTTGGATTGCAATATACTTATCAACATGTTTCCATTTTCTCTTATGTTGTGTCATGACTCAATGAGAGTCAATCATCATATTATTAGAAAAATAATAAGGAAATCTTGTGACTCTCCTGCACACCGTCTTAGAGTTGCAATGCTAACGAGATTTATAGACTTTGTTAGGCCTCTCATGTGCTTCATAAACAAAACATGAGTTGGTCATCATGAGAAAGCACCATGTAAATGGAAGGAATTCTTCACTTATGACCTCGTGAGGAGGAAGTCTATGATGAGTATGACATCAAAATCATTTACAAATAGTATCATGGATAACATTAATCAGGGTATGTGATATTAAGTTGGCGGCCTTAATTTGTCTATTCTTTCATAAAAATATTATATTGGGTTTTAAATTGCACATAGACCAAGAAAGGGGGAGTGTAATTGATGAACCTTAATCCTTTGGTACTCTCTTTGACTTTTTTTTTGGTACTCTTTAATCACATAAATAGATGCTCTTTAATTGTGGAAATGACCAAGGTCGCACAAGGTTGATTTTTTCAAAGTAAAGATGTGCATTTTGAAATGATCAACCTTGTGCAACCTTAGTCATTCCCACCACTAAGCAGCATATATCTCCGTGAGAACTTCACAAAAACACACTAATAACAAGGTCAATGGACTACTAACTTCACAACAACAAAAATACAAGATAAGGAAGAACATGACCATTCTGATATTTTGGCTGCACGCATGCTCTCGTCCCTGTCCGTTGGTGCTTCACACGTCCTACCAGCTGGCACTCCTCTCTCCATGTGCCGAACACCCCTCACGTGCCTGCAGTATCTTCTGCCACGCCGTCCTATGCACCACAATATGCCATCCCATGCCGCACTGCATCTCTATAATGCCCTCCCATGCCACGCACCCCTACGCACTCTCCTGCGGCTACACTACGCGACCACCGCACTGCCACACGCCACTGCGCGCGTAGTGCCTCGCATTGTGCCGTGCCGCATCGAACGAGCAGATGCATCAACAGCAGAATATGTCCGGCTGCAGCTGTCAAAAAGCGCAAGATGGTCCGCCGCGGCGGCATCACCGACAGGGCCGCAAAGGAACGGGATAGATTCGATCGAGAGCAGAATTTCTTCTGTTCTTTTGTACAGTTATTCCCTCGGAATCCACAGACGTCGACCAGGCGAGGCCAGGCGACCGTAACCGCCCCCGAGCGGTCCCGATCCAAACGGTTTCGACGCGTCTGGGGAAGACGCGCCGTGGGCCGGCCCCACTTTGACGTCTCCTTCCCGCCCTCCATTCTTGCCGGGGAGGATCGAACAGTTGTCGTGAGCCGTCGCGACTTCTTCGTCTTCCACGGCGACGGAGGGAGAGGAAGGAGATCAGGAGGAAGAGGTCCATCTTCGCTGCAGGCCACGAGCTGAAACCGAAGGTGGAGCCGCCACGTGTCTCCGGAGCTCCCGTCGCCGCGGGATAGAGCTATCCTTTCACCCAGGCCTCTGCTCCGCTCATTGGCTTTATATTAATCACCATTAGCCGTCTTCTTCGTCCACGCTCCGTTCTGCCGAGGCGTCAGGAGTCTTCCTGCTAGGTCGGCTCTCGCAGTCATGGATCACGAGGCGGATGCTCACCGGACGGATCTGATGACGCTGACGAGACACGTTCTGAATGAACAGTCCAAGCATCCGGAGTCCAAGGGGGACTTCACCATCCTTCTCAGCCACATCGTCCTGGGATGCAAGTTCGTCTGTTCGGCAGTCAATAAGGTCTTCGTCCCCCCCCCCCCCTCCCCCTCCTATTCCCTGTTTCGTACTCCCTTGCCTATTTCGGAGAATTGGACTGTTGTAGTTCTTCAGGTCGTGTCAAACTCCAAACGTATAGTTTCGAGTCTCTCGGGACCATGGATTGAAGTGATTGCAAGCTATCAAGAGATTTTATGCTGCGCTCTTTTAGCAGGTGGATTGATCCATTTCCATGATACAATTCTTGCAACGGATCGATCGTACGATGATACCGATTGCTTTCTCTTTCGTTTCCCTGCAGTTATTCATGATAAGCTGTGACGAAAAAGCACGTCTGCTTTTCAACTTTAATGATTCTTCATCTTCTTCTTCTTTCAATTGAAAGATTTCCCGCATCTTTACTGAGTCACTGCGAGCGGGTAATCGAGTAGGTTTTTGGAGAACTTTGAGATCTGTCCATCTGGGAGGGGTCACAAGAACTCTAACGAAATTCATGCAACATAGTGGCACAGTATTCAGTAGATTACTCACTCTAGTCTCTTTCTCTGATTCAGCTGTTCACAACGACGGTGTTTTTTTTCCCGCGACTGCGATTTCTGTTCCGCGTTGCTTATCACTCATTTACTTTCTTTGAACAGGCAGGCCTCGCAAAGCTCATCGGACTAGCCGGAGAGACCAACGTCCAAGTATGTTTCCATCTTTTGCTCTCAAACTAATGAAGCCGCCTGTCAATCGATTTCCCACACAATAAATGACCCTTCCGTGCATTTTCTCTCGGAACAAGAAGAGAAACTTCACTGAGTAATTCAGGACAACGGTTTAGGGAAAGTACGCTCAAGCTAGACTAGTTCTTCCTCCAACTCTGATCAAACAAGTCCGAAGTCTGTGATGCCTGATTGATCATTCTGTTTCTGACGGTGAATTGTTCTCACACAGGGTGAGGATCAAAAGAAACTGGACGTGCTTTCGAATGAAGTTTTCGTCAATGCGTTGATCAGTAGCGGAAGGACAGTAAGTCTCTTACAAATCGAACCGGCCGATTCATGCTCTCAGGAGATTTCTCCCCGATTTGAGGAGCAGTTTCAAGAAGATAATGAACATGCCATTTGCAGTGCATTCTTGTTTCCGAGGAGGATGAAAAGGCAACCTTCGTCGATCCATCACTACGTGGAAGGTGATGACTGCCTCTGTTTCTCAATGTTCTGCTATAACCTCTCCGATTCTATCGAAAGCTTCTACCCTATCTTCGGCTAACTCACTGACAGTGCAGGTACTGCGTCGTGTTTGACCCTCTGGACGGTTCATCCAACATTGACTGCGGTGTTTCCATTGGAACTGTGCGATCCTTCATCCCATCCCCACACCTCCCACGAAAACCCACCTAGTTCTTGTGAACCCAATTCTGTTCCTTTGACGGGTTGATCTCTTTTCCGCAGATATTTGGGATTTACATGATAAAAGACAAGGATAATGTTACTCTCGACGACGTACTACTCCCGGGAAAAGATATGGTAGCTGCAGGGTACTGCATGTACGGGAGCTCTTGCATGGTAAGTCAGAAGCCTCCCAAATCAGTGAAAGTTCGGTCAAATAGCTTGCTGAACTCTTCTCGCAGATTGTGCTTAGCACGGGAAGTGGTGTCAATGGCTTCACGTTGGATCCGTCTCTTGGGGAGTTCATTCTGACGCATCCGGACATTAAGGTTTATTGACTACTCCATGCTCTCTCTGTAGACCCACCACGCCTTTGAAGTGCTGTTCGAATTTCTTCAGCTTCATTTTTCTGGCCAGTTCCAATATCACCGCTTGTTTAACCTTCACGGGTTTCATGACTGAGCTTGTGTTATCTGTGGTCTCCTGTATGTAGATCCCAACGAAGGGAAAAATCTACTCGGTGAACGAAGGGAATGCCAAGAACTGGGACGGCCCGACGGCAGAGTACGTGGTGATTGACGTAGTGATTTAATTCTCAGTGATCAATCTTCTTCACTCTTCCTTGACCGCATGCAATCTCACAGGTATGTGAACAAATGCAAGTTCCCTGAGGATGGTTCATCTCCAAAGTCACTTCGTTATGTGGGAAGGTACAATTGATGATTCCCACCCCTCCTCTCTCTCTCTCTCTCTCTCTCTCTCTACATGTTCATATATATGACATGAAAAGAGAAGAGAAGGTTGCTTCATAACAACGCACTTTCCCCGCAAGCTTTGTTGGGAATCTGAAGAAATCATCTGGAATTTCATGTTCATCGTTCGAGAAAGAAAAGGCCAATCACTTAGAGACTGATTTGATTCTAATGAGATAACTTGTTGCCAATGTTATATTTTCTCATGTCGACCAACATCATCCTGGGTGCCTGCCCTACAGTATGGTTGCTGACGTTCACCGAACGCTGCTTTATGGAGGCATCTTCCTTTACCCTGGGGATAAGAAGAGCCCAACTGGAAAACTACGGTAATATAACAACTCTCTCTCTCTCTCTCTCTCTCTCACACACTCTCATTGGTTTACGCAATGAACATACTTAAACCCTTGGGTGTTGATGAAACCATGCGAGACAGTGTCCTTTATGAGGTCTTCCCCATGTCATTCCTGATGGAGCAGGCTGGAGGCCAAGCTTTCACCGGAAAACAACGGGTAGGGGAATCAGGGGCCTCTGCCCATCCTAACCCACTGAAAATCTTTGCTTTCCTTTTTTTTTTTTTTCCAATTTCTGATCAATCCCCTGCGTTTTCAGGCACTCGACTTGGTCCCCAAGAAGATCCACGAAAGGTCGCCCATTTTCCTGGGCAGCTACGATGATGTCGAGGAAATCAAAGCTCTCTATGCTTCTGAGGAGGCCAAGGCGTAGCCCAAGCACCCAGGCCTTTCCTCCCGTTTCGCACACCAGTTCGTCTTCCATCCTCCCCCCTCCGACTTGTTCTCTCTCCAAGATCTTGTAACTATTCATCGAAAACTGAAGCCTGCTTGAGACAATGCATTGAAATCTGCAGGCCGCCCCCACTTAATCTGCACATAGTTCGTCACAGTATCACCTCTTCCGCGCAAATAAGCTTAGATTCCAAGGCCAATTTACGAAGAAACAAGGCCATCTCTCGTGGCCTTTCATCCAGTATGGGGAAGAACCCAAAACATATCACGATCTAATACCTTTTTTCTAAGACCCCCTAAAGCTGATGACACATACCCGACGGGTTCATGCTCCCTTTAAAGTCTGGGGCGAAAATCCCCAAACTGGTGGAGTCTCTACTAAAGGCCTCCAAACCTCAGGAACACTGAACCCATCAGGGTGATATGTTGAGAAGGCAAGTGAATCAGGGATTGAGATCTGACACAGAGGAATGGAGATTGCCTACTCCTCGTAGGCAACAAACTAGGCAAAATATTAAATGCACGCAACAAAAAATCATAGTAAGCAAGAAGGAACAACTTTGCTGGCATCTGCAAAGGTTGTGGGGGGGGGAATCATCGGAGGGAAAAATAACCAAACCATGCGGAGTCGAATCATATAGACGGGAGGCGTCAGTGGCATCTACCATATGATTGAAACCAAATATCAGCTGTGCTTATACCTCCCACGAAAAATATACCAAAGTAAAAGACACATCGGCAAGAAGATCCGGTGCTGGACCTCAAAAAGGTAAGACCCTAATTGCGAGATGGGAACAAGTTGGAAGTAAGAACCACATCGGGGCTTGGTGATCCAATGCATTCCTTCAATAAATGACAGTAAAGGAGTAAACGATTCCTAGCAAGAGAGCCCTAATCGACTGGCAGAGTTATATAAGCAAGCTCACACATTTCCAGTGAGCGAGAAATCCATACATACCCACACCTCAGTGGGCATCCCCAGTTCGTGGAAAACAGGCAACTTTCGCTCCCATCCAAGGGGAACCAACTGCAGGATGATGGCGTGAAAGGTTGTACAATGAGTGAAGAAGAAAGAGTGGAAACTGAGAGCCTCGCAGGTCTAAAGGATTCCACTCCCCCAACAACAACAACAACACCACCCAAATATCAAATGTTAATTTCCCTTTGAAAACAGAAAGTCGAACGACTAAACTAAAGAACAGGGAAGTCAAATGCTTACTGCTATTACAGAGAATCACTGCTTTCACAGAGGAAAGATTTTTACAATACGGGGTCCCTCAAAAAAAGCTCAACGAGTTCGAAGCGTACCCTAAATACAGATGAAGGAAACATGGTCCCCCCTATGCCGTCATGGATCATATGGAATCTATTGCATCGTTGATGCAATAACCAAACTAAACAATGGGTCTAAATTCTTTGCTATTTCATTCATACAGACCATCAGGTAGCATATGATCGAGACAAGATTCTTACTGATGGCATAAAAGATTAAAATGTTACATGAGACTTGATGGCTTTTACCTCAAAAGATTGTCGCTGACCATCTAGCTTGAGTGCTATTCCCATGTCAGATGCAGGAATAAGAAGTGACTGTACGAATAGTGCTCTAGCGTTGCACATTCAACATGGTCTTTGCCTCAATTTGCTCCTCCAACAAATTTTCACTCATGTACTTGCTCAGCAACTCCATCTTTTTCTTCTCCAAAACCATTCTCTCGATCTCCTTCTCATCCGGCAGGGGAACATGGACCACGAACTCCTGTTCCTTCATCTTTTTCTCTCTCTCCGTCTCTTTTCTCCGCTCCTCCTCCACGACATCCTCCTCTCCTTCGTATAAGATTTCTCCCACCACAGGCCCCACTGTTACCAATTCCCCACTCTTTACAGCCTTCCTCGCCTCCTTCCTGATCGCGTCCATCATCTGCCATTCCGCCAGTGCCTGCGCCCGCATCTCCTCCTGCGCGGGGCCCTCCAGCTTCTCCAAAATCCCATCCTCTTCATCCCTGAATCCATAATAGCTGGCGTCGATCCTTTTGTATATGTCGTACCGCGTTCGCCTCTTCCTAATCTCAGGCGGCTTCTCGAAGAGCTCCCTCACGCCGGGAAGCTTCTTGGCCGCACCGAAGTACCGGTATCCCGGTCCACGGCCGCTAGGGTTGGGAACGTCCACGATGTTCCCGTCCAGATCAGTCATCTTCGCGGAATTTTTCAGATAGTTCGGGCCACCCAGCTCTATGATGCGGCGCTCCCAATGCACCCGCTCACGGAGAAGCTTGTTGATCTCGTCGTTGAGGTCACGGAGCCGGTGCTCGCCTAGACCCTCGTTTTGGATCTCGCTCACCTTGACGCCGATTTCTCGAAGGATCTCGCTGCGCCATCGGTCGGCCTCTGCAAGGTCCCGACACTCAGAAGCAAGGTAAGGGCGACGCTCCTTGGGCCTCTTCTTCTCCTCATTTTTCATGGTGATGAATCGATTCAGCATGGACTGCGCTTTCTCCTCGTTACGCGCCATCTTGCCTCCGAAACCCTAGACCAGCAGGCAGAAACCCAACGAGCTTGAAGATGAACAAGGGGAAGAGAGAGAGAAAGTCTACCTAGAAGCTGTGCGCCTCTGAGAGGGTATTTATAGCTCTAGAAAATGGGCTAATGGGCTAATGGGCTAATGGGCTAATGGGCTAATGGGCTAATGGGCTAATGCGCTAATGGGCTAATGCGATAATGGGCCGATATTCAAAAAGTTGGCCCCGCTAGGCTCTGTTGTACCCTAGTTCACCCAACGGTTGTGCGTATGCCGGTGGTCTGAGCCCGGTCCACAGCATCCCTGTCCGGCAGCGCTGTCCATACTTCGCCGCGGCGGCGGGGAAGGGTTCTTGGCCGGCGGCCGGCACAAAGGCGCACTCGTTGCACGCGCCATCGGAAGATACTTCAGGGGCAAGGGCTGGTTCTTTCATCCCTGGGATTTCGAGGACGTAGCTCTGCGGCGTGAACGGGCCTCCTGGCGACTCCGAGCTGCAGCGACCGCCCATTTTGTTCCCCTCTTGCTGTTCTTGATGTTCTCTTGGATGTTGCCTTTCCTCAATTCCGGAAAACAGGTATTCCGGGCGTTTTTGAGATTGCGGTTGCGTGCCTGAGAGAGGCCCTTGCTCTTGTCGTCCCATATCGGGAACCGAGAGTCGGACTGGTGACTTCCCTTCTTTCCCCACCACCTCTATTTATGAGCGGAAGCACCTCTTCTTTTTGACACTTCTCCGTTTGCTTGCTAGTGTTGGTCGATACTCCCTACATTCGTGGGACCAACAGGACGACTTCCACAAGTACCAGGAAGAGGGGTGGCTCGTGACTAGGCGTTGAAATGACATTCGCCTCCCGCCTTCTTTCCCGATCCAAAAAGGTGTTCCCTTTTTTCTGTGGCTCCGATGTGCCGGATTATAGGTTGATTGCTTATTTACTTTTTGAGAATATGCACTTCTGGAATGGATTTATGTTGTCCGACCTAGATTCGGATAAATGTTTTCTGAGTATTTCCACTCATTCTCTTCCGTAACTGGTGATTTCAACCAGTGGTGAATCCTTCCGTTTTTATTGTTACGCATTGAGAATAAACATTATGAAAGTTAGAGAATCACAAAATATGATTCTCATGTAGATTTTTGCGTTTCTTGTCACCTGTTGCAGCAACATAGTACGACTGATGCCAGGTCAAACTTTTAGACTGAAATTGGCAATCAGGCTTTGTTTTCCGTTTATGAAATAGTCGACAATTTTTTTGTAAAGTTGATCTGTGCAACTATCATATAGAACCAATTTGAACGCTCAAAGTATTGAATACAACATAAAATGAAGCGGAGAACTAAATGCAATGATAGGAAGCCAGAAAAAGAGACAAATATTCAGCCTTATCTAACAAGGTTGTAGATGAGCCAGGAGAAAAAACCATAAAAAAGCAGAAGAGGAAGGTATTATGCCCTAAATCAAGTTCATTAGGTAAGTTTGAAGATCACCTCCCTTTTCTATTGCTATAGATTACCTGAAAACATTCAATGCTGCTCCGTTGATCATGTCCTGTTTAGATCTGATGATTGCTTTGAATTTTCTCTTATTTCTCCTTCCATATAACCCACAAGATAGCTGGTAAGACAATCTTTGAACACACAACATCAGCAGCTACAGGACATGTAGGATTCAATTGTTGTATTAGATTAATAATATCTGAATAATTTCCAACTTGATATTCTCAGATCCACTGGGGGATGATCAGTAATTTCCTCTTGCAACCACTAGAGAACACTTCTGTTTTGAATGAGGTTTGAGATTTGAATTCCGAAACTAGTCAGTGAATAGTTGGTGACTAATTTCAGCAGATATATTTTTTCATTTTCGAGTGTTTACTTCCAAGATATTCTAAATCACCCAATTCTACACTGACGATCACCATGGTTTTGGAAAAGAAATAAACAGAAGATGAGCCTTCTATGTTCTATCTCCATTTTCTCCTTCTTCTTGATATCCTTTACCATAGTGTGCTATCACATTAGGAGGACCCTAGGGTTCCTTCCATAATATAGATTGCACTGGTCATAGAAATCTCTGTCCGAATCTTAAGCATATACTTGGTCTTGTCCCGGGATACATTGTTGAGTTGGGCAACTTTGTTACTAGGAACGTATCATTCGGCCAAGTGTCCTCCCAAATAAGTTTAGTAAAAAGGGTGAATGTTGATTGCCATTTGCCCACATAGTTGACCGTATCAAATTGGTGGGCTAAATTTATCTCTACTCGCGAATCTTCTGTAGCATCTTGCATGCCATTTAAGATTTTTCGAATGTGTAGAGTCGTTAAAACATTTCACAGCATATTTAATTGCCTGGTTTCATTAATAGTTACTTTTCAGAGAACATCAACTGTAATTATTCGTGTTCGGGTTATGTATGGTCGAAGGGTAAATTCATAGTTGATGGATAAAAAGGTTTGAACAAATTTTCCCATATGCCGTGTTTATATTCGTTTAGTGGATGAGTGGGCGTAATCAGGTCATAAATACTAGTTCCTGCTTCCTGTGCTTTTCTATTAAAAAAAAAAAAGCTTTTATAGATGGGAACCATTATCCGATTCCTTAGTCAAATGATGTCAGAGTTCATGACTATAGGGTATTTGAGAAGGCAGACACTATCAACTATCAGTTTGTATTCATGTAGAATTAAGGTTATTATCCTCCCCCTTCTAGGAAAGATGGAGGAAGGATTCTGGAGTAGGTTTTTTGATGATGGTGTAGAATACGATTCTATTGTATTGGCTTCCAACATGGTGTCCATCACGAGTAAGTTAGTGGCAATACCCAACATGGTGCTTTTCTTTGGAGACTCACCTGGAGAGCATACTGACATATGACTGACTTGCTCCGTTTTCTAAAGCAATCAAGATGACCAATATTTCTTAGGAACGCAAATCATTCTTTTGTGGCTTCCTCCTATGTGCAAATTATTTGTAGATTTTGTGGTGAAATTCTTTAAAATTCTCCAATATCATGGACGAGCTAGACACCTTTGAAGGCAGGGAGTGTGACAACGTACACGCTTCCCCGGTCCTTCTCATCAGTTGCAGGGTTTGGTGGCCCGAAATTGACTTGGCTTCGCCAAAAGGCCTCATCTCGCAAAGCCCGGCTCGCAAGGCGACCTGAAAAAGTAACGTGGAGAAGAGGAATCAACAAACAAACAATCAAGGAAAAGCGAAGGCGCTTGCGTAAAAAAAAAATGAAGATAGAGGAAAAAATAGGACAATGACCCCAAAAGGAAGAAGTATTCTACAGTTATATATTTTTGAAAAGGCATCTTTGAGGGTGTGGTGAACATCAAGAGTGACTGTTGAATATAGGGATCGATTATCCACGAAATGTTGTGAACCATTTCATTGAACAGCGAGAAATAGAGTGAACCTTACTTTTGAATGGTGACAAGACACAGGTTACGAATGCTTTTTGTGAGGAGGGCTCTCAGTGACTGCATGGTTAATTTGTCTGCATTACTAAAACCCTGCTGTAGAGACCACATATTTTCTTAAAATATAATTTTGAAAGATACTAAAATGATGCATAGAACCAAGCATTTCTAACTAGATTGATACTTAGGTGTTCTATATTCAGGGGGACAACTAGAATTAATCAGTGTCTCTTATAGTTAGGTAATCGATAGCCACATGAAAAAAGATATACCCATGGATGTGTTCAACTTCAGACAATTGCATTTTCATTCATAATTAGTCGGTTGGTGTTGTAGGAAAAAACACAATGTTTTTTTTAAACTTGCATATTTCCCTCTCCATCTGACAATGAGTTAAATCGCTTGGCCAGGAAGGTAGGCTATATTCGCTAAGTTGTTTTATGTGCTTTCTGATAGGCAACATATTTGTTACATTAATTGAATTTGGTCAAATTGATGGGAAAAAGGTTTACAGTGGTGATAGTAACATATGTTAGTAAAAACTAAGAGCATCATACGTTTTGTGAGCTGTCATTATAACTAAAATTTTTACTTAGGTGAGATATGGAGTTATTCCTGGAGTAGGCAGTTTGTTGATACATGTCGGATTTTGACTGAAGTGTGAAAAGTATCACATGATATTCATCAAACTATTGTCATTCCTTTATTGTTAGTCAATTTCAATCATGAAGTTTAATCTCATAAGATATGCCCAAGGGGTTTGGATGTATGAAAAGTGTAGTGATATCTTCATATGTTCATGTTCTTCAGGTGAGTTGTGTTCATGTTATTTTTTTGAATGGTAGAATCTCACTTATAGTAGATCGAAATTTCTGAATGTATATTTGTCTTTCATGATGTTAGACTTTGTTTTCATCTTCCTCGGATCACTTTGATCTGAGTTTACTGACTTGTTTCCTTTGTCGTCTATGATCCCGTAGTTTTATGGTGCTCGAATGACTGTACGACATGAATATGACATCGTACATTCATGTGTCAAAACGGTTGCAACAGTGACCTTCCCTTCTATGATAGCCGATGGTAAGAAATATTTTCATGTAATCTTACATACATACATATAAAGGATTGGTTTTTTTCATTTGCCACGCTGTAGATGTGTATCATAGATCTTGAAGAGAGCTCATCAGTTCACGAAAGATAAAAGTACCAAACATAGGGCAGCCCTGTAAATACCAGTCAGAAATCTGCATTGGTTGCATTTGAATAATGGAGATTACGCAGATCTGGAAGGGATGCTTAGGAAAAAGAATTGTGGAAGTGCAAATCATTTCAAGAAGGGGTTACGTGCTGGCATTTTTAAGTTACATGTTGGATTCAGTTCAGCTGGAAATTGCCAATGCATATCATACTATGTTATAGTAGAGGTTGACATTTTTAAGTTATGCATATAATTAATTCTTGAAATTTATATTTATATTTTTGCATATAATTTCAGAATTGTATGTATAAAACTATTGGAGTTCTAATTGAGGTGTACTGTAATAATGCCGCATACATTTGGAGACCGCCTTAACTGTTGTGCTATAAGCTGTGATTACGTGCTGGCATTTTCCTTGTGTGAGGCTCATGCTCCTTATTTCTTGGTTACTATTAAACATTAGGTAACTACTGTCTCCTTTCGTCAAGTGCCTTTTACCTTGTATTCTTCCTATGATCGTGTGTCTGCGCCTGTCTACTATGGGCTCCCTATAGACATTAAGTTCTTCAGTGATGCTATAGTCAAATTGAATGGGTTGCCTGTTATGGTTGGAGACATTTGATATGCTTGTTCGTGTTCAATACAAACTCTCACATACTACAGTTATGACTGAGCATATCTCTGAAAATGGTAGAGAGTGGAATGCATTGTTGTCGGATTACAATAGGATCCACTGGAAGAGTTGCACTCCATTGAGTAGATCTATCCTCGCTAAAACTGTGGATTTCTTCATAACTACTTTTCTACCTTGAAAACAAGGTGTAATGAGCGCTGTAATTATTAACAATGTCGACTGATATCCAAAGAGAACAAATGCGATGGGGTGACTTAGCCCCTAGTTACCTATTTATCTGTTGGAAGGAATGCATAATCAAGAGCTACAGGGGATCTAGTACTAGGCGTCTCAAACTCTACTTGATCTCCTCAAATCAATGCAGTCAAAGCTCTGAAGAGGAAATACGAAATCTGACTAAACACTAATATTTCATTCTCACGTTCAAATGATGCGGGACTGATTTATTTATGCCAGTTCCGAATGATACAACTGGACCCAGACTGAACCAAACCGGTCCGGTTCATACAAGGGAGAAAAGAAACCTTACGCCCAAACAGTGTGGACTTAAGTACAAGGAAAAAAGTATTCATGGAAATAAAATGTTCAGAAGTATTGACGTTGCCTGACACTAGGTAATTTACATTTATAGTTCACTCTCTGATGCCATGGTGAAGTAAGAAGTAAATTGTTGTAGCAAGATCAAGCGTTGAGGCAGACTGAGTCTTTGTTCATGCAGCATATGCACTGATGCAGTTGAAATATCTTGTGTAGGAATTTGACATCATTGATTACAGTGACATCATAATCATGCACTGTGATAACTAAGTTTCCTTTTCCATTGCCGGCTAGTTCCATATGAGAACCACATATATTGAAGCTTTGACTTTATTTGGGAGGCTGAAATGGACTAGAAAATTTGTACTCTCCATCTCAGATTCGAAGTTCAAATGCATATCTATCGGTGAAGTCAGTGAGTGCTGTACTTTCTCTTTCATGTGAACTAGATGGGCATGGTTGATGGACATGTGCTTGCTTAGAAGGGAGATTTAGAATAGTTATCTGTGTTATGCATATGAACCCATAGGCCTCATCTGCTCGTTCACAAATTAAACTATTCTGTTAAGAGGTGCAGAAGGTAAATGTATGGTCTGACTAACTTATTCATTAAGGTTTTTCATGCACTATCCATATAATGGCAGCTCCCTGGAGTGATGGTTTTATGGACCTTTTAACCAACCTTTGAGTAATCATAGAACAGAGGACCAAAGGATATGGTGGTTCAAGTTACATGCAACTTGGAAGGAAGAGTAATGAAAAATTCACAATGCTGAGTTTTTTAGGGTGACATAGTGCACACTTTGTTTTTGATTATGTGAGAGAGTGGACTATGATCTTTTTTAGAGGCGGTCAAGAATCCGTCATTTTCGGTACAACGGATATAAACGTAGTCAGCAATGGATACAAACCAAAAAATCAATGTACAATGAATACGATGGATCTTTTTAATTGATCATTTATTTTTGATAGAATACATTACAAGCCCCCTCTTTTCAAAAGAAAGGAAAAGACCATGGGAGTTCAGAAAACTTCCTCCTTTCAGTAATGTGCTGACAAATCTTTTCTCGGATCTTGTTCACCTTTACCGTTTTCTTTGTATAATTGGAAATTTTCTAACCTTTTCACCGATTTTGTCCAATTCTTGTAAGCTCTTGCTGTACGTTCCTGATCCTAGTAGATTTTTCGGGGCGCAAGTAGCAAAATGGTTGTCATGGAAAACTTTTTGTAATGGTAGGATGCTTACTGTTGTTATTTTTGTTTGCCAGTGCTGTAATTTAATTGAAATGCTGTGACATAATCCTCGCTCAGACCACTCAATACGTAGCTACATCATGCATGATGACAGTACATTGCAATGACATCTAACATCAACTTTTCTCTTGACCAGAGATTCTAAGCGTAAGCCCTAGACAGAGGATCACTGATTCCTCTTCTTCTATATCTTTTGGTCAGTTGTTGAGAAAAAAGTACAGTGGTTTTGGTCTGGACCATCATGGACGCAGGTAATATAGATCATCTCCAATGAAGTTAACGTTTTCTTGACCTTGCCTTGCTGGCTTTAGTGCTGCTTGTCGTTTATTGAGGAATTGCAAAAATCTTAACTCGTCCAATTTATTGCGTATCATTTTTGGTTTCTCTTTTGTTTTTCGTAAGAATCATTGTTCTGAAATCCTGGATGGTGCTAACAAATTCAAAGCTTACTATACCTCTGTGTGATCATTGAACTGAGTATTTTTTATCTAGATTATGATTTTAGTAATTTTAAAACTTGTGATTAAATGAATAAATTTTGCTAAAATTGTAAGCTTTGGAAAATTTCATTTCTAATTTTCCATAAGCAGTTGAATCTTCAGGTTCTCGATGGTGTCAGATGCCTCTGATGACCTATTTACCGTGGATAATTTTTCTACCTTCATCAAGTCGGCCATTGATGAGCATGAAGGTATTTCACTACAATTCTGAGTAAAAATTTCCGGCAATGTGGGTCAACAGTTGAGTATTCATTGTTCATAAGTTAAATGATGATGCTCCGATGGATGGTTAGTTCAGAATGTTGTCGAACTTGCAAATTATAAAATCATTGACTTGAATAACGACTGGAATGCATCCGTTTCTAGAAGGTTATTTAAACAACAGAGGTTCATTCGTTCGACTATTTTTTCCTTTTCTGTCAGCAGCGTCATTTCTCTTTCACGATTGAATCTTAACCTGTGACACTTGCATTCCACTTCAGAAACAATTTTATATTTCAAGGGAACCTGCAGGTCCTAATTATTTTTGGTTAAACAAAAATGAAAAGCACAAAGAGTTACTGAAGAAAGGTGAAGCATTTATCGTCCTTGTTGGTGTATTCTCCAAGGATTCTGTGGTGAATTGCCACCGTGGGCGGATCATCATGTTTGAGATCATGAAATCTCTTCAGCAGAGGTAGATTAACCGCAAGCTTATAGTTATAAATGGTTGGTTTGGTGATAGTTTTAAGTTAGTGTGCATCCTGTTGCAGATATCCGTCACTTCAAGTATTTGGTTTTCAGTCTGGCCGCTCCATTTGTTCTCTTGCTGCTCAAAGTAAGATACTCAGGACCATCATGGAAGAGTACATCACTTTTCCTATCTTATTATCAGAAAAGGAGTTTACTGAGGTGAGTGATATATTTTCTGTGTCATATATCTTTATCGTGTCATTTCTAGGAATCTTTGCCTGAATTTCTTCTCTGAAGCTAATTCCTGAATGAAATTTGACCTTAGAAATTGTCTACTGTGAAATTTTGTCTCAGAATGGGCCATGAATTCGCTATGTAAATATTAAAGATCCACTGACTTCACTTCAGGATAAAATTACTGAGAGCCCGAACTATTTTAGTCTCTTGTGAATAGCTCGAAGGATATCTGCATTCCCATTTCAGATTAGGTTACCTTATAAAGTATCATGGGAGTCTTGTGATGATAAAGACTGGCCGTATTGCCTTATTTATCAACATTGATTTTTCTTTGGTAAAGGATTTATTCACAAAACGGAGCTCATTTTGTCAAGACAAAAATTTGAAAGTTGATGCACCTTGGAGAGTACCAAAGGTACACACCTTGGAGAGTACCAAGCTCGCAGCTATTGTTTTTTGGAAAGTAGTTGGTATAGCAATGTCATTTAAAGAAAGGTTATATATTCAGGTGTGTTAAAGTATGAGGTCTAAATAATTCCCAATCCATCCATTGACATGATGGAGAAACAACCTTGAGAGAGTTATGAACACAAACGAACATGATCCTCTCTTTTAATACTACCAAATCTCATCACTCTTTCTTGCCACAAGCTAACTTTAAAACCAGGGAAGATGTACTGCTGTCCCATCTAAAAGTACACCTATTTTGCTTCATACCTATGGTTTAAGTAGTTGATGCAAAATGAGCCAGCAGGTCGTGTGATCCGCATTTGTTTTTCTAGCGTTATATGGACTTTAACCAATGGTTACCAATGTAACTATCACGTTCCTACTGCATTACCTATAACTGGCTCCAGAGAAAGCACATTTTAGGGTCTTGCTAAGTTTCTCCTTCCTCCTCACAGAAGCTTCGCACATTGTGAATACTATCTATATAACTGGCTGGCCGATCACAAATGGGAAGTCTCCGATGCATAATATGATGTCCTAACTTGTGTCTAGTACCTCCTTCTAGGGCAATACGATACACTAGTCAAAACTAATCTAAATTTCAATATTAAATTCTCATTAATTTTCAGAGTCATGCAATCTACTATCTGCATTGATTATGGCCTGGCATCTGAGCTGTAACTATGTGTTTGCTTGCTGTCAGAGCCATGTTGTGTCTTTTGTGTATTTCATTGTGCAAATGTCCATCCTTTTCTCAATAACTCAAATATGTTTGGGATTCGTAATGGGTGGTTCTTGAAGACTCTCAGATCTCAAGTGAGCCTTGCTATCTGCTATTCGGTGATATTAATAGTCCTCGTATACATCACAGATGGGATAGTGAACTGGGAGCAATAGTAGAAGGTAAGATCTCATTTCTCCAGGACGTTTTACTGCAAATTTTACTTATAGATACAACCTAAATTGTTACTTTAATTTCATGAATCCTGCTGTCAGCCATGCAGAGGGAAGTCTATTACATCAATTATCGTCAGTTGTGCTAAAACAACTTTTTCTAAATGCGCCATTTTGGTTGTTCTATCAATACATGTATTTGAGATCTCTCACCAAAGTATGGCGCAATTGAACGATGTCTAATGAGAGAACAAACATATTTATTTTTTATGGTTAATTTACAGAAAGTGTCAACTCTAAACTCACTACCCTTTCTTTTGTTGTAAATATGTTGATGGTTGATGGAAAATGTCATGGTTTTTATTGTTTATACACTGAGCAACTTTTGTATATTTTGAAGTGATGTTGGATTTGTCAAAAAATGTCGAAAAATATATGAAAGCATATATCTTTTATGATCGTGTTTTCTTAATAAAACGCTTTATTAGGAATCTTTCCACAGAGGTTATGAGAGGACTGTTTTTTACGACATGGTAATAAGTGTGGTTTTCTTTCAACTGGATGATGAAATTGGAGTGTATTTCAACCTGGAGTTTTTGGGTGGGAGAGGTAATGGGAAGGCAGCTTAAAATAGATAGTATAATCAAATCACTTACTGATCTGGATACAGTTGAAGGAAGAAGATGAGCCTTAACTGTCTAAGCTTACTGGATACAGTTGGGAGAGACCTGGCTGTTTCTCGTAGAAGGATTGCTCAATCTACTTACGGATCGTGATTAGTCATTATGTTTTTTATGTTAGGGTCTAGATAAAACTTCACGATCAAATACTTACCTGCTAGCTTACTGAGAGAATATATGAAATGCCTTCTCGGAGCACTTTATTTGGCTTTATTTGTGTTATTCTAAAGGTAGACTTTTGCAGAGGTTTCCAATAATGGTATCTGAAGTTTCTGTTGTTCTTTTAATTCTCTAACTTATAGACCTTGAGCGATTCAATCTCTCATGGAGTGGAAATGCTTTTGCTATCAAGGACTCTAGTAGCATCAAGGCAAACCACACTGAAGACATTGAAGAACCACGTGCTTGCTCTCCATTCAGGAATCTACTTTTGTATTATCCAAGTACTACTTCTTCCACCTTTTTTGTTGAGTTTGTAAAGCCATAACTTTATAGTCCCTTTTTTAAATGTGTCATCGACATGAATTCCTTTTCTGGGACAATTTTTCTTCATATATTTATTAGATATGCTAATACTTAAGTATTTTATACTTTTATCAAACTAACTTTCAGGTTATGCTAGAATTATTTTGACATTTGATTCTCTGAATGCGTTGATTCCGATCCAGTTTAGTGTTGATCCGAATCAGCAGGTTTCGGTCATAACCAGGGTCCCTGATTGAATACCATGTGTACCATGATTCCCCTTTGTACGTTATGGAAAGAAAAAGAAAAATCAGCCTAGAATGTTCAATCTTGGCCGATTGACCTTTGCAAGAAGGAAAAGATGAAGAATATTCAGAAGGGGTCAGCTTCTTTGGGCCTCATTGTCCTTTTGTGCTGGGCCAAAACCCCACCAGAGGGGCTACTTCGGAGGAAGAAGAAGAAGAGTCATAAGGGATTGGCCCATCATAGGCTGGGCAAGGTTTCTGCCAAAGGAAAGGCTGAGGCAGAAAAAAATGAGAATATGTAAGGAATGATATTTGGTGAGTAACAAAAGATGAAGAAAAGAAATTGAGCCTATGTCCTTAAATTGGTCTCCACCTGCCTCTACTGCTAGACACTGGCATTGGCTGTGGCTTTCCAATGCCAGCACTTCCTCTGTGTGTGACACATTTGTTCTCCCGCTCCTCCCTAGGGTTGACGGAAAGGTGGACGACTGACTTGACGCTGAAAAGAGACTGTTGATAAAATGAACCCTACTTTTATGCACATATTACTTAGATGTTGATAAAAGGTGGACGACTTGACGCCTCTAAACATGTTACTTAGATGTCCTTTTCATTAAATATTCTTTTATGCACATATTTAGAAATTGTTAAAATATTTTTAGACCTTTTCATGGTATGATTGGTCTTTTTCGTTTTTCTTGGATTGTCCAATCATGTTGCATTGTCACCTGTGTCATTTGCGTTGATCCTTCCAATTCAAGGCTAATCTGCATTTATCTATGACCTGGTGTTCGATTGCAGAAAGTCTGCATTTACCTATGGTTTTAATCTACAGAAACCTATCATAAGCATTTATGCTAATTTTCTGTGTTCAATACGGTGTTTGCGTTAACAAAATAGGAATCGCCGTCTACAAGAACCAGCTAAAATAAGTTTTTTACAGGATCTCAAATACCAGTTGTCAGCTATGTACCCACCGTTGCTGGCATTTTTTTTATCAAACAGGAGTTTTTCCCTGCAGTTGTCAGATACTGGGAGCCACCTAACAACAGCTTAATTTCCTGCAATAGCTGTTCCTTAAAGATGAAAATATATGTGGAGAAGGTAGAAAATTTATCTTAAAGAATATAACAAGGAACCAACGGCTAAAGATGTTGCTGCAAGTGCTACTCACATAATGAATTATTTATTGTTTACCAAGGAAATGACTCTGCTAACCAACCTTATTCCACACCCTGACGATAAAGTCCAAGACGTGTATTCTAGCTTGCTAGATCAATTTCGGGAATTCTTGATTTCTAAAATAAATGATAAGAACACTCTTCATGTCCTTAGCCTATGGCAAGACTGTGATCAGCATGACTAAAGATATTAAGGTTAAATATGGTCAGTCGCTAAGTATACATGATACCTTTAACATCGCTAAACTTGCCTATGGTTAAGGAAAAATATATAATGTTGTGTAGATCTTGAGTTGAATTGTCCTCTACACGAGGAAATACACTCTTTAGAAGTTTCCAAATGATGTTTGTGCTGCGTCCCTGGATTGCGTATTATTTAGTTGTTCAACTAGTTCAACATACAACTTGTGGGGACACCAACCTGATTGTACTCTTCAAGACAAATCCATTGTGGGTATGTTAAATGATAAATGTGTTTTCAATTCAGCTTGAGGAACTCAGTTTACATTTTGCCTGGTCTTTCTCTGATGCAAAAAGAGAAGTTATAGGTTTCTGAGAAAACGTGCGCTGTTGCTGAAACTACGGCTTTAGGACCTTTGCAGTTGTTTATTATGTGGTTTACATTTTATACTTTCATCATATGAAGAGACTTGTCATTTAGTCCCCTTTTTTTTTGGGTTCTCCAATTTAGCATCCGGTCTAATCTTTACTCTCTTTTTTTCATGATAAGTTCTCTAAAGTTTATCTATTGGTAAAGAATTTCCTTAAAATCTTCATATTTGTCATTCTTTTCAGGTTGTATCTCGGCAGATGATCATGGAAACCGCCTATTTCTCTCTGATACCAACCACCATCGAATTATTGTAACTGATGGTGACGGGAAAATTTTGGATTGTGTATGTGCAGTAAAAAGCATTTCCCCGTGAAATTTCTTTTTAAGAGATTTTATGGATCATTATAGTTTCTTTTGATAACAAGCTTCCATATTATCTAGGAACGATTCTCTGCCATGTCATTCTAAACAGAAATGTAAACTTTTACTACATAGTTTACTGTGATGCTGCCTCTATCCGGTGGTCGATAGAGTGTAGCGTTCCTCTCTTTTTTTCTTGAGGGAGGCATACGGCTTTCTACCCTACATACTGGGGTTCCCCCCAAAGCTAAATGGAATTTTTACCCTTGTGGTGATCTTCAGAAACCTTTTCTAGCTGACGCAGCTCTACTAGCTGCTGGTAATGCTGCTCTGGATGCCCCAGAAACTCCCACAGGCAGCTGTCAAGCTGCAGGCTTTGGAGTCCTCAAAACCCCCCCAGCAATCCTGGCTCAATTGCTCGGAGCTTTGTCTTGTACTGGCGCAATCCTTTGATGTGCTAGGATGATTATGTTGAACTGGTTAACTTTGTTTTTTTCAGATTGGATGTTCTCCTGGTTTTGAGGATGGCGATTTTGATTCTTCTAAGATGCTGCGCCCTGCTGGCTCACTTTACCATGACGGTGAAGATTGCTTATACTTTCTGGACACAGAGGTACAATGTGTGTTAATTAAATTCAATCGGCTCACAAAGCATGCTAAATTCTGTCAGGATTTTACTATTATGGGATCTTAGATTTCTACTTTTCTAAATTCTACTTGCTTATTGGCATGCAAAATATTGGTTGCTCATATGTTTCATCAAATGTCAGAGTTTTAGAACCATGGTTTAGCAAATTAAAGAAATTTTTTATGGTGTGTAAATTATTGAATTATATCAGAAAAAAAATCATTTTTCGCGGAGTTAAAACTTAGCCGTGAGATGTATTCGATTCAATTAATTGATGAAACAAATCTCAGAAGCATCTTGTGCTCTTATATTGCTGCGAGACACTATCACTCATTGGAGCTTGTACGATCGAATTAGTAGAGACAGAAAAGTTGTATGGGAACTGACAGAAGTAAACAATATGGACTTTAAAGAAACAGCATCTGGTCTTTTCCTCTGGTAGCACGTGTTTATTAGGATTCAAACTCATTTCAGCAACTGAAATAATAAGATAGTACAAAATAAGGCACTTGGCACTTCTCAGGTAAAAGACAGCCTAGAAAACTTTCATCGCACGTACTATTTTCTTGGTTGCGGAAGAACCATTATGAATGAGAAAGGAGGAGATAACCTTAGGGCATGCCCATTAACTATCTTGCAGCTCTGCTTTCGCTTATCTATTACCTAGCTGATTACTGTTTTTGCTTGAATTCTGGTTACTTTATCCTAGCTCGCAATGCACTGGATGTTGAGTCTGTCACTATTTGTGATTTTGTTTCATTTTAATTCGTAAAGAATTGTGCAGTCAGGAGAGCTGATCTAGGAAAAAGAGTACTGGAAACCTTGTATCCTGCGCACGATAAAAAAGTTTCAGGTGTATGGAGCTGGATTTTGGATAAACTTGGAGTTGGAAGAAAATTTAACATAGAGGCTACTGAGTCTGATAAGAATTTGCTTTCATGTCCCTGGCATCTGATGAAGTCTGGGGAGGATGATCTTCTTGTCTTCAGTCGTAGGTAGTGTTTCTTTCTTGTTCATCCTATTATCTGGTTATTTTCATTTATTGCAAGCGTTTGGCTTGCTCTCAATTTATGTGAAGATCAATATTTCCTATGTCGATGTCATTGTAAAAGGAAATTCCTGTATCACCCTTAATTCCTTTTCTCAATGAAAGGAAAAGCAAGGTACATTTCTTTTTATCTGCTTCTGGACACAGTAATGTTTGTAAGATAGTTTTGAGGAATGAAGTATGTAGGTTTAATTTCATATAGGGTTTAAGGATACTGCGGTCGCCATAAGTCAAAGTGTGTTGTCACAGAAAGAGAAGCAGCATAGTTTCAGTCTCCTGACTTCTGTTCACCTTTGACCTATTCTAGCATATATGTGAACACCACCTTTGCAGCTCAACCTCCTCTCTCTCTCTCTCTCTCTCTCTCTCTCTCTCTCTCTCTCTCTCTCTCTCTCTCTCTCTCTCTCTCTCATCAGTTCACGTGCTCCAGAGGCCCCATGGGTCTTACCTTCAAACTTTTTATTTTTTGTTATATGACGTGTTTTTAAATTAGATGATTGCGAGATGATCTCTAGATGGGTAATCTTTTCCATTGCCCATATGCAGTTTTGAAACCTTATGGGTGATGAGCATGACTAGTGGGGAGATCAAAGAAGTCCACAAAGGTATGTGTGGCTTTGTTCGCAATACCCAGATTGTCAATTCTCTGCTCTTTAATAGACTCCGACCTGAAATTTTTTACAGGATTTTCAAATATCATGGAGACCCACGGGAAGATAATTATGGAAAGGGCTTCTCTTCTAAAGGAGATTATCACGGATGCGGAGAACCCAAGTCTTGATCTTTGTTCTTCATCACAGAAGATCCCATATCCTGGTCTGATGTCATCGATAGCTAACCTCCAGCATGACATCATATCCTGTGATCCAGGTAGACAAACTAAACACTTTGCCTTTCTTCGGTCAAGATCGCTCACCAGCTTTGACATGGCAAAACGGCATCACTAACGTTCTTTCTGGCTTCAGTGGGTCAAAGGGTTTGTAAGTATCAGATGGGTTCCAGAGACGTGACAAACATCCAATTTACCAATTTTGGCGTTCTTGGCTTGCCATATTGGATGCCATGCCCACTAGAAAATGTAGCTTTCAGGTTGCCTGCCCAACCGATGTCTTTTGGTGTGAAGACTTTGATTCATGTTCATGTTCGCCTCACATAATTGGTGCTTCTTTCAGTGGAAACCCCCATGGAGAGCAATCTAGTGATCATCTTCAGTGCTTCAACGTGCTGCCAGGTATCCAGCTACAGCACCCTCTTGATGGAGATTGAGCCTGCTTTGATATGAACAGTCATCCTCGGAGCATTTCTGTGCAAGCTCTTTTTTCTCTCTCCTTTTTTTAGTAGGTTGTGGCATTCCAATGCGGCAGCTGTGTTCTCATGGCCGCCCCTCGTGCAGGGCGGTGTGACATAAGGGTGAAGGTGCGTGTCCCAGAGGGCACCGCGCTTGCTGCGCCATTGCTGGAAAGTTGCATCTGGCGGCAGGCCAGGGGAGCTGCCGCCGAGATTTCTGCGCCGGAACTGGCGGCGGCATCAGTGGATAAGGCATCAATCTCCATTTTTAGAAATGATGGTACTTTCAGCTCCTTGCTTACCTCGGTGATTTGACGATTTCTTTCTGGGTTCTTGAAGGTCGGCGCCGCCCAGAAGTGGTTCGATGAGCTGGATAACCTTGCCTTCTCGCCCGCCCCGGATGGTTCGACCATGCAAAGTCAAGAGACTGGCGCAATGAAAAACGCCGTTGACTCCAACTCTGTGCACATTGATTGCGCCGTCAACACCAGCCCGGGGACAAGCGAGGTATCTCAAAATCCAGGATATGCAGTGATTATATTTTCCGAGTTGACTTCTGATCGCTTTGTTTGGACCACCCAGGTTGTTATTTCTGCAGTCTTATATCTGAAGCTTGAAGAAGCTGGGGATTCTCTGGGGAACAAGGTCAGAGAAAGTGCGAGAAGACTTCTAGCCCTGGAGGAGAAGTCAGAGCACGAAGCATGCGTTGATCTGCTGCTGGAATCGCGCGAGGACGTGAGAGAGATCGTCTTCATGAAGCCCTTGCGTTTGAGACTACGATTGGACTGCGGAGACTATCTTCCCGCCACGACGTCCAAAGAGCTTCTTCCCACCGACTGTTCGCTAGAAGTCAACGTCTCTCTAGTTTAGTCTCCGTATGTCATCTTCATGCTCACCCAGCCGGCCGCAGAGTTATGTTCCTGGCCCCCCCTCCCTCGATGTCATCAGTTGGTCAATGGGTTTGGCCTAGCATGAGATGTGCGTCCTCGTAGGTTCATGAGACCCGGAGACTGGTTTCAGCGTGGAACATAAACCCTAACCCTGATCTCCGTTCAGGCATTCTATTCTTGATCTCCAGCAATGAGACAACCTGAGGCAGCAGCGCAGCTACCCTTAACAGATGAGCTTTTGGGCCAGGTCAACGAGATCTGCCCGTTGGATCGGTGGATCGGTCTATACGCCGCCATTAGAGTAGACCTCCGAAAGGGGGGGCGGGGGAAGGAACAGCCTGGCTGATACGCACTATCGTTATCGTCGCTCGTGGTTCGTCTTCCTCCTCATCTCTCTCTCTCTCTCTCTAACCTGGTGCCCGGCTGCCGGGGGAGGTGTAGTCTGGGTCGAATCGGACCCACATGTCGTCGGCTCGGTTCCTGAACCTCCCTGCGCGCTCCGGCTACGCGGTGCGCTCCAAGTACAATGGCGCTGGGCCCGGTGCCCCCGCGGCGCCGGGCTCCGGAGGCTGCTGCCGCCCTCGCCGCGCCCACCCTTCCTCCTCCCTGCGGTGCCACTCCGCCGGCGTCGTCGCGAGAGCCGCCGACCCCGGTGACGGCGAGGCGGTGACGGCGGCGTCAACCGGCGGCGGCGCGGACGGCAGGACGCTCGGTGAGATCAAAATCGTGCTGTTGCAGTCCCTGCAAGGTTTGCCCACTGGCTGCAACGAGTAGAGATTTCTTCCTTGAGCCCACAGAGAGAATAGGGAGTAGAGAGTAGAGAGAGGGAGGAAGAAGGCCAGTGAGAGTGAGCTGTCTGTGTTTGCTGCCAGGCATCGACAGGGGCATCTTTGGGCTGCCGTCGCAGAGAAGAAGCGAGATCGAGGGCTTCGTCCGGCTGCTTGAGTCCCTCAACCCCACGCCCGCCCCCACCGGCCGGCTCGACCAGGTGGACGGATGCTGGAAGCTCCTGTACAGCACCATCACCATCCTCGGTACCAAGCGGACGAAGCTCGGCCTCCGGGACTTTATCTCCCTCGGCGACTTCTTCCAGAGAATCGACGTCGCCCAAGTGCCCTCTCTCTCTCTCTCTCTCTCTCTCTCTCTCTCTCTAGTCTCTCTCTGATGGGGGTGATGTACAGGGGAAGGCCATCAACGAGATCAGTTTCAGCGCCAGGGGATTCAAGACGCTCTCCGGGCAGCTGACAATCGTGGCCTCCTTCGATATCGCATCCGAAACAGTGGGTACCAATCTCTCTCCTCGTTGTTATTCTTTCTCCCCGGGGAGTGTCTAATGCTCGACCTGGTTGACTGCGCAGAGAGTCAACATCAGGTTCGAGCAGTCAGATATAGTGCCGGCGCAGCTGATGAATCTCTTCCAGAAGAACTACGACCTCCTGCTCGCCATCTTCAACCCGGAGGGCTGGCTGGAGATCACGTATCCATTTGACTTATGGATTCCTCCCCCGGTCAACTCTGACTTTTTTCGTCTTTCCCCTTCCGCCGAAGTCTTGATCCTTGCCTTGGACTCTGCAGATACCTCGACGAGTCGATCCGCATTGGGAGGGACGACAAGGGCAACGTTTTCATTCTGGAAAGGGCCACAGACGAGAAAGCCAGTCAGTCTCCGGAGCCATTCACCTTCTTGGGATCCCGGTAGAGAGAGAGAGAGAGAGAGAGAGATAGGGGTCTCTGTCGTTCCACCCCAAGTTCCTCTGTTCCAGAAGAAGCTGATGAATCTGCAGCAACTGACCGATTCAAATATCTTCAGTCCCAGAAGTGGGCCTGGTTGAAGATGAGTGAACTGACGAATCAAATATGGTATCTACCAACACCATAATTGTTTATGAAAATAAGAAATCTGCAGAGCCCATCACCAGCTACTCGCCGTTGACTCTACAAGATAGTTTACCAAGAACATGGTCAAGAGGTGATTACTTATTCACCAAAAGCTGCAGGGCATGCAAGTCAACTCGTCCATTGTATAAAAGTCTCACCCAGTCCTTGACCACATCACATAAAAGACCCAAGTCAAAACCGTAACTAGTAATGTTCGATCATTCAAGAGGCTGAGTCCACTCTCCTGTAATCAAAATCTTCATTTGCAAGACCAAAAGAAAAAATCGAACTTTTTTTTCATATCCTATGCCATCTTCCATGTCTGTTTCTCACAGATATTACCAGTTCCCATGAAGAATCATAGTTTTGCCTCGGAGAATTTGATCCTGGCTGAAGCATCACCTTCCATTTGAATCCTAGATTTACTACATTACTGATATATTAAAAAGCAAGGCATGTAACATGGATCGATCAAGAGCTTCGGAGAGTGCGCATTCAACAACCTGGATTGAACCAGGTATCAAATCCTCGAAAAAATGAGCTTCATAGGATCAAATTCTCCGTTTCAGGAAAAGTAGGAAAAGTGTAGACAAGGCATATGAAGATGTTAGTTTGTAGGAGCATGAGTGTTCCCAGAGGCGCCGGTTCTGATGATGAAGATGATGATGCTGATGGCGGGCATGAACTAGGGTTCCGCTTTACCGGCAGCGGCTGCTTCTCCAATTGCATCCTGCTGCGGCGTAGGACGGTTCCACTGAGCGGGAGCCAAGGCCTTCCGGATGGAGAGCGCGTGGATCTGCTTGAGCTCCTCCGCCAGCGCCGCGTTCACCATGCGGTGCCGCTCCAGCAGCCTTTTCCCTTCGAATTGCTCCGACACAACCTCTATTTCAAAACTCGCGCCGCATCTATCACATTAATCCGTAAGGTACAATTCGATCACCGCCCTTTCGAGCCAGAAGAGCAAACCACAAACAGAAACCTAGGGCCGTCTTCCCCGAATAAGAACACGGAAAACTAAACCAATATCTCAGAGCTCAAAGAACAAGAGATGCTTACCCTCCGGACGTATCGACCACAACCTGCACGGCGAGCGCCGACAGAAGGAAGATATAAAAGAGAATCAGCAACCAAAACCAGCAGAGAAGAAAAGGCGACGGGAAGCGTGAGAAACGGAGGCCATCCTCTCACCAGATGAGCAGGTTTCAGCACGGATGTGAGCGCCGCTTCCACATCCTCCTTCGTTACCCCCATCACCCCCCCTCTCCTCCTCCGATCTCACCTCTCCCCAAATTTCAGGCCTGAAAAAAGGAAAGGGGAATCTCCCTCTCTCTCTCTCCTCCGCTGATCAGAGTAGTGGGTCACGTCCGCAAGTAACTGGGCGGGAAAAGAACAGGCCCATTTCGTTGTCTCTCGGCTTATTTTGAGGCTTAAAAGCCTAATAAGAGAGTCTCGTCCGGCCCATTAACATCCTACGCGGTAAATCTCATTTTGGGGGGGGGGGGGGTTGGGTCGGGGACCAGATGGAGAAAGACCTTCCGGTGTATAGTAATGGGTGATGTGGGCCTTATCTGTCCGTTTGTGGGCCGGTTTTTGGCCTCGAGGGGCGAAATGGGTAATGTGGGCTTGGGGGTGGCGGGGCCCAGTAATGTGTCCGTCAGTTGGGTCGTGGTCCCCCTCGACGACCCTTTTTCAGTTCAGATTGGCCCAATGTGATCTCCACCGTCCATCAGATATCATCCCAGCGGCCGCGTTCACCGCAGTGGATACGAGGGCAACGAAGATTGAAACCGTACGAAGCGGCAGGCACCTATCTTGTGCTCCGCGAATGGGATGGCATCCCCGTCGCAGAAGGCCCATGTGTGGGGCCCTGTGACATCATGTTCGTATACAGACATCGGCCGGCTCTTCTCGGGCCTCTCGAGCCCAGCGCATTAAATGTTCCAGGCAAATAGTAATAATAAATGGTTGTGATATTCATTTAAAATTCGAAAATTCCAGCAGACCCGATTTCAATGCTGCGGAACAGGCGGGCCTGTCTCCTTGTGGAAAGCAGTCTTCTCGCTGCCCTTCTTCTTTCCTAGCTAGAGAGAGAGAGAGAGAGAGAGAGATGGCGGAGGCGTCGTTCGATCACCGGCAGCAGTACCACCACGCGGGGGGGGTGGCGAAGGAGACGGCGGTGCAGGCGCTGAACAGCATCATACAGCTGCATTTCGAGAAGACGCTGGAGAAGAAGCGGGGGGTGGACGCGCAGAAGAAGGAGCTGTGGAAGCTCTTCCAAGTGTTCTTCCTCTTCCTGGCGGTGGTCTTCTCGGCGCAGGTGCAGGCGCCGCCGGGCCGGCTGCAGTGCCGCCACTGCTGGGCGCCCATCGCGCTGCTCTCCCTCGGCCACCTCGTCTACTACGTCGCCGTGGCCCAGACACTGCGCTGCATCAACGGGCTCAAGTACCAGCGGCGCTGCCACAAGCTCACCCTGGCCCTGGCCACGGACCGCCTCAAGCAGCTCAAGATGCGGGTAGGCCACGGGAACAGTGCCCAGATGGAGGAGGGCGAGGAGGAGCTCCTCGAGGTGCACTACCAGGAGCCCCCTGAGAGCTACCTCGGCAAGTTCAAGAGGAACTGGGCCCTCCATTTCGGCTTCCTCCTCTGCACCTTCGCCGTCGCCGTCTCCTCCTCCGTCGTTATCCTCTGCTTCTAACCCTTTATCTTTCTCCCATCTATTATTGCGAAGATCGCATTTTTTTTTGTACCCGAATTCCTTTCAGAAAGCCGCGCGGCCTCTGTCTTCTCCCTGTTCATCCCCCCGGCCCCGGTCAATGGATAGAATCGCCTTTTTAGGCTCTCTCTCTCTCTCTCTGTGCAATCCGAACTCTCCGTGTTCGGCGGTAGTGAAGATCCCATCAGATCCGGCGACGACGGGACAAGACGCCTTCTGCGGGGGAGCATTACCGTTGCCTTGGCGTTTCCTCTTCGAAGACCGACCGCCACTGTTCACATACCGCCCACTGTTAGGCCACCGAAGTTGCCGGATTTCTCTCGGGCGATACGGCGAAGGAAAATCACCACAAGAGGAACGAATGCTGGGAGAGAAGCCCGGCGGAGAGGATCACGCCGAGTTCAGTGCGTCGCAAAGGCACTTGTAGGCGTCAAGGCAGCGCTTGAACTTCTCCTCCGCGACGGACTGCTGCCCAGAAGCGAACACCTCCACCGTCAGAAATCACCCGATAAATGCCATCTTTTCCGTGAAAAAATGAAGAGCGATTGAGAGCCCCACACCTGAGAAGGGCCCGGGTGCCTGTCAGGATGCCATTTCAACGCGGCCATGCGAAATCTGCAGCGTTCAGAAAGCCTCCGATTATGAAGTCTCCAAGAGGAGGATAATCCTACGGGTAGGGGGGAAAAGGTTCGTTCCGGCGAGCTTACGCGATCTTCACATCGCCGATCTTCAGCGGGCCCGTCGCCGGCAGTCCAAGCGTGGCTCTGTGGGAGTATAATCCTACGGGTTTTGATGCCCTGCAAGGATCGTCGTCGTCGTCGTTATCGTCGTCGAAATCACTGTCTCTTTCCCATGCCCTTCCCTGATTTGCCCAGCCGGAGTCGTCATCGCTCTCGCTGCTGCTCTCCCATACTCTGTCCTTCCCCGTCGAGCCCGATCCTCCTCTCCACTCAAACCCAGGAGGCGGGTTCCTGGAGTTGAACTCCTGCCATGGCCTGAAGGACCAGGTGTAGCATCTGTTACCAAACGTTGCCTGAAAGACGGGGCCTACGTGCAGGTCGCCATCATCGTCCTCCGAGTAGAAGCTGCGGCTGCTCTTCTTACCTGCGAGAAACAAGCTAGAATCTCAGGTCCTTGATCGCCATTGCACGAGGAAGGAAAGAAGACAGAAACCACATGGATAAGACTTCCACTGTCTGTCATGAACATCAGAGAATGTGAACAGCCATGTATGTAACTAGGGCTTCATGGAGCAGGAAGAACTACCATTGCGCCTGCATCTTCTGGGTGGATGGCGGGGCCTGAATTGGGAATGGTTCTTGGCCTGGGCTCGGTCGTCAAGATCATCGGAGACGTCTTCACCCCTGAACCCACTTCTTTCCTCCTCGGAATGCCAAGAGCCGGCTTCATCCTGGGAAGGAAATGCCAAAGCTTATCACTCTGTCATGATCAAGAACATCCAAGAAAGAAAATTACCAGCAACGTAAAATGGAGCAGTCGATGATCCTGCGCATTAAATCTTCTTACTGGAGATCATGAAGAAATGATAACCCACTAACATTCACCATTCAAAGATATTCAACAAGCTGAAGACGCATGAATTTCAATGGGACTACCAAGCAAGAGAGAGAGAGAGAGAGAGAGAGAGAGAGAGAGAGAGAGAGAGATTACCTGAAAATAAGGGTTAGAAGATCTGCCATTTAAAAGATCTTTAAGAGCTCTTTTGGCATCAGCTCGCCTTTGGCGGACGACATATCTGATATAATTCTGAATTTGGAAACATCAGTCCATAAGGCTATGTAGAAAAGCATAACACAGGCAGATGAGATATAAAATACAAAGGATTTGAGCACTCATTCGCTCAAAGCTATGGCACATACTTCCACTTGGGATTCCAATGTGAAATAGTCCTTACAGTCGATCGAGGGCTTCTTTCTTGCAAGAAATTTACCCTAGATGATATTCAGATTCAGGAATGCAAGCGCCCATGATCGAAAATATCCAAATGCCCTCCTCCATGAAATTAAAGAAAAAGAAAATAAATGGTGGTAACGTACTCAAATGATTGGTTCCCTTTGGACTAAGCAATGACATGATTCCCGATCATGCCCAATTAAATACGTATAAAGCATAGGCAAATCCAGAACGATTGAAGTTTCTTAAACACATTACATATCATAAATTTCCGCGAGATCAACTCAAGACCATTTCAGTTTTCGGATAAAATTTTACCCCTTTCTTTATTATCACAAATGGATTGATTGGGGAAAACAAAATTTACCAAGGTATTCCAACCATTTAAGTTCATTCGACGATAGTGAAATATCATGACCATGATTTCACATTTTCATGGCATGGACAATGTGCCGGATATAGTCTTCATTCAACTTTGGAAAATTCCCACAAAAAAATCACCTTTTAGACTGGTTTAAATCACACGCCACTAATGCTAAACCAATAGATTATAAGTAACTCCAAGAATGCAGCAAGAGTTACAGCTGACACATCTCCAACATTTCTGATCTAATACCTTCGGTGCCCGTTGCCCTCCTGTCTCCTCCTGCAAGCACACGAGCTGTTGTCAGCCTTAATTTTCAAATGAAACCTGATTAATATGTAGAAGGCGAGAGAGAGAAAGATTCTGACGACGCCAGATTACTAAAAACCGAATCCCAGATGATAAGATTGACAGAAACCAGATTTTAGTGCAGATATAGGTATGATCTCCACTTGAGGATCATTATCAAAGTAGCACACATTCTCATGCCGAACCTCGAACCACAGAGTCGTGACGTAGATAAAGTGTACTAGAATTCCTATATCCCAGTGTACAGCATCAAATTCCTTTGCACGGTAAATGGAAGCAAATGTCGCCTAGTCGCTTGGAACCGGGTGCCTTTCTCCGCATAAGAAGAGGATTTTTCCGAGTTGAATTGGTCCCTTGAAGAAGCCATCGGCAGGATTATGTTGTACGAAGAAACCACGTTGACCTTCCAACCACCGATGCCCGATCACAGAAAAACGCGCTATGGGAATGGAATTGGCGAGAAAATTTGACTCGACATGAGTTCAAATCGTTGAAACACCGGATGCCTTCCTGGATGCCGAATTCCGAACCAAACGGACGAATTTTACACAGCGAACCATCATAATTCATCTTCTCTCTCTCTCTCTCCGATATCTGGCCACGTCTCGGAAAGAATACGGCAAAGCGCATTGAAAGTGAGAGATAACACGATGTTCGGAGAGAGAAGAGGCGGACCTTGCGGTTAAACTTGCTCTTCCATTTCGCACAGACGACGGGGGTCGAGCGGAAGGATGCCCTACCGTGAGGCGGGCAAGGAATGGGCTCCCCGAGCACCCTTCTCCACAAGGGCCTCAGCATCTATGGCCAGCCGTGGAGCAACCCTGCGGAGGGGGGAAGCGGGAACGAAGCATGGAAGCACAGAGAGAGGACACGCTCCGTCCCCCTTCTCCCCCTCTACAGGCGGCCGTCCTCCGGCGGCGAGGAGCGGGCGGTGGAGACCGACGCTATTTTTGGGAAAAAGCCCAGTTAGAAACCCGATTCAACTTAATGGATCCAACCTCGATGTGGGCCTCAAAATGGATCTTTTCAGCCCAGAAGGCTGGCCCAAAAATCAAGAACGGAATATTCTGATGAATAAAAGCGTTGACTCAGATTTTTCTGCTTCCCGCGCGGACGTCCACCTCAGTTGGTGCGCAATATAATCTGCCCTTCGGGGCCCATCTCGCAGATCCCTTAGATTTTTGAACATCAAAGATAAAAAAGATGCTTTATACTATTTTTAGTTATTCCTCGGTTAACGAATATGCTCTTATTTTTTGGTGCGAAAAGAGTCAACTCTTTTTTTCTTTTCTTTTCTTTAGACAACGAAGACCAGCCTAGAAATAATAAGTTATACAAGGAAAAGACCAATGGATCCCAAGAGAGACGGAGACAACTCTCCTGCCGCCGCCGCCACCATAAAGAAGAAAGAATCAAAATCCTGCTGCTCTCCCTGCGCCGGCACCGGCGCAACAGGATCGTCGGCCCTTGCCGGCGGCGCTTTCTTCTTTCCGAGTAGGGGGTGGGATAGGAGAGGGATTGGATCACCAGCTGAGCCTGAGAACAAACAGGGCGGGGAGGAGGAGGGCGGCGGCAGGAGAGAAGGAGAGGGACCCCGCGTCGCTGCCGTCGATGGAGATGCCGGTGCCGGTCGGGCCGAGGCCACCGACGATGCCGTTGGTGGTCGGCGAGGCGAAGGCTGGGGTCCCACTGGTTGCGGTGGTTGTCCCCCGTGGGCTGCTGGAGGTCGGCGTGGTAGAGCTGGCGGAGGAGGGGTATCTACGCCCAGTGGAACTGGGGTCGGTGATGCCGGCGGTGCCGGAGAAGTCGCAGCTGCCGGCGCCCTGGCCCTTCTTCTGGAAGTAGCTATTGGCGGCCCAGGATCAGTGAGCTAGCACAGTGTTGAGCTCGTAGCAGTCTCCCTTCTGCAGGATGGCGCTGCAGTCGGCGCCGGCGCCGCACGCGTAGTGCAGCGTCTTCTGTAGCGCACTGGTGCCGGCGTCGCTCCTGCATACGCACCACGTCGCATCGCCGCCGGAGAAGAAGAGCCCCCCCACGAGCACCAGCACCACCACTGTCACCGGCGAGAGAAACCCACAACACAGAAATGAAGAGAGAGAGAGAGAGAGAGAGAGAGAGAATCAAGAAGATGGCGAAAAGAGTAAACTCGTAATTATGAAAAACTGGGGGGAATCGGGGGGGATCGATCCCACTCATTTTAGCTTAGCATCCTACTGTTGACTTTGTTATGATATCTAAGTGACCCCCGTTGCTATGGACCGCAAGAGCATACACAATACTGCCCAAAAGTCAAATTCTGCCGCGAATAATTACACGTTCAAATAATATCACAATAGTTTCCGCAAAACCCATACCCCTGATTATAAAAGTGAGTCAACCCCACTCGCTCCGAAGTCAATCAGCTCTGCGGTGAGGCTGGGATATCTTCAGCATCACGGCCTTTCATATTGACTCTCCTCTCACGGAGTCCCTTCCTTCTGTGGCGGAGTCACTCGGAGCGGTGCTGATCGGGAGGAGAGAAAAGGGAGCTTCTTTTAGGGTTACGGGGGGAAGTGGGGAAGCTAGCTGCACCAGTCAGAGGGACGAGGCAAGATGAACACTAATGAAAGGGTTACCGTCGATGGGGACACTGACACTGACTTGCTCGACCTACTCTCCTGAAAGCTAGCCCTGTGGGAACTGCAAGAGGGACCTTCCTCCACTACTAATAGTCAGCGGTGAGCGTGGGGAAGATGGTAAACCCAGACGAAGTCTCTCCTTGGACCTCTTACGCTTGGTCTCTCTGGAGCTTCGTTGGTGCAACTGCAGCAAGACTGCCCGTTGCTGCGTCAGTTTCCCATCGGAAGGCGGGCTTTGCCATGGCCGAGAGAGGAGCCGTCTCCTCCTCTCCTGTCTGATATCATATCATGTCGCATCATGAGGCTGCTTCCTTTTGACTGTCAGTCTATTCGCCGCCACCCGAGCAATCCATCGTCTGTCGAGCAGCCTGCGCTCCACCATTTTGATGCTTCCCTCGAGCACGAGGCTCCCGGCGTTATCTTCTCCCTGTCAGCCCCACCAGCGCCTTTATCATCCACGATACCCGCCGGCAAAGCCGCCCCCTTGCGCCTGGTTTTGGCCGGAGTATGATGAAGATGATGGATTCGGTTCCGTTCTTGATGTCCTACCTATTCCTACCGAAAGAACGGTCTCTTGAGATGATCGTGCGGATAAGAGGCCGTTGACCACCCTAAACCAGTAGGGAAGGCATCCCTCTTTACGGCAACACGGACAGTAGGCTGGATTTGGAGAATAACGCGGGGTTTTCGTCGATGGAAGCTTCGTGCTTTCACGCATGCTCAAACAAAAAACATCAGATAGATAAAAGGGTAACTAGGTTTATAGCGTCTTTTGACTGGTCTGTCCCCCACCCTCCACCCCCGGTGGCGCATGGAATCATTGAACTCAACTGGAACAGTTCCCCCGGGTCTCCCATAGCAGCACGCAGAACACTCGGCCTTCTTTCGTGGGCATCCTCTGCCGTACGTAGTGCGCTATTTCTTCACGTGGAACACGGGAGAAACGGACAGGCCTCGGCGCCGGGGGCCCGGCCACGGTGTCTCCGGACGGAACCTCATCCCCGTGCACGTGCCTAATAGGAGTCCACTCACAGCTCTGTCCACTGTCGCCCGTGTGAGTGGAGCTTTCGGGTTCTCCGGGCCCGCTAAGGTTAATCATCGGGCCGAGGCCCATTAGGAATGTGACGAAGCTGCTGACGTCGAACGCAAGGGTACGTGGCTGGGCAACAACAGGCAGATGTACACGTGTCAAGCCCATAGACACGTGCGACGTGGAGTTGCCGCCTAAGATTAATCCCCCTCCGGGCCTTCCCTCAAACGTAACGGTGGCCCATTTGGGGAGATTCCATCCGCGCAGGGGACAGTTGTCTTTGGAGTTCCGTCTGACGTGGACCGGCCGACAACGTGGGGCATTCTCGTTGGGTGATGGCTTCTGCGTTCTTCTCACCCTTGCACCATAAATAGAGTTCGTTCTCCTCCGCCTTCACAACCGGAGAAGAACGGAAGAGGAGGCAGAGGCAGCAGCACACCCCTCTCCCCCAGCCCGTCTCTGTCTCTCTCTCTGTCTCTCTCTGTTTCTGTATTTCTTCAGGGTCGAATTAGCAGAGTGGGGTGACGCGCTTTTTCCGTGAGGTGGGAGTCTTATTCTTGGTATCTCTTGAAGTCATCTCTCCACTGTTCTGGGTTTTTTTGGAGGGGCGGACTTCTCGGAGTGAAGAAGGTGGGCAGGTTCTTGCATGGCGATCGACATGGGTTTCATGGTGGATGGGATGAAGCCGGTGGTGGGGATGGTGCTGGTGCAGATGGTGTTCGCCGGGGCGAACATTTTCTACAAGTTGGCGGCCAACGACGGCATGGATCTGCGGGTTCTCGTGGCGTACAGGCACCTCTTCGGCGCCGCCTTCCTCCTCCCCGTCGCTTTCTTCGTCGAAAGGTTCTCCCTCTCCATTTCCATCTCCATCTGTTAGCCTCCGTTAGGATTTTCAAGAATTCGATCTTGTTGATCTTCGTCGTTATCGTCATCGTTTTCTTCTTCCTCTTATTCCTTCTCCTCTTGATAATCGTCATCTGGCTTTCTGAGAGAGTGCCAACGACAACGGATCCTCTCTCTGATGCATTCGACCACCTGTGATTCTCGTTGCAGGAAAACCCGGCCAGCTATCACTTGGACGGTCCTGATTCAGTCTTTCTTCTGCGGGCTATTTGGGTAAGCCTGGAACAGAAGAAATATCCCTTTTTTACATCGCTCCTGAGGAGTATCGGAACGGACCAAAAAGGTTTCGGGCTGGGTGAAGCAGTAGATTTCGAGGTTTTCTTTAGAGAGACGGTCAATTAAACCTGGTCAACGTAATCATCGTACCGCGCCACCCCGTGCCATTACAACTAACTCCCGTGGCAGCCAGCCTGTTAGTTGACGCGTCGGGCCATATCACCACAACGTCGCATATGCGGCAGCTAATGTGATGGCATTGATGGTGGACGGCTCCGGGGTAGAACGGGGAGCACGATGAGAACAAAATGAACCCTCGTGGATCGCTGGTGGGGGAAGAGTTTCCTAACTCGGTCCGGTTCAACCGCAGGGGAACACTGGCTCAGAACCTCTACCTGATGGCCATCAAGCTGACGACGGCCACCTTCACGACGGCGATAGCGAACCTCATCCCCGCCATCACCTTCGTCTTGGCGGTGATCTTCGGGTAAGGCCCTATGGGATGCTGTCTACAGACTTTCTTCTTCCCCACTCGCCTCCTCAGATTGCGCTGAAATCGTCGTGGTGATGCGGCCAGGCTGGAGAAGCTGGGTCTGCGGACAATGGCAGGGAAGGCGAAGTTGGCTGGAACGGCAGTGGGGCTGGGCGGGGCGATGTTTCTCACCTTCTATAAGGGGCCGGAGGTCGACATCTGGCCCAGCAACGTTGACCTGTTGCAAGAGAAGGGCAGCCCGGCGCCGGCCCACCTAGAGTATGGTAATCGCGTGATGGGCTCATTGTTGGCTGTGGTCAGCTGCTTCTCGTATGCAATCTGGTTGATTATTCAGGTGATTTCAAAGTGATTGACGTCCCCTTGTGAGCTCAGACCGCGGATTTTCTGACCTCTCGCTGTTGGTGCAGGCTAAGATGATCAAGTGTTTCCCGTGCGCCAACTCGAGTGCGGCGTTGATGTGCCTCATGGCGGCGGTGCAGTCGGCGGCGCTCGCCCTCTGCATGCAGAGGGACTGGAACGAGTGGAAGATGGGTCTCGACATCAGGCTCCTCACCTCCGTCTACGTGGTGAGTTGAGCATTCATCCTTCTCCGTCTCACGCCTGTCCGTCTTCCCTGCTCCGCAAGTGTATGACTAACGGAGAGCTGACTCTCACGTCAAACACCTGAATGCAGGGAGTGATAGCGTCGGGGTTGACTTTAATGGTGATGGCGTGGTGCATCCGTCTGAAGGGCCCGCTGTTCGCGTCGGTCTTCAACCCCCTGATGCTGGTGGTCGTGGCTGTACTGGGGTCTTTCCTTCTCGAAGAAAAGCTGCACCTTGGGAGGTAATGCGCGCCGCCGTGTTCCCACAGGCTGGTCTTCTTCTTCTTTTTTTCAAGATCCTGGGTCATTAACTGCTTCCTCTGTTTGGTGACAGCCTTTTGGGCGCCATCTTGATCGTGGTGGGGCTCTACCTGGTGATCTGGGGCAAGTGTAGGGAAGCCAAGAAGGCAGTTGAACTACCCGTGGTGAAGCCTCAAGAGCCAGGGCAAGTTGAGGTGACAACGCAGGCGCAGTCGACCGGTCGCTGAAGCAAGCTTCTCCCGAGGAGGAATGCGAGAACCCCCCCCGGCGCCGATAATACAGTGAGCTTGCGCCGACGATCCAGTGGGCGGACGGTCTAGTTTCAGCAGCGTAACTCGGCCACCAGGGGCGGCGGCACCTCACGCACTTGAGGTGGTAGAGGAGATGAAGCGGGGTGGGTTAGTTTTCATTGGGCATTTTGTCGGATGCTCGTAAAATAGAGGGTAGTCTTGAGTTGGCCTCGTCGATCAAACGAGAGAGAGAGAGAGAGAGAGAGAGCAAGAAACGGGCTTCTTCCAAGTCCTCTGGGCAAGAACTTGAACAACCGTACGTGTTTGTAAGTAAATCAGTTTCCTTCCTGTGGACACGGAGAATCTCGCAGATCTAATGCCATTGGAAAATGCCATATGAAGACGAAAACAGCGCCGTTTCTCCGTATTTTTACGACGGGATTGTTTGGCTTTTACCACTCTAAAAAGCACCATATATATCTCTTATTTAAGATATATAATAAGAGATTATATACCGCTAATATTATTCGAATTTAACATCCCGAATTAGTAACTTATTTCTTATTTGACATTTAGAAACTGCTATTGAGTGTATTATAGAAAGTGAGAATATTACGCATTTATTAACCCATTTTTAAACATTATTTATGAAAAATCAAGCCGAATAATTTTTCGATTAACTTAGTAATTTTAACAATATATTTATTCATCCACACACGTGTTACTGAAACTTAATTATAGTCACGGGCTCGTGGCGTCATATCAGCACGGTTATCCCAACGCTGGTAGCTCTTAAATAGATCCGACCACCCTCGTGGTGCTGGTGAAGCCATCCAACGTTGTCCGTCTTTCGGAGGACGGACGCTCTTCTCTGGCTAGGACCCTGACAGAGCCTGCCACGTCGGTGCCAGATCTGGGGAAAGAGACTCGTATTTATGGAGCGTCCTCGGGGGGTGGTGGGGAGAAGGAGAGAGGAAGGAGATGGAGATGAAGAAGACACCGGCCGCCATGCTCGTCCTCCTGTTGCTCGTTGGCTGCCTGGTGGAGGAAATCAACTGCGACGCTTTCGACTGCTACGACGCGTGCACCACCGGCTGCGTCGCCTCCTACATAAACCACCGTAAGTTTTACGGCGGCGGGGGCCTCCCTGAAAAAAGAGGTCCTCTCTGAATGCTCCTGCCCTAGTAGGATTACCGTCCGTCGGATGTAGTTCCCACGGCCAATAACTTGTCGGTCACAAGTTCTCTTTCTTGGTTTCTTTCCTCTGCCCTTAATGTCTCGTTCTCCTGTCGGCGGAGCGAACAGCGCGTCTGATGCAACGTTGCGAACGCAAGTGTGCCATCCAGTGCAGCCCAGGTGGTCTTCGCTCTCGGTGAAGCTCTCTGGATCTTCCATTGATGAAGCCTCTGAAAAGGAGATATCGTGCCCTTGCAGGAGCCACGGCGGGTCGCGGAAGACGATAGGGAACGTTGCAGTCCGGCGGAATCGCCGCCGGATATCGCTCGGTCGCCGAAGAAATCTGCAGAGATGGGCACACCCATGTGTAGAGGCACCGTAGTGGGATGCCTAGACTATCCCCTTTGGAATCTCCCTACAAGAAAATATAATGAAGACTTGACGAATCAAACTTCCCTGGACTCGATGCAATTTATAAATGCTTGCCCATAAACTTGTTCCATGAATTATATGCTTTATTCAGTCTACTGGGTTAATTTGGATCTCTCCACTGGGCTCCCTTCTGCGCTGATTTGTGCCCTGATAGGCACTGAACGGGCCACTAAGATAGCTTTGACATCGTGCTCTTGAAAGCACCATGGGGCGAGATTCCAAGAGCTGAAGGTGATATTCTCTTGGAGATAGAGCACTAGAGATTCTCGTGCGTTGGAGAGTTGAAACATGTCATAAAGGACGACGTCTTAGTTGATGTGCTTCCACCGCATTCTTGTTCCATAATATTCTCTTCATTTTTAGCTTGATTTTTTACTCATTGGATTATTTAGTAGACATGATATGAATTCCATGAAAGTTTCACAATTATAATTGAAACTTTTTCAGGACAAATCTTTCGTCGGTGGTTCACCAGCTTTGGCCTTATATCCACCATTCTTAAACCCTTGCAGGCCGATTTTTTGGGGAAAAAAAAGGATCCTTGAAGGAAATGGTGAAACATGTTTGCCGATTATTAGTAGACATTATCATTCCTATTATTTTATTATTACATTTCCCATTTCATCCATTCCAATTATTCATTGAAATGCATGGATGGTCCATAAATTGATATCTTATTTGTATAAATCTACATTTTGTCCTCTTTAAGAAAAGGACATTAATCGATTTATTATTTATTTTAGGAAAACATTGTACACATCACAATATTAAGGTAGGCCAAGTACTAAAATATATTAATGAAAAATTATAGGAAGAAAATATTACGAACAACACAACATACATATAAAATCATGACCTACATAACAGCAATATGATGCATTGAAGTCAATCATGTCAAAAGAGACACTTGCCAAAATATTAAGTTATTCTTTTGACTCTTTAAGGCACAAATTTTATATGGTGGAAAGGTACAATGTTGAATGACTCGATAAAATGAATTAATTTTAATATTATCTAATACTAGGCCATGAAATAACTAGACCTATGACCTGGACAGCTTTTTCGTTTAAAGTCCTTATGGAGCACTAACTCTCTTAAAGACAATGCATGAGTCCATGACTAGGACTACTACTTTTACAATATGACCAAAAGTATTAGTCCTAGACAAATTATGAATGTTGCTTTGAACATTTAGCTTTGTTGTTGACATAGATGAAAATTTCAATATGTTGAAGAAAACTTTTAATGATTTCATCAATCATGGATTAATTGTTATATATGTTAAGACTTATAGTATTAAAATTTCTATATGTGTTTAGAAATTTTAATCATCAAGCTTTAGATTAGCTATATGATAACATTTTAAAGGTTATGCACAATATTATACTAAGATATATTTCACTCTATTGAGTAATATATTCTGTACTTGAGTTTGTTTGTACTTTGTTAGAATAGCTCACTAGGTCTATTTTAGATTTATTCTTTCCACATTCATATTCTTTCTCCACAATCTCTCCTTCCTCTCTCTCTCTTTCTTACTCTCTTCTATATAACATCATGTACTCCTCTTCTTCAATACATGAATTATAAGATTTCCTCTTCCTCTCGTCAACATAGTATCAAAGTCATAGGGTTTTTCTACCACCACCACTTCGCCTCCTCTCCTATCTTGGCGTCACATATCCTCTTTTGGCACAATCTCCCACAGCCCTACCTTGCGCATGTACCTAGGGCCCAGTCTATGTAGCCCTATATGCTTGCCGCACTTTCTACCACGTGTACTTGCGTGCCTATCTAGCGCTTGCCTAGCGTCATCCTGCATGCCCACCCAGTGTGCCACCACACATGCACCAATTGTAGACACTTGTGCACTCCTACCAGTGCCTCGTGCATTGCCTCACGACGCCCCACGTGGCTCCAAGGACATCCCCTCCCAATGGCATCTCATCTCCCACTATTGCTCTCTGCAAAGGTACACATGTATGCACTAGACACCTCATTTCTCATTTCTCGACACCCTGTGTAGCTCCAAGGACATCCCTTCTAAGTGTCATCTCATTTCTCATTATTGCTCTTCGTAAAAGTATATGTGCATGCACCAGACACCCCATTTCTCATCTCTTGGCGTCCCACGTGACTTTGGAGACATCCTCTTCTAACGTCATCTCATCTCCCACTATTACTCTCTGCAAAGGTACACATGCATGCACCAGAGACATCTTATTTCTCATTTTATTTCTTATGACTATCTTTTTCCTTTCTTTTGTACTTTTGCTCTTTTTGTGGCTTCAAGTTGATTCCATAATCATATGTTGAGGTTGCACAAGTACTTAAATAGAAGGTGGCCATGAACTTGGAAGTGGATGTCTTAGTGTCTCAGAGAACTTGGACACTTGTATCTTGTCCACATGATGCCAACATCGTCACATGCAAGTGGGTTTTCACACTCAAGTCTAACCCAAATAGATCTATTGCACATTACAAGATTCGTTTGATTACTCATTGATTCATACAAGCCTATAACATTGATTACATTCAGATGTTCTCTTTAGTAGTTTGGCTCAACTACATTCAAATGATACTCTCTTTGATGATAAATCGAATATGATCTTTATATCAATTAGATATTTCTAATGTCTTTCTATATGGTGATATTGAAGAACATGTGTTTATAGAGCAATCTCTTAAGTATGTTATTTAGGATGAGTCATCGATGATGTATCTTTTGCAACATGACATTTACAGACTTAAGTCCATATGGCTAGTTCACCAAGTTCAATAGTTTTCTGACATAATTTAGATTCTCACCATATTTTGCGGATTTCATAGTGTTTACAAAGACTACTAAATCTAACATTATCATCCTAGTTGTTTATATGGACAACATTTTTATGATTGGAAGTAATGAAATAGACATTTAACCTACAAAATCATACTTGCAACAACACTTTAGTATACAAGATTTGGAGAATCTAAGATACTTCCTCGAGATTTAGTTTGCTTATTAGAATAGTAAACTTGCTCTTTCTCAAAGAAAGTATGCTCTTGATAGGCTTCAAGAGACTCAATTACTTGAGTACAAGTAAGAGTCGTCATCCATGGGGTCACATCCACGCTTCTAAGTTATGTCTTCTACTCTCTTAGAGGATGCTAATCAATATAGATGGTTATTAAGAAAGTTGATTTAGTTCACCATCATTCACCTCGACGTCATGTACATAATTAGTGTCCTTAATTAATTCACATAAGAATCTCAACAAGTTCATTCAAAGGTAGTTTTAGGGAGAGGGCTTATTTATTGAAGACGAACATTTTCGAATTAAAGTCTACTCAAATATAATTATTGTATATATATGAGTGACAACTTTGTTACATGTTACTCTATGAAGTAAAAGGTGGTATCTTGCTCTAATACTTAGTTTGAGTATCGCGTCATGGTCGAGATAACGTGAGAAATAGTGTGACTTAATTCACTCTTAAAAAACTTTGGCATCTCATCTTCTATGTAAATACTTATTGATTATGATAATCAAGTCGACATTTCATTATTAGAAATACTACATTTCATAAGTGGAAGAAGTACGTTGAGATTGTTTATCATTATATATGGGATAAGATAATATTAAGTGTTAAATTCTACTCCACAGGTTGTCTCATTAACTTGCAAACATCTTCATTGAAAGTCTTGTAAGAATCTTGATATGACTTAGTCGTTTTATAGTGAATCACGTAAATTAAAAATTTACAAAACTATAAACTATTAATTTTTAGGTAGTTAAAATATTTATCAATAAATATATTACTTTTAAATCAATAAAATTTCTAAAAATAGTGAAAATTTCTAGGTCGATCACAAGGATGTAATATAATATTATATAATATTTCAAATTTTTCACAAAGAATATAATTTTTTATAAATTTTAAACTAAAAAATAAAAATAAAATATATTTAAAATTTACAAAAAAGGGTAATAAGAGTTGGGGGCATCAAGATGATATCAGCACCCAACAAATGTAAATTGTGTAGAAATAGAGTTCCGTCTAGTGATTCTTATGTAAGTGATTACAGATGTTTTAATTGGCTAAATTAAAATATGTAAAAGTCAGAAGAATCGTAATTGAATGAAGAGTAGTTTAAAATTTTTAAATCACACAAATTATCTCTAAATGAAGTGAAAATTAAGTTGAAAGTTGAAAAGTTAGACTTTCAACATCGCAGCAACGATGCATCGACAATGTACTATAATCTTGAACATTCAAAAAGATTATCTTGTAGTGTCCATAGCCTTGAAGGTTTTTTTTAGACAAAGATAACATAGACAATCTCTAGATCTTTTTGTGAAGTCTAGAGATTAATAAATAAGTCTTCAAATTGTCTCTGACAGTTGTACCTAGTAGAATATAAAAATTGTTACTTTGCGGCTCTCTAATAGGTGTCAATTGACAAAAAAGAGTTGAATGAAAGTAGGATGTGTGTCAGAGAGCTTCATCCTTAGATCTGCACAGTAAAAAGAGGCTCTTCATCGCATCTAATATGCACTCAAGAGATGACAACTTGTCTCTCGATATATCATCTTCTTTGCAATGACGACTTATTTGTTGATCAATCGGAAATGATTTACTTAATAGATTCATGATCCTTATATTATGAATTGTTCAATAATTTTAGTAACAATACTCCGTGAATCGTGTTGACAAGATTTTCATCAAAGATCAAACGATTTTGGTGGACTTAATCTTTTATTGATAATATGTAGAAAAGTCACAATTTAATCAGATAAAAATACAACTTTTGACTCTAGTAGGATTTAAACTCATGCCAGTCATCCGCCTACATAAGAGAGAGTAAATAAGT